GGCGACCCAGATAAGCAACCTCAACCTCCCGCTGCGGAACCCGCACCACGGGCTCAAGGAGAAGATGAAGGAGCTGACCCTCCTCTACGAGCAGCAGAAGCAAGCGAGGAACATTTCGAGAACGGCGGCGGAGGAGCAGAACGGGAATGGAGCCGGCTTCTCGACGCACCCGAGCGTAGACCTCTTCGGATCCAGACGGGGGGAGGACAAGGAGCCGAAAGTCGAAAACGGGTCGAAACTGGGTCAGATCATGAGGGAGAACACGATGACCAACTCCACGATCACGAGAACGTTCGTCTTGCCCAAGCCCAACAACCCGAACCCGAGGCCCGAGGACGCGAAGGAGAACATCGGGTCGGGTCAGGACAGGATCATCGGGTTCTCGGCCTGCCCGAGGAAGGCGGCTCCGGCGACCGCCGCCACCGCCGCCACCACGGTGGCGAGGAGGCTGTCCATGGGCGGGCCGGCAAAGGTCGTTCCGGAGACGGAGAAGCCGGAGGCGGCCGCGAGGGAGAGGAGCTGCGGCGGCGAGCACAGCCGGATCCTGGTGTTCGTGAGGCTGAGGCCGATGGCGAAGAGGGAGAGGGAGGCCGGGTCGAGGTGCTGCGTGAGGATCGTGAACGGGAGGGACGTGTACTTGACGGAGTTCGGGAACGAGAACGATTACCTGAGGCTGAAGAGGTTGAGAGGGAGGCATTTCGCTTTTGATGCTTCGTTCCCGGACTCCGCCACTCAGCAAGAAGTTTATGCCGCTACGTGAGACTCTCTCTCTCTCTCTTTCTTTCTGAGGAAGTTTGAGGTTTTAATGGTTTTAATGCATTTGAATTGCTAGCGAAGAGTTCGATTCCAGTTTTGCCCATATAGTCGTAAGTCTTTGGTAAATTCCAATTTGTCTTTCTAGTTCTCGAATCGGGTAGGTGGAAACTAGGGACTGGTAGGACAGAGTTTCGACCATGTTGATTGATGTGTATTGGTCCGTTGTAGCTTTCTGGAACTTTTTAAGCTTCGGATGAGCGAAATTTTCGATTTTTTCCCTGCCGAGGGGGTTCCGATGTTAAAATGAATTCTTGCTAGAGATTAAGGGTGTTCTGTTCTATGTGTAGCTCTCTCTTTGTTCTTTAGATTCTAGCTTTTCAGACCAGTTTTCACTTCCATTGGCATCATTAAAAAGCATACTGTTTGGTGGCAGAGAACTTCCAAAAGAGGACAGGATGTGATTATGTATTGGATTATGGAGTAGGAGTCCGAAATAATAGAAAAACAGCTCAATCTTTTAGGCATTCTCAAGCTTAATATTTCTAATTACCAAAAGCAAAAAGGAAAAGATTTGAATGTGCCTTTGAAGGAGCTAAAGTAATTCTTTTGTTGAGTAGCTCTTCAACTTCTCTAGGAATGGAAATGCTATAGTTTTCTTTTCAATTTTAGATGGTAGCAAAGAATGATGGTGTTTCTTACTATTATCAACAGAACAGCGGAATTAGTCGAAGCAGTTCTGCAGGGGAGGAACGGATCTGTATTCTGCTATGGCGCAACTGGAGCTGGAAAGACTTACACGATGCTTGGCACTGTTGAGAATCCTGGAGTCATGGTTTTGGCAATTAAGGATCTCTTCACCAAAATCAGGCAGAGGAGCTGTGATGGAAACCATGTGGTTCATCTGTCCTATCTCGAGGTCTATAACGAAACTGTCCGCGATTTGCTTTCTCCCGGAAGGCCTCTTGTTCTCAGAGAAGATAAACAGGTTGGATCACGGATATATCTGAACGTATTCGAGAAGAATTTACTTTTTTGCATTATCATCAACCTAGTTAATAGCACTCCTCTCTAGTCTAGTCTTTTGTATGAACTTGCTTTATGGAATAGAAAATGATCATTTTCGGAACTTCTTTTTCAAGAATTGCATAAGGAGTTCAGCTTGTACTATCTCAACCTAGAATTTAGGATCTCCCATGTGATAAAATTCAGTGGTTCGCCCTGTAACATATAGGAGAAGAACTATTCTCAAACTTTTATGAAGAATACTCAAGTATTACTGTTGCCTCTTTTTACTTTTTATTTAGTGCTAATGGTCTTTCTGTTCATTATCCTTTGCAGTTATTGTTTTGCCAATATGAAAGCCCCTCAGTTAGCTAGGATGCAATTGAATATATATTTTTTCTTCTCAATCTCGTCTTAGTTGATAAGTTTGATCAATATCTAAATTGCGGTTGACTGTTCTCCAGGGGATTGTGGCAGCTGGTCTCACGCAATACAGAGCTTATTCAACAGATGAAGTAATAATACCATTCCCTCTTAAACTTCACTAATCTGTGAGTTTGTTGAATGTAGAGGCTGATAATCTTCTTTCCTCATTTGCTTGCGAGACAGGTAATGTCACTGCTTTTCCAAGGGAACCAAAACCGAACAACTGAACCAACACGGGCCAATGAAACGTCTTCCCGATCCCATGCCATTCTCCAGGTATATTTGCAAATACATTTAGTTAACAAGGTTTCCAATAGGAACTGTGATTCCGAGTTTCTTACACCGTGCTTTGTCGTAATCAGGTTGCGGTTGAATATCGAGTAAAAGATGCCGCCATGAATGTGGTCAACCGAGTGGGTAAGTTGTCATTGATTGATCTTGCCGGGTCAGAGAGAGCTCTTGCCACAGATCAGAGAACACTTAGATCACTTGAAGGTGCCAACATTAATCGGTCTCTTCTTGCACTAAGTAGCTGCATTAGTGCTCTTGTGGAGGGAAAAAGGCACATTCCATACCGAAACTCAAAGCTCACACAACTGCTCAAGGACTCTCTAGGGGGATCTTGTAATACTGTGATGATCGCCAATATCAGCCCAAGCAATCTCTCATTTGGTGAGACACAAAACACACTTCATTGGGCAGACCGGGCCAAACAAATCCGTACCAAGGTTTGATTCCTTGCAATTGTTATTTTCCTAGCTTTAGATAACTAATAATGCTCCTTCTTAATGCATTTTCTTGAAACTTAGGGGCTTCTCATTGGAGATGTTGACTATCATTATTGATACTTCCTTATATTTTCGCAGGCATGTGAGGTGAATGAGGAAACATTGCAGGTACCAGAATCAGAAACAGATCAGGCCAAGCTCTTACTGGAGTTACAAAAAGAGAATCGAGAATTGCGAGCACAATTGGCTAGGCAGCAACAGAAGCTCCTCAGCCTTCACGCACAATCCTTGGCTGCCCAATCGTCTCCCACCCCGTCCTCTGTGACCTCTCTGTTGACTCCTCCTACATCAGGCCAGCCGAATGAAAAACGGAGACCCAGAGCTTCTTTCTTATCAGGCACTTGTTTCACTCCAGAATTCAAAAGGAAGGGAGCAGATGAAGTGATTAAAGAGCTTCAACAAACTGTCAAAGCCTTGGAGGCGGACATGCAAAAGATGAAGAAAGAACACGCCATGGAATTGAAACAGAAGGATGATTGCATAAAGCAGCTTTCACGAAAGGGTGAAAGAACATCATCGATAGGGGTGGGAGGGGAAGGAGTGAAAAGGGTAGTCACAAGGGCTAGCTTGAGACCTAAGGAGCTGAGCACCGGTGAGTTGAGGAGCCCGAATCACCGATTCAAATCACCAATTCCAACGGCTAAGAAGCGCAGCTTTTGGGACATAACAACGGCTAATAGCCCTTCGGTTGCCACGCACAATGGAAGAAAGACCAGAAGCCATGTTGTTCCCGACCTGGCTGGAGCTCCCTCCATGCTGCTTCAGGTAATGTAGTCAACCCATCCCTGCCATTTTCCAGAATGGCATTATGCTATTCCAACTTACATGCATCCACTGAACAATCATAAGCACATTAAAACTGTGCCAGAGTTCTTCTGCTGCTGCTGATCAAGTTTGCATATCCTTTTTCTATGACTATTTTTATTAACAAAGAAATTGTGTCATACAGCCGGGTTTCACTCGTAAAAGGCCTGAATGTTTCAAGTAGAGGCACCTGAAGAAAGAAAAGCGGGACAGATGGAGCTCGAGCATGATAATGCGTAGACGAGGAGACGGAGAGAGCAGCATGCTGGTGGCATTCTATAATTAAGGACATTTGCTTTGTGGGCTGTTTTTCCACGTCTCTCTTCCTCTACGCATGCGATCAATCGAGCCTTCATAAATTCTGTTTGTATCCTTACCGTTTATTCTTTCCCAATGGTTTCAATTGAGATCGTAGCAGATTCTTTTGTTTGTTTGATTAGATTATGTTCGATGTAATGCTTGACTCCGAAATGACTGCGCAATAAGTATTGCTGGGTGTCGTAGGCTCTTTTCATGTGTCTATAACAGGGCGGTCCTCTTCAATAGGCATCCTTAAACTTTTCGAGAGATCCTGGTTGCAACTTTGATTTAGCTCAAAACCAAGAAAGATATATCCATAATAGTTCGGACAAGTGACTGTCGACGGGACACAACACGCGGGGTGGATAAATCTGTAGTTTCGCAAAGACTCCGAATCAGGATGGCAAGATTTTCGTTCAAATCCTAAATCCTGGTATCATCATCATCTTCTTCTTTGGCCAAAGGTGTCATTCACCTTTTCCAAGGAGAGAGAGACCCTACTAAAACAATTTGACTTTGGATTATGTGGTATTCTATGCTTCTGGTGAAGTTGTGTCGGCATGTGCCGTTTCAGAATCAAGAAGCAGTTTCAGAAAGAAAATTCCAAACATGGTGCGTAGGCTGACATTTCCCTCAACATAATTACATTATTCCTCGCCACATGACACAAATTATCGACAGCAAAAAGCTGGGATATCTTCCTGTTATTCATCCTTGAGGATTCAACATCAGCAATCCCAATGAACCAATTCTGGTTGCTTCCAGTTTGCGAGAGAGCATTTCTTGGAAGAATTGAAACTGCATCTAATAACATCTGCAGCCACAGCTCTCAACAACAGCCTTCAATTCTTAAGAAGAGTAACTTCATTGCATGGAGGATGTATAGAAAAGTAACTACAGCGATCACGGACCAGAAACAGAGGATTGGAGCATGGTAAGAGCCCTCGCTAATTACATTAGGAAAACATCCATACATAAAATACAAGCTCGAAATGTATAATGATATCAACAAAAGCCAGACTACCTCCCAACTGGCTCTGTACAAAATAAGAGGAGATCAGAAGCACTTATAGAAGAGTTAGAGATGCTTGCCTATGGTTTAAGGAAATCAAGGTCCTAAAATTAGCTCTCTGCATTAGAGTCTACATCTGCTTGTTTGGGGACAGCGGCCCCACCATTCATTCTGGCACGTGCCTCAGCAAACATCCTTTGCTGTTCTGCCAGTAGTGCTTCTTCGGTCATCTCGGCTCCATTACTCCATTTACCACCTTTAAGAGAATCCTGCTGCGCACATTAAAAGAGAAGATGTTAATGCTCCAGCCATCTTCTGAAACTAACATGGCCCAAAAGCAATAATCAAGAAGGGATCAAACTGCAACATGACTTTCCAAAAACAAAAGAGCAAACACTGCTTATGTTTTGCATCTTGCAACAGATGCACAGTTCAACTAGTTTTTGAATCCCTCCACTTCATAATTCTTCTCTAGCATTGTCTTTTCGACAAACGGATAGGCTATACGCACAACATTATTGATTCTACCAGCAGAGACCAAGAGCTTACTAGGAACACTGAAAATGAAAAATAACGGTGGTTTATTCTGTTCCTGACACTCTTAAGGAACAGGACCAACAGACTCGAGTCACCCTCCACAATAGTTGCGATATTGAACAAAAATTTTGATCAGAGAACTCATCATAAACCACGAAATCAAGAAGTCCCTATGGAAAAGCTGGCTTCTTTAGATCTTATGCTTAAAATTAAGAGTCAACCGATCAGAAGATATAAAAAAACTCAGTTGCTTTGAAGTTTAGATAGCTTTAAAAATTGTAGCACAATTCATCTCCATAAAGTTTGTTAGGGATGATGATATCCACTCTGAAAGTATCTTCAAATTCCAACGTACCAGCTCGTAGAATATTAACAGCCACGCATGGAGCAAATGAGCAGTATGTTTTTTAACTTGTCACACAGTTACAACAGAAATACACTTCAGGAAAAAGAAAGCAGTACCATTGTCTCGTGCTTGTGTTGTTCATAGGCTGCATATACCTCTTCAATGTACTCCCCAAACCCGAGAACCTGAAATGATGCCGGTTTGGCTTTCAGTAAGCATGCAGGAGAACGTAATTTATTCGAAGATCTTAATGGATATATGCCAGGGAAGCAACACAATTTAGCTTTTAAGATAAAAACCATTGCCATTGTGAACTATCATTCACCAGGACAGAACTCAATCACATGGTTCTTTTGCTAGGATAGGAGAATGTGAAGAATCAAAAGAAAATCAATTATCAATGCAGAGTGTCCAAGGAACGAACAAGAACAAGAACATGAAGAGCACCTCTAATGCCTTGAGTACATGCTCAGGAGCAATCGTTCTTTTCTCCTCTCGATTACAAACTTCATTCGATTCAGATGACACAAGGTTTATGAACTCTGAGGAGACAACATAAAAAGGAAAAGATGTCAGATAGGCAACCAGAATATTGTTTAAAAAAAAAGGAACGCGATAGCTAAGGAGCAACGAGAATAGGAGAAAGGCAAACAATATGAAAACATTGCAAGTCAACTTAGCAAAAACCTCTGTACAAATTCACAAGTTTCTATACAGGAGCTGTTTCAAAGAGATGGAGTATGGTTAACCTATCAAGAAGTAAATATGGATATAAAAGTATTGTTGGTAAAAGAGCCCCAGTATAAAGCAAATGTTGTCTCAGGTGCACAAAATGCACCAACTCAACTTCTGGGAAGCTCCGATCAAAAAAAAAAAAAAACAAAAACTTCTGGGAAGAAAAAAAAAATTGGTCACATGCAAATGAATCACCATTCCATTGCAATTATTGAACCCTAAGCAATATGGTACCTGAAACCCAAAAGCTACTATATAAAGTACTGGAACTATATATATTATACATATTGGCAATAATTTACTAGCGATATTCATTGACTATTATCATCAAATAACATTTTGTCCATCCATAAACAAGCGAGTGAAGTACCGGATCAACTCAAAATGATCTATGACTTATTTATGCTTGTCATAAGATCATATTCAATCAAAACACCTATTTCTCACCTACACAACACTCGATTAATAGATCTTGAGCATCTCGTGCAACACGAACATCAGGTGGTAGCATTTCCTTTATGATTTTCGTCATAGTTGCTGCAAAAACAATAAACAGATAGACCGCTTTAGTACATAGTAGAGCATAAGAACACACCGATCTGACGAGTATAATACCACCTGATTAATCAAATTATTTCAAACTGTTATAAGTGTTATGAAAAACCCACTATGCACAACATAGCGAAGTTTTACAAATATGCATGACATCCCCGCTGCCAAATATTGCTTCATCCGCAGGATGGGTCCCCACACAATTGTTTCCCTTAATCAGCTAGTAAATTAGAATTGAGTAAACTAGTGTCATGGGCTTCCCATGGCTACACTTGCAGTAAGAGGACGAGCATTGAAATAAAACTATGGCAAAAGAGGTACTGAAGCAAGGTCGAAACAATTTGTATGCCCAATGTATCCAAACCCTATCTCCTAATCCCATTAAGTTTTAACGAAAAAAGAAAACATATTTACCAGAAGGAAATACCGACTGCAGAAATCAAGAAGGTGGTCATAACAAATAGGTCAATCCATGACTATCTCATGCCAATTTGAGATCAACACAACGGATCAACCCATTGACTTGCCTGCCAAAGCTACTTCCAACACAGTGTGCTCGATACCCCGAAAACTCCAATTTCACTAACAAATTGCTAATAACGAATACCGTCGCCGCCGCCGCCACGCTTACTTCCAAGTTTTTTTTGCGAGATAGAAGAAAACCGAAAGGACAAACCCCGCATAGTTAAACCCCAAATTAAGTCACTCTCACTGACTAAGCCAATCGTGCAATCAGAAACGAAACCCCAATTCACACCCACCCACTCGACCCCCGAATTAGAGATACAGAAAACACCATCATCCCCAAACCAATACAACAGAAATCCGCCAAGCGCACACATTAGACGAAGAGAAAAGAGGGAAGAAGAAGAAGGGAAAAAAAAAAGACCGACCTTTGGGGAGCGAAGCATCCTCCTTCGATTTGCCGACTATATCCATCGGGTCCATCTTCCGAACACCCAAAACGAACCCAAACCCTAAACCAACCACGCGCGCAGCAGGCCTAGTCAGAACCACTCCGATCAACAAGCAACGGCACGCAAAGATCTCCCCCCCCCAAAAAAACACACGAGATCCAAAAAAAACGCGACGGTCCTCACCCCCACAGCGATTTTCAAGGGCCGAGCGCGGAGCCAGCGCCGAGCCGATACCGATCGTCCGCTGCCGGAATCGGGGCCGCGCCGGGCGGGAGGGACCGATGCGCGAGCGTCGGCGGCCGTCTGCGGCGAGGCGAGGCGAGGCGCGATCGACGGTCGCGATCGAAGTCGAATTTTTTGCCGGGGAGGAGGAGGAGAAGAGGGTCACGGTTCTTCAGGAATCGGAGGATAAAAGAAAGGCCACTCGCGGCTGATTTAGGGCAAAGCGGAGCGAGGCGGAATTTGTTTAAATCCGCCGGGACTTCTCCCCCCACCCCCTAACCCCACCCCCCACCACCGCCACGCGCCGGGGTTGGCGCGTGGGGTCCAGTCGCGCGCCAGCTAAGGGGGGTGGCGATTCGCGCGGCGGCGATCGCGCACGCGGCTTTGAAGTGCGTGGAATAGGCGAACCGGAGCTCCCTGGGGGCTTCTCCTCATTTGTTTTCCTCCTAGGAAAAAAAATAAAAAATAAAAAAATATATTTTCGACCCAAAAAAAAATATTTATTTATTTATATAGAGAGAGAGAGAGGAGCTGATAGGAGAAAAGGTCAGAAACTAATTTCGTGCACGTACCACGCCGTTTAGGGGAAAATTCGGTTTTGACTTCTTAGATGGGCCTGGCCTGTTGGGCTTTTTGCTTCTTGGGCCTAAACAAGGTCCACTGGGCCTAGATGTTGTGAATGGGCGGGCCGGGCCCAAAAGGTGCTTCGGGCTTCTTCTGCACAACCCCCCGGTTTGTATTGACCCCAAGAGTCAGGGAGCGATAGGAGAGGAGTGGAGGTTGATGGCAATAGTTTTGGTACGTGATTTATTGACTATAGCGAGATCGGTTAGGCTAGAAAAAATCTCGATTAGCTTTCGCGCACGAGATTATACTAACATCTTAGCTTCGCCTAAAGATAAATCGAACCAATCTCAAGAAGCCGTTAAAAGTCGTGTCGAGACCCGACACATGAAGCTGCAAACCTCGGATTAAACCCAGTTCATCAATTGGAGTAAGAGTATGGGATAAGCGTCGGCTCTTACTCAAAACTATTTTCCAGAGTTTGAGTACTGTGAGCAAGAGTCGACACTTATTACGATACATATCTCTCAAAAAACGTCATGCCTGAATATTGCCTATCCTAATGTTACTTTAAAGAGTTTTCTATGTAAAGAGGCAGCCACGTCTTCTTCCCCTACCCTTCTCTGGTCCCTGTTCTTTCTTCCCCCCGAAGAAGTGGGTAGTGAGAGAAGTAGTTGGGTGCCTGGTGTAGTACAGCATCCAACAAAAGTCATACTTGCTACTTCCACCTACAGGTCAAAACGAAGGAATGACAGGAAGGTCCAGAGCTTAAGCGAAAGAGAAAACAGTATTTCAGAACTTTAGAATCTTGGTGCACTTGGCTGGCCTTGTTTGACATTGACAAAATCTCAAATTTACTACTATAGCTTAAACCATAAGAAATTTCGCAAAGATCCCACAGTTCCAAGCGGTCTACCCTCTTTTGGGTTCTTTGCAGGTCATTCTCTTCTTCGAAGATCAGGTCTCTACAGGATGGAATCTGTCCCTTCTAAGCACATTTCCTTCGTTTCTTTGGCTCTTTCAGCTGAAACTTTCATTCCTTTCTTCTTCCTGGGATTTGCTACCTGAACTGTCTTTCCACTATATCTTCAAATCTCTCTCTCTGTCTCTTCTAAGTTTCCACCCAATCCTGTTCAAAGACAGGGATCAGTTGCTTTCCAATATTTTGTCCTGTATGAACATGGGTTTTGATGCGCACTTTGGATCCAACAGTACAGAGGAAGCTGATTTCAGGGTGTTTTTAATTCTTGGAGGAGGGATTGTGTCCTCCGGAAGAGCTCTTTATGGGGTCTGAAACTAGACATTGCGGTTAGAAGTTTAAAAGTCGAAGGCAATGGCCGGTGGTAGGAAAAGGAAGCACCATTTCGGCCGAATCCACACTTCTTCGAGCGGGAAAGACTCCTTCTTCGGCGAGCATTTCCTGATCGGAGGGCCCGGCTTTTCGAGAGTGGTGTTTTGCAATGACCCGGATTGCATCGAGGCCGGTAATCAGAAGTATGCTGGTAATTATGTGAGGAGCACTAAGTACACGCTTGCCACATTCCTTCCCAAGTCATTCTTCGAGCAGTTCAGGAGGGTGGCCAACATATATTTCCTCCTTTGCGCTTTGTTATCTTTCACTCCGATGTCTCCTTACTCTGCCGTCAGCAATGTCCTTCCTCTAGTTGTCGTTATTGGAGTCACGATGGCCAAGGAGATTATCGAAGATTGGCAGAGGAAGAAGCAGGTAAGCCTCCATTAATCACCGCTTGCAGAGAGACGAAATTATTATCTCCATTTCTTATGTCCATTGGGATACACAGCAAAGTGTTCTTGCTTTTCCACCTAGAAATCATTTCAGCTTTGATAGGCGTGTTGAGGTAACAAGGACTGCTCGCCTTTAGTACGAAAAATGTGCACAGCATAGGTGGTTGATATAGTTCTCCAAAATTGTCTGATCATCCAATAACGTGTGCTTCTGTGTGCGTTTTATTTGTGCGATATGTCTATTTCATGCCATAGGTGAGGATTATCCGATTAACATCGGCATTTCATTTTTGATACTTTAAACTCGTAAGTCATAAAAACAATTTTCTGTTGGCTGGTTTTGCTGGCGCTGTTGGGACAGGATATTGAGGTGAACAATAGGAAGGTAAAAGTGCATAATGGTGATGGTGTTTTCAACGATACTAAATGGCGAGATTTGAAAGTTGGAACTGTTGTGAAGGTAGAGAAGGATGAATTCTTCCCAGCTGACCTGATCTTACTCTCATCCAGTTACGATGAAGCAATTTGCTATGTCGAGACCATGAATCTTGATGGAGAAACCAACTTGAAGCTAAAACAAGCACTCGATGCAACTTCGAAATTGCAAGAGGACTCAGACTTTCTAAATTGTAAGGCCATGATTAGATGTGAAGACCCGAATGCGAATTTGTACTCTTTCATTGGGACCTTGGATCTTGGGCAAGAACACCACCCTCTAAGTCCTCAGCAACTTCTGCTAAGGGACTCAAAGCTACGTAACACAGATTACGTCTATGGGGTGGTCATTTTCACAGGTCATGACACGAAGGTCATTCAGAATTCAACTGCACCGCCCTCCAAGAGAAGCAAGATCGAGAGAAGAATGGATAAAATTGTGTACTCTTTATTCGCTTTCTTGGTTCTTCTCTCTATCATTGGCTCGATATTCTTTGGAATTTCTACCAGTCATGACCTTGGAGGTGAATTTATGACAAGGTGGTATCTACGACCAGATGATACGACAATCTACTATGATCCCAAAAGAGCGGTGATTGCAGCCTTATTGCATTTTTTGACAGCACTAATGTTGTACAGCTATTTCATCCCCATTTCCTTGTATGTGTCCATAGAGATCGTGAAGGTTCTTCAAAGCATCTTCATTAATCGAGATCTGCTTATGTACTATGAGGAAGGAGACAAGCCTGCTCAGGCCCGTACCTCGAATTTGAATGAAGAACTAGGCCAGGTTGACACAATTCTTTCCGATAAAACCGGTACTTTGACCTGCAATTCCATGGAATTCATAAAGTGTTCAGTGGCTGGTACTGCCTATGGCACCGGAATCACGGAAGTTGAAAGGGCTGTTGCCTGGGGAAAAGGGTCGTCTTTAGATGAAGAGGTGGCAGGAGAGGAAGTCCATACTGAGGACAAGACATCTGTAAAGGGATTTAATTTCACTGATGAAAGGATTATGAATGGTAACTGGGTAAATGAGCCTCGGGCAGATGTCCTCCAGAAGTTCCTGCAATTGTTAGCAATTTGCCACACTGCAATCCCAGAAGTGGATGAAGAAACAGGAAGAATCTCATATGAAGCCGAATCACCAGATGAGGCGGCATTTGTGATTGCAGCAAGAGAACTTGGTTTTGAATTTTTTGAGAGGACTCAGACAAGCATCTCAGTGCGTGAATTAGACCTGACGTCTGGAAAAAAAGTGGAAAGGTTAGCTTTTTGTCAATAATTGGTAATAAATGACCTAAACAAAATTTTACTTTGCTTGCTCTGGTAGTTATCCTGATGATAAGTTGCTGAAGCTTTTTCTTCTGTGATATATGTAATAATGGCATGTTATGGGTTTAATTACCATATCCTGCTAGAGTTAATCAAACATCCTTGAGGTATGAGTCATATCGGGTGTTCATTTGCAGAACCTATAAGCTGTTAAGTATCTTGGAGTTCAGTAGCTCGAGGAAGCGGATGTCTGTAATTGTGAGGAATGAGGAGGGGAAGCTATTACTGCTCACTAAAGGAGCCGACAGGTTTGATAAATAAAGATCCAATTATCATGGACTACTCATGGCCTCAACTTGGAAATTTTGACTTAGGCTAATAATTTCTCTCTCTCTCTTTCTCTCTCTCTCTCTCTCTTTCTCTCTCTCTCTCTCTCCAATCAAACAGTGTCATGTTTGAGAGACTTTCAGAAACTGGAAGCGAATATTTAAAACAGACAAAGGAGCACGTAAATGAATATGCCGACGCAGGTTTGAGGACAATGGTGCTAGCATATCGTGAGCTTAATGAGGATGAGTACAGTGAGTTCAATGAAGCATTTGCAGCTGCAAAGAATATAGTTAGCGCCGATCGCGAGGAAGAGATTGAGGCAGTTGAAGAAAGGATCGAGAAGGATTTAATTCTCCTGGGGGCTACAGCTGTCGAGGATAAACTTCAAAATGGGGTGAGAACTTGAGTTGAGACACTTTAATTGAATACAGATTCCAGCAGGGACTGATCATAACTGGAAAATGATTGTGGAAACAATTTTTAATAGTTGTGAAAGATAGTCAAAGCTGCTTATGGTTTTCTCACAAAATAATCTCAATTATCCATATCTTGACCCACATTTTCCAGTTCTTAATAAAGGTTTGGGTTACATATGAATTATGTTGGATAGGTTCCTGATTGCATTGACAAACTTGCTCAAGCTGGAATCAAGATGTGGGTTCTCACAGGAGACAAGATGGAGACGGCGATCAATATTGGGTAGGTCTTCTTTTTATATGTGGAGTAAACAAAGGCAATATTTGAAGAATTTAAACTTACTGTTGGATTGTTTGCAGCTTTTCCTGTAGCTTGCTTAGACAAGGAATGAAGCAGATAATAATCAACTCTGAGACACCGGAGTATAAGTCCTTGGAGAAAGCAGGGGACAGTTCTGCCACTGCTGCGGTATTTTCTTCTATATTCTTATGTTTCCTTTGCTTACATATTCAAATATTACTAGTAGTGAGGCTGGCAGAGATTGCTTGCTTTTTCAGGCAGTCAAGGCAAGCGTCCTCCGTGATATAAGTGAAGGCAAAGCTTTGCTTGATGCATCTAGGGAAAGCCCTGACGTTTTGGCATTGATCATCGATGGCAACTCGCTTACTTATGCTCTGGAAGACGATGCCAAGGACATGTTCCTCGACCTTGCCATTGGCTGTGCATCTGTTATTTGCTGTCGCTCATCTCCCAAACAGAAAGCATTAGTATGTCCCGCAATCTTCGTCATATTGCCCTATTAGTCTTTCTAGTCCTTCTACCATAATTTGTCGAATTGAGATAATTTTAAAAAAACCTGATTGTGCTTGTATTTTCTCTCAGCTCCACAGTCTTCTAAAATCGCTATGAACTGCAGATAACAATCTGGCCTTTGGTCCAGCCAATTATGATGAATTGTGTAAGAAAAATCGTAGGGGATTATCTTATTATGCTATGCAGAATCGAAATTAAAATGGGCTCTGTACTTCACTTCATTTACTATGTTCTGTTGCAGCAGGTTTTTGAAGCCACTGTGAAAAAAGTGAAGTTTTCAAGAGAATCCTGATAAATCTTATAGATGCTAAGCTAGCTGGACTTATTAAAAAATTCCTATCTTTGAGAACTCAAGCATTAGCAATGCATCAGTTTAAAGGTTGACATTAAAACATTCCGTGTCCGAGTTGCCTTATTTACCAATTGAAGATTCACTAGTTTCGCTCCTTGAAATTTCTAGGTCACAAGGCTGGTTAAACTCAGAACAGGCGGTACCACTTTAGCGATTGGCGATGGCGCAAATGATGTAGGAATGCTTCAGGAAGCAGATATTGGAGTTGGCATCAGCGGATTTGAAGGAATGCAGGTAACAACTCCAAGAGGTTCTCCTTTTCTTTGTATGCCAGTACCACTTGTTGTCTGATCAGCTCACTGTCACTGTTATTCCAATTTTTCAGGCTGTTATGTCCAGCGACATTGCGATTGCGCAGTTCCGATTTCTGGAAAGGTTGCTACTTGTCCACGGGCATTGGTGTTACAGAAGGATGTCATCAATGGTAACAATCAACGAGAAAGTTCAATCTCTAGACTTGCAGAAACATCTTTTTGTTATTGGAGAGATACACTCGCTCTCATATTGGAAAGCCAAAAATTTAGATTGTTTCTTGGCCCTTGCCACTTCCGTCCAATGGATCTATTCACTTATGTTCTGCTTATATCTATTAACAGATCTGCTATTTCTTCTACAAGAACATTGCCTTTGGCTTCACGCTCTTCTACTTCGAGGCCTATGCCGCATTCTCTGGAGAAACCGCTTACAATGATTGGTATCTCTCGTTTTACAACGTTTTCTTCACCTCACTCCCCGTAATTGCCCTCGGAGTATTCGACCAAGACGTCTCAGCTCGCTTATGTCTCAGGGTAGGTTCGTTAATGCAACATTGTTATGTTGCTCGTAGTTTCTGTATGCTTTAATTATATCCTTATCGATTGAATTTATTTGACGTTACAGTTCCCACTTTTATACCAAGAAGGCGTGCAAAACATGCTATTCAGCTGGAGCAGAATCCTTGGATGGGCGTTAAACGGAGTCCTCAGTGCCACTTGCATCTTCTTCTTCTGTGTCTGCGCCGTGGAGACTCAAGCATTTAGGAAAGGAGGTGAAGTGGTCGGCTTCGAAATCCTTGGAACGACGATGTACACCTGCGTCGTTTGGGTCGTCAACTGCCAGATGGCGCTATCAATCAACTACTTCACATACATTCAACATCTCTTCATCTGGGGAGGGATTATATTTTGGTACATATTCCTCCTAGCGTACGGAGCTATGGACCCTGAAATATCCACGACCGCCTATATGGTCTTCTTCGAGGCATGCGCGCCCGCTTTCTCCTTTTGGCTCATCACACTCTTCGTTCTGGTCTCATCGCTCCTGCCGTATTTCATTTACTCGGCCGTTCAAATGCGGTTTTTCCCAATGTACCATCAGATGATACATTGGATAAGGAATGATGGGCAATCAGACGATCCTGAATACTGTCGACTGGTGTGCCAGAGATCATTGAAGCCCACCACAGTCGGTTTCACTGCTCGTTATGAGGCGACATCAAAACGCTTCGAGGAGATCAAGGCTGAAGAAGAATGAAGAGATTCTTTCTTTTTGTAGACTATTATTAGGATACTTTGTTAGCAAGTATTAAGGTCTTTAAGCGTGTATACCACGAGAGATCAACTCTCGAGCCGCTTTTTCTCAAAGGAGGTTCGCAAGATGACGGTCCCAACTGTGATTGCGCTGCTGTGACCTCCTGCAACATTTTTTCAGCTCCAAGACAATTATTTGATGTTTTGGAAGCATGGAGAGACATTGGACAGGATTTTTCACCAATCTTGTCACGGATGAAGTAGTAAACTGTACTTGTCATTACTCTTATAACCAATATTGCGGAGATTTCTCTATCTGTTCTGAATAGATCAGCAGTGTGATTTGGGAAAACCAGTAGCCAAAAAAGCCAGTTGCTGCCACAAGCTCTTCGTATAGGTTGAGAATCTCATGCATACCTAATTGAGATGTCATATGATTGCATCGCCAAACCCAATTGGGAGACCAAAACAACAAGCTTATGATGGTCATTAGAAATCATCTTAACTTAGTACTCGGCGACCTCAAGTCAATTCCGTAAACTACAGCCAGTATATTCTCCACAATCTTTAAATTCCAGCTGGTTTTGAGAACCACACAACCGCATCCGGAGCTTCGATATGTTGCAGACGTGACATGTGAGTTCAAATCGGCAAGTTCAGTTCTCAGAGCAGTAAAAAAGACCTCTTCCTTTTAGTCAAGAAATGACCCAGCAAGCTCCTCTTCCAAGTCACTATTCCTATCACTGACATTCACATGGTTTAAGAAATCTTTATCTGGGCATCTCAGTAAACTTAGCATAAGCAAAGAACAAGTAATCTTCGCGCCGCTGCTATGTCTTTTACATAGAATTTGTTGTGTTATTTTCACTTATTTCTGGTAGCAAATGTTGGTCTGGACACATTTCTCTCGGTTATTGTTGAAGGTCCGAATACATTCGAGACGCGAAACGGATCCCTTTTATGCGGTAGCAAATCAATATGCTATGCAGAACTTTTCTCAGCTGACACAACTATAACTCTACAACGAGTGCAAACTCTGACAATTCGTGCCATTCAGATTAAAAGTTTTATAGAGACAGCGCAGGAATGGATTGATTCTGCCATCCATGAGACAGAGCTTTGAGTTGAATCATGCAGTGACTTTAAGCACATGGTCACAGCTAAATCTGTCTCTACCCTTGGTCAACACTCACCATCACAAACGTTAAAAATTACATGGGACAACTCACCTTCTCATGTCCGAATGCAGAAAGCAATAAAAAAAAAGGGTGGTTCACAATGACAATCTCATGCTTCTACCTATTTGTTTCTTGGCGCAATCGGATTCCGGGTTCGGAGTGAAATTGCAGATCATGAGAAGAAAAAAAATACAGCGAGCAATCCACACACAAGATCAGGACTTGCACGAGGAGAAACTCCAGAAATCAATTGATCTGGGGAACAAATTGTCGGCTGACAGATCTTATCTACATATAAAAGAATTAATCAACAGTTGAGGTCGAACCGGGTTCTCGGGTTCTTGCCTCGTGTCGCGCGAATCATGCGCATTGCAAAGCAAGAAAGAACTCACTTTCTAGAATTCTAACCATCTAATCAACATTGGTTTTCCAGAGAGACCATGAATCTGCACAAACTCTCTGCAATGTGGATGACCTTATGTCGTTCTGGCTTGCCAAAGATCACCACATTACCAGTAAAAGGATCATCTACATTACTAAAAGGATCTGCCGAAGATATCAGAGGCCGATTTCGCCATTACAGTAGCGAACTCATTAAAGCTAATCATGCCATCCCCGTCCGCATCGGCCTCCTTGATCATCTCCCTGAGCTCCTTGTACGTCAGCGGCTGGCCCATCTTGGCCATAGCCCCGGCGAGTTCCGCCGCGGTGATGTACCCGTTGCCATCGCGGTCAAAGGAACGGAACACCTCCAGGAGCTGCTCCTGGTTGATCAGCGCGTCCTCGTTTATGCCCGGCAGTATCACGTTCACCAGCTCGTCGAACTCGACCAGGCCGTTGCCGTTGGCGTCCATGTTGCCGAGCAGGACGTGGACCTGGTCCCCGGATGGCTTGAGCCCGAGCGAGCGGAGGAGTGCCGCGAGCTCCAGGATCGTCAGGCTGCCGTCGGAGTCCATGTCGAACCGCTCGAATATGTCCCTCAGCTGGCTCAGCGACTCCGCCATGGCTAGATTTTTAACGTCGTGGCACGCGATGTTCTGCTACACGGAATCTGCGTGCTCCTCCGCAGGGAGGCCGGAGGTGAATGCGCGGATGAAAAAGCGGGTTCTTGGAAGGAGGAGGGGAGGAGGCGGCGGCGGCGGCGACGGCGGCGTCGGTGGGTGGTTGGTGGTGGTGGTGGCGGTGGTGGTGGAGGAGGAGAAGAGAAGAAGAGGGGGGGTGGGATCTTGGTATATTAAGCAATGGAGGAGGGGGTGGTGACTGTTGAAGTTGGTTATGGATTTGAGGTTCATCTTGGTCCCAATGGCATGGACTTTATAACAGAAATAGCGCGTCGGTGATTAAATTTGTACCAGAAAGACAGAAGATTTTCAGGACAGGTTAGTCTAGTTGGACTATAGGTAAGTTCAAGGAAAGTGTCCACTTTGTTCATTTCAATGCTGTATGTGTTGGGGAGCATCTCTTGGCCAATTCACGAATGTGTTGACTTGGCATCGTAGAGCAGAGAATCTGGGCATTTTGTTAACTTTCGAGTGTCACGTCTTAGGGTAGACAAGCCATTGTCAACCTTGGTGGTGGGTGAAATTTGAGTGCTAGATAAAAATAAAAAGATAAAATTGAGTGCTAGGTAAATCTGAAAGTGAGAGATTGTATGGGAAGAGGCCAACTAGCTTAACTGAATTGAAAAACGTTTTGCTGATAATCATTGTTTGTATCGCTTAAAAGATGAACGAACGAAAAATATTTTCATCGTTCATGCAAATATTTAGACATAAATTATTTTCGGTAATGAAAATATTTTTATTTGTCCAATTATTTCAAGCGATATAAGCGATCATTTTGAGGACAATGTTTTTCAAATCATTCGTTTTCTGATAAACAAACGGAGCCTAAATGTCTCGGCCAACAAAATTTCACTGTTCGCCATCCTTGCATGAACAATACATTGGTCTTTCTAGGTAATTTCTCGGGATTGGATACAACTATTTATATGCATACTTTTGTCTAGAGACTAATGTTGCCACCTAGCAAATTTGCTAGCAAGCTCCTCTCAAGAGTGTTGAGGTTGTCCCACATCGGTTGTAGAAGATGTTAGTGATCGGTTTATAAATGTGAGGAAAAGCCTCACCCTAGAATGTGGAGGACAATATTATTATGTGGATACCGAATCTTTAGATAAATTGTATCGGAGTAGGGACGTCTTATGCTCGAATCTTTCAAATGGGACTCTTTACTTGTATACCCACTTGTTGATCTTCCTTTTCAATTTTTAATTTTTAGATTCATTGGGTGATCCCACCAAAATCCATAGAAATCTCTATATTCTCGTGCTTGATAAGTTCATGTTAATTTAAAGATTCAAGAAATGTAAAAGAAAAAACATAATTGTAAATTTATGATATTTATTACAAGTCTGCAATCGAGAAATACGGTTCACAATTAAACATAGATGGGTCAAAAGATTAAAAGTATTGAGTAGTTGATCGAAGCGTCGGGAAATTCGCAGCTCAGAAATTAGAAATGTGCTCAAATTCATAAATTGCATGCAAACTACTCTAAATCAAAGTCAACCGTAAAGGCTAAAAGTTTGGAATTAACGGGTTTTTGAATTCGGCAGGGGTGTTAAACTTCAAATAGCCAAGCATCTGTGCTTGTGTCCCACGGAAAGGAACTGAAAATACCGAAGATAAATAGTTGGCAAGATTAAAATACAGAAAGAGCTCATAAAATTGAAAATTGAGTATATATTAAAATACTAGTAACACAAATACATACATCAAGGGATAACATAAGAATACAAACGAGAAACGGGGAATCACACTTTTAAATATGAAAATCAATCAGAATCCTACGGCGAAAATCATGAATCTCAAATTTATACGTTCTTTATATTATTTAGCAGAGATTAATTTTCTTTATAAAAGCACATTTTCACCTATTCATAAGATATAATTATTCGCAAACAACAATTTTTGGCGATCAAAACTATATTGCTTTATCTATATTTGGGAATTATGATTTCATAAATCCTAAAGGTTTGTTATGAAACTTTGACCAAGTCAAATTACTCTTTCGGAAAATCTTGTCGTTTACTGCTAGGTGGTCCCCTTAGTTTTGGCATCATCCGCGGTGCACTCGGAACCAGACACGTGTCACTGCGCCCCCCAGTCCAGCGAAAAGCCTCTTTTTTATATTTTTTTATTGAAACAAGAGTTAATACCACAACAAATCCTAAATTATACTACTTGTTATATATTTACCGCAAATTTTTTTTTGTGACACAAAAAACTTTAAATTATGCCCATCGTGACGCATTTATCCCAAACTTTTTTTTTTGTGACGCTAAAAATTCCAAACTATGCACTTTGCGATACGTCTCCGCTCCGTTATAATTCCGTCCAAAAATACTGTTCATCGTCTTCTCCATAAAAAAATTACACTGTTCATCGTCTTTGAAGTTATGTTCGTCGCCTTTGAAGTTACTGTTCATTCGCCTTCTTGCTCGACCGAAGCTCTTCCGGAGCTCGTCCGTCGCTGCCCATTGCCCGCCTGGACCTCCGGGAGCTTCGTCGTAGTTGCCGACCATGGCGGCCGCTCGAGCTCGAAGCTTGGCCGGCCATGGCCGCTCCGCTCGAGCTCGAAGAACAGTAAGCGAATACGACCCAAGCCAAGGTGAAATTGGGCTCGGAAGGACACGCGCTTGGGATGCAGCAACAAATGCAAGGCACTTTCGCAACTCTTTAACCAACGATTCAGCAAATTAGAAGGGAGAGGGCCAGCTCGCATTCGTGCCATCCCCACAACCCACGGGCCAATCTCCCCAGCCGTCTCATGCTTCACTTCTCGAACCCACGCCGGCGCAACAAAGCTCACGACAAGACCAACCAAACAAGAGATGTAAGCCTTCCAAGTGACGGGATCCCTCAAACATGCGGGATGCGAAACTTCCTTCACCGTGTTTCTCTTCCGGAAGAGCTACGGCCGAGCGAGAAGGCGATGAACAGTAGCTTTCGAAAATTGATGAACAGTGCAATTTTTTTCTTGGAGGAGCGATGAACAGTGCGATGAACAGTAATTTTGGACGGAATTGTAACGGACGGTAAATGTATCACAAAGTGCATAGTTTGGGATTTTTGGTGTCATAAAAAAGGTTTTGGGTAAATGTGTCGCAATGGACATGATTTAGGATTTTTTGTGTCACAAAAAAAAATTTGAGGTAAATGTGTCACAAGCGACGTAATTTGAGATTTTTTGTTGTATTAACCTTTGAAACAAAAGAAATCCAAATGTGTGGAAATCGACACACTTTTAGTACTTCTTGAAAATTACTAATTTATCCATAACGTGGTAATTTGAGCACAAAATTCGCTAATTTCAAATCAAGTATTTAACCACTTGGCCAGCTTTTTAGAAAGATGTTATACTTCGCTCTTTCCAATTCTTATTTTTTCTCCATCTTTTGTGAATTTTATCTCCACCTTGAGAAAAACGATCATCGTTCTTTTTATTATCATTTTTTTTTATTTTTGATCCGTTTATTTCACAAAAAAATGAATGATTTTTAAAATATTTTCCTAATCGCTTAAATAACTAGTCGATAATAAATGTTTTCACTATCCACAACAATTTTGACTAGATATTTTCGTGGACGATTAAAATATTTTTCGTGCACTCATTTTTGTAAGCAACGGAAGCGATCAATTTTAGGAAAGCATTTATCCAATCATTCATTTTCTGTGAACACCGACGGATCAATTTTGTGTTAACCTAGAATCCAACAGAATTGACTCATAGCGCATACCAGTCTCCTCTCCATCTGATTATTCCAATTAGGGCAAAAATAAGAATATTAAAATTCAATTCTTTTGTAATACACCCAATAATGTGATAACTACATGCGGACATCTAAATAACGTTGCCAGTTCGTTTAAATAATGTCAGTTAATACGCACGCGATGTTTCTCTTGCAATTAGTACATTCAAATCTTAATACTTTAGAGTTTAGATTAGTACAAATAATTTACGGAACTTATCCGATTAATGTAATCGAGAACTTCCGTCAACTCGACATTTTCCTCCCTCTCTAGCTTCTATTTTTCTCCCTTTTAAATCTACGGGTTTTTTTCCTTATGTGGCGTCTACCTGACCTCCTATCGTCGCCAAACATCCTCTCGACAGGTATTAAGATATCTCCACGTCGGATTTTTTTTTAACTCTAGTCAACATTAACTATAGTTTTTTTTAGAGTTAAGGGAAGTACACTGTACACATGCGCTTAATTTTTTGGATAATTTTCCTTATATATATATATATATATAAATGCCAGGGTTATTGGTGTGAGTTATTATAAAAAGAAAAAAAACAAAAAAATTTGCTGAAATTTGCTAAGGGCAGAAATCATCCCCCCCCCTCTCTCTCTCTCTCTCTCTCTCTCTCTCTCTCTCTAAATATCTACTTCTACTATTTACAACAGTCCATGTGAGAGAGAGAGAGAGAGAGAGGCGGAGGCGGAGCGACGTACGGCGACGGTGACGCAACCAGATTCCCCTGGTTCATCCTTCAAATCTCGTCTTCGCTCTTCACGCTTCGTTTCCTCGTGGGTCGCTGTGCATGGGGGTTGGGGAGTTCTTGGCGAATGCGGCGAGGTCGTGTTCGGATCTGCGTTTTTCTCTTCTTTTTTTTGTCTGGGTCATCTTGGCCTGGGATTGCTGTCGAAACGGTGCCTCGATCGTGTTTGCAGGGGTTGATTTGTCGGTCTTTCGTGGGTTGGGCTTGTTGGGTGAGCTCGTGTCTTGTTTTGGGTCGCTTGTTAATGGCGTGGAGGGTGGGGGTGGGGTGAAGTCACTGGAGGCAGCGGTTCATCGATCTCTTCCTGGGGTATTTTGTTGGTTCGAATTGACAGAACGCATGAATCGGTCGATAAACCTCTGCATCCAGCGCTCACTCCTCTCTTTTGTTCTGGGTGTGTTTTGCTTTTGTTCTTTTTTTTTTTGTGTTTTTCTTCTTTTTTGGATCTTGTTGGCTTGGTGAAATCTTGGGATGTTGAGAAAGGGGGAGTAGTTTTGGAATTGGGGGGTCCAATGAATGAGAGAGTTTTCCTGGGAACCATTTGGGACATTTCGTTTCTGAGTGGAAGAGCTGTTTTTCAAGCAGTCTTTGATGGAGGAAGATGACCCGGGAGGTAATTGATTCTTGTCACTGAAATTTCTTTGAACCTGAGCAAAGGGTGAGGGAACAAAGTGGCTTGTGGTTCTTTACTCTATGTTTTTCTTTCAAACATTGTTTTGTTTTGTTTTCTTGGTTTTTCGAACTAAATGAGGTTCTTGTTGGTGCTCCTAGCTTGATGATGTTTTTCTTTGAGTGCTTTAATGAGGCAAATTGTCAGCTCTCATTTCAGCTCGGCTTGTGCTGCTGCAGTATCCGACAGATTTTAATGAAATGTCTTATTTCTTAAAAAGGAAAAATTGTCGGGAGCTTTGCTTGATTTAAGATAAAAGTATGCTGTGATTTGTGAAAGAAAAAACAGAGAGAGAGAATGATAGTGTGCGTCATTTGAAACTGATGCTTTTTAGCAGGATTTTCTGCAGCTGTTGTGGTGATTTCGGTAAGCTTGCAACTGTTAGAGCTGTGATTTGTTGTCGAGACTCATTTGGCCATATGAAGTTAACAAATTGTTGGCTTAGCTATAAATTGCTCCGGGTCAATTGACCTGCTTTGAAGAATTACTATAGTTGCCAAAGCATGGAGGAAACAATTGTCAATTGAATGTGCGGAGTTGAGTTGATTTCTCCTCTCGTGCTTCATCATCATCATCATTTCAGTTCATTTCTGGTTCTTCCTCTCAGTCCCAGTTTCTTGGAATATTTGCTGATATAGGTTCTCTAATGCAAAAAGATGTTGAATTTTGTGGGAACTTGTGGTTTTCCTTTTTTAAGTAGAAGTTTGATGCCATTTGCAAAATGGTCATTATCTTCATTACAAAGCCTGCATATGTTTAACAATTCAATCAGCTTGTCTTTCTAGATGCCTTCCTCAAAGCGACTTGTTTATCCTGATTCTTCTTCATAATTATCTTTTGACCTTTTGGCCAAAAGTTGTGTCCTTCGTGTTGATGCATTGGAATATTTACAAGCTCAAGCTTATTATTGCTTCTGCACCTTTTTACATAAGAACTTTGGAGATTGATTTTTCCAGAAGTTTCTACATGGTCATGAGTGGTTTGAGTTTCGGGAAGTCATTAGGTTTTTTATTTTTTTTTCTTCTCTGTTCCTACGTTTGTTAGGGGAAGTGTGATACTGGCTGTCTGCAATGTACCGAATAGTCTTCTCATGGTCGCCTTCATTTAGTTTTTGGATGAAAGTGGTTCCCATGAACATGTCATTTTCTTGATCTGGTGGTAGAAAAGTGGTTCCTTGGTTCCTTTTGGTGCCCTAAGGGGACCATCTTTGAATGAAGTTCCATGGGTAGGACAAGCTGCGGCTTCAAAGTAAGGAAAACAACAGCTTGTGGACTACAACTTGGGAGAGAGAATCCGAAACATTGAAGGAAGCACTTTTGGAATCTGGCATCATGTTCTGCTTATGAAGCTAGTTTGGAAAGAAAGAAAAAGATTTGTGAGGAAAGATTCTTTTGCGTACGCTGTGTAGGAATCACCAAATTCTGGGAACCTGGGTCTGTGGAAGAATCTAGGATGACATCTGCAGGCTGAGGATACTCTCTCTCTCTCTCTCTCTCTCTCTCTCTCTCTCTCTCTCTTTTCCTTTTTGGTTGGTTTTCATTTTGATTTTTGCTGTCTTAAAATGTTTATGCTCAGCATAATATCTAATTCCGTGGTTTGATGGATTGTTTGTGTACTTTTTTCGTAAGGTTATGCTGCAGCGGCATCGTAGTTCTAATGCTGCAACCGGTGATGTCGCTTGCATTTATTGTGTATTTGTCACCTACAGGGCACCGTTTACCTATAGTCGTTCGTTTTTCTAGTTTGACTTTTTCGCTTCTTTTCGATAAATGATTCTTTTTCGGCCTCCTCTCTCTCTCTCTCCGCTACTGCCCTTTGTGATGCTGCCCGGCTTCAGCCTTGAAGCTGCTCTCAGGTCGGCAGCCCTCAAGCAGCTGCCCCATCTGCCGCTCGAACTCTCTCCTTTGTTATTTTTCCTCTCCGTGTCAAGTGTCGAGCTTACGATTGTATTTTACAGGGTCTTCTGTGTTGTTTGAAGAAAACGAATCACTCATCGACATCAATTGGGCTGTTTCATGCCATTTATTGCTTGTCCTTAGAGAAGATAAATGACTTCGCCGTCCATCTTTTCCTAAATGAGCTTCATATTGCTCCTAAATCATACTATTTACAGAGTCTAGACATGATTAGTGATAGTATTTCCTGATATAACTTGACGACATCTCCTAATGATTGTGAGGTTGAAACCATTGGCTTCAGATAATAGAGACTATTTTAAGGAGTTTCACAAGTTGGTTTTTGCTTCCTGTCGATTTGGAGCTAAGTTCTGATATAGCTTTTGGGGGGCGACAAGTAGGACGCATTGTTCGTTTCGTTAAGGACAGCTGAGTAAGTAATCCTGTCACCATCAGATGTGATCCATCTCTCTTGGGCCCGTTGGCGTTTTCGCGCAAAATAAAAACGCTGGAAAACTGTGTTACGATTAAAAATGGGATTTTCACGACATTTTGGGGGGCGGCGACGAAATTGGTGATGGTTGCAATGGCTGCTCGACGGATAGATTCGACTTGAATGATTGTTGCGTACAATCATCTGAATGGTTTGTGCAGTTAGTTCGTATCCATGAACCCAAGGGGTGTGAACTGTTTGATAAACATGAGATCCACGAGGTCGAATGATGGTGGTCTGGTTTCGCCAAACTTCAATCGATGATCAGTGAACTTATTCATAAAGACGTTGCCCCGTCTTTCTCACCGACAAAGATTGTGCAAATATATCCATATGCTCGCACGGGGGCGATGGTGGGACCTGTACTCTGACGATATGTGAAGTAGAGAGGTCTGCCGTGAGATCTTGGAGGAGACACGGGACTCGAATAGAGGTGTAGGTCCAGAAAAGCTCAGGTTTAGCACGCCTTCTTTCTCTTCTTATTCAGGCCTTTGAGTTTGTCTGAAATGGAGCTTGGTTAAGCACCCTAGATGAATTTCATCAAGGTGAATCAGCGGCCACGGGCCCGAGTGACTACTGTCATGTTTCCCGATAATTTTGTCGCTAAATTCGATTGGTATTTGAACTAGTTGTTTACCGGAGAAACGGAACCAAAGACTAGATAATTGTCCCCTTAGACATCTACATCTTTCCCCATAGCCACTCGGAATCGTCTCTTCATGATGAAATCTGAATGACCGGTTCGCGCCGATATGTGACGCTGCCTTTTTGTTATTATGTTGTGATATTAGCCATTCATCAACAAGAGATTCATCTTGGACCGATCTGGTTAGACAAATATATGTCGCATTCTTAAATGGTCTTCAGCTCCAACATTAAGGATAGAATTCGTTGCGAAACTGTTTACCAATATAGTAGATTGAGTTAGTCTCAAAGAAATAATGCGAGTTTCGCATGTTCTTTGTCTTCTGTATAATCTAGATGCTCAAGATTTACGGGCGAGACTTTCCTCATCAACGAGAAAAAACCTATGGCAAAACATGCAAGCTAAGTCCTCCGAATCTAAATCGAGTATCCCGGATTCGAGACTTTGAGATTACATCCCATCTGTGTATCTCAGTACCAAAGACTGCTCAGGTTGAGTCTAAATCAAGATCAGCTTTTCACGTATTGATCATGGTCAAATCCGAGAGCATACACAAAGTAGGCAAACATATTCTTCTTCTTCTTCTTCTGCATTTCTTTTAAACAAGACGCATAGTAGCTAACAGCAACTTCATATCATACGATCACTACAATCAGAGAGCATACACATCACTGGAGATATTATTGGGGTTACCAAACAACTGATAAAACACCAAACCGGAAGGCAAAACTTAATATACTTATGACGATTGAGAAGCAGTGGTCACCATGAGCTTAGGCTATCAATAAACTAAGCCTCTTGAAGATCATATTCTCCTCTTTCACCTTGACACGCTGAAGAACTAAAAGAAGGGGCCACGAACACTGAGGAATAAACCTTAGAACTACCAAATAATGAGAGCCCACAGGACTCGTTTCCTTGTATACCGCAACCGTCCGAACCTTCTTTTGATGAGGTCAACGAGCAAACTATCGTGTCTTCGATGAGGGTGTCGACATCCTTCGAACCACCTTCACTGCTCTCGTTCCGATCTTGCCATGGATAATCGAGAAAAGAGTTGAGAACTGATGATGACGATGATGATCTTGCTTGTTGCTGCTTCATGTTTGCATGCTGAAGAATCTGGTCGACTTTTGGATGCTGTCCTATGAAACTGCAGTTCAACTCGTGGTGAATACCGATCGGCTGGTGGCACGGGAAGTTTGTCTTCGCGTTCCTCCCTCGGAGAAGCCGAGCCGCGCTGTCGTAAGCCAAAGCGGCTTCCTCGGCGCTATTGAAAGTGCCCAACCAAAGCCTCAGCTTCAGCGAAGAGTCCTTGATTTCGGCGACCCATCTTCCCGAAGGCCTTTGTCTCACCCCAAGAAACCTTCTTATTGCATCATTGCCCGTTGCTCTTTTCTTGATGTTCTTCCTCATGGTTATGATTTTCTCTCCTTCTTGGTCTCTTTCGACAGATGTCGAAGTACCACCCGATGAGCTTTTGGATGGGATTTCTTGGACTGTCACGCATGACGAGGGTTGGTCCATAGCAAGAGAAAAAGAATGGAGAGGGAAAAGAATGGAGAGGAATATGTTTGTACTATTGTGGCAGTGATAACGAGGCTAACAAGCTAACAAGAATGATGACAGGAATAATTAGAGGAAAAGTTTATTTGTCTGATTGGGGTCTTTTTCCATGTAAAAACAAGAAGAATAATGTCACAAAAATTGCAGCTTTAGTTCAGTTACAGAGCAAGAGATTCCTATGAAGGTGTGAAAATTTATATTCAAACTTTCAAAAAAGTGTTAGGTTGGTAGTAACAACTTTGGAGTAAATGCTGACTATGTTTCATTAATAAATTCTATTAATCATTGTGTGTAATCTGGAGGACCGCAATCAATGGTGCATTTAGTCGCTAATTAGAATCATGCTCATAATGTTATCCTTTTGTACTTTCATGATGGGGGAAGGCTCCCTGGTCGTTTAGGTAAGACAAAAATGAAAGACAGGAAAATTTGCTAGATAAGTGTGCTTTGTCCAAAATGCTCTGAGACATTGCCATTCTTGTTTTGTAGAAAGAGGGGATGTTTTGTGTTGCAGTCATCTCATTTGGCGGTGACACATGAAGAAATTAGCCAATGAGAAACTCTGAGTTCAAAAATTCCAACTTTAAAGTTGAATATGATGCACATCATGCAGATAATGTGATTAGTCAGTTACGTCATGTCATATTTACGACTCGATATGTGAGACTTTTTTTTATAAGAAGACTTTTCTTCAATGAAGGTAATCTGGTTATTAACATTTCCAACTGAAATGAGAGGCTCATTCTGGGCCTCATCCATTTAGGTAATCTCAAGGTTTTATTGCCAAAGGACATGTTTTCAGGTACAAAAGTTCTTTTCACTTGCATATGTTAATCCCTATGAGTACTATTTATTACCTATCTAAATTGGGCTTATGTTCTTGGTTCCACTTCAAACTTTAAGCAAATTCAACCATGTGCATAGTAGGCCGAAGTGACTTCTCTTTAAAGTTCTTAACATGGCCTTAATCTACGGTTGATGTGGTAGACACGATAGATTATGCATAGTACAGAAAAACATGTAGTACGATGTACATTCTTCAGTGGGCATTAAAGTATGCTGAAGTCTATGTAAGAATCTCTTGTTCTCGCCCCGGTACCGTTGGACAATAGGTCAAATACACCAGAATTACATGTAGCATATATCATGAAACCAAATTTCCAAGAGGAACTATTTCAATTTTCAACCCTAGTCTCGAGTGACCCAGTACCAAAAACGGGCGGTCGTTGGCAGCTTAGTCACTCATCTTGCAGATGGCATATGGAATTATACGACAGCATGATGATTTAGGATGCATGTACTGGAAGCTTGTTAATGTATCTGCACTGTAATGAACATGAGTCAAAAGCAATACACCAGGTTAAAGTTAAAAGGCCAAATCAGGAATCTGGGAAAGAGAATTTTGCCAAGGTTCAGATCAGATTGCAATGACTCAAGCATGTTGCAGAAAGCTCCAAAGAGATATGAGGTAGGCCGAGCAAATACTCAGTGAGTTAATTAAGCACTAAACCTCTCTGTAATTCAGATTAATGCCCCTGGTGCAATACATCCAACAGCCAGCAAACAAAACTAACACCTCAAAAGCCTAAATACGACCAAAACATGCACGTTTGCTTCTTAACTTCACCTCCCACCATCTTCCTCTCACCCATTATAGTATTCTTGAAGGATGAATTGTTGTTTAGGGTTGTCATGTAGCGGGTGTCCTAGTTAAATCTTGCAATAACTCAAACATGAGCTATATTCGCTGTTTATCGGATTTTCTTAATAAAATCTGAATGAGGGCCTGCACACCTTGCTGGACTGCAGATCATCATCAGAACTTTTTGAGCTTTTCTTGTCGGATTCTCTAAGTACTTTTCAGTTTTCACCATCACCCTTCTTTAAGCTTTCTCTAATTCTCTCGTTGGCCTGAGTTCTTAAACCTAAAAGTTAGGCACAAAGGTGGCTGTCAAAGATGATATCTTCGTTTAAATTTCGACCTTCATCGAAAAATCGGAGCCCCCACTTCGTTCCGTCCGATTTGAGTGACGTACTAGATTTGTCCTACTCGTCGTCTTTTTTAACGTCGAAGTCACTAAAATACGCATAAACTTTCCAAATTACTCGCTTAGGACATGATAAAGTTGGATGGAATCAACTGAATGTAGTGTGAAAGAAGGAATTTAAGATTGATAAATTAAGAGGTTCGAAATAAAGAAACCTTAGCCAGGAGGGAAAGGAGCACATGCAAGAAATGATCTGTTGACCACTTAGGCTACGAATGGTAACCATTCTGTTTCAGAAATCAATTTCTGGTCAGAAATTGATTTTTCTATTTCTGTTTCTGGAGGAGTTTCTTAGCAAAAAAATACGTTTGATAACGACACAAAATTTCTGTTCCAGAAACAGAAATTTGTTTGATAACGGCACAAAATTTCTTCTTCTCGGGTGGTCGGCGGGCGGTGGATGGTGGCGGAAGGAGGGCGGGTGGCGGCGGGAGACGATGGCCAGTGGTGGGAGGCGGGCGGCGGCTGGAGGACGATGGCTGACGGTGGGAGATGGTGGCCGATGGACGGCGGGCGGCAGCCAACGGTGGCCGGCGGTGGGAGATGGGTGGCGGCCAAAAGAGGGCGACCGGCAGCGGGAGACGGTGGTCGGTGGACGGCAGCCCACGGCGGCTGGCGAGAGATCGTGGTCGGTGGACGGCGGGTGGTGGCCCACGGCGGCCCACGGCGGCCGGCGGTGGGAGGAGGGCGACCGATGGTGGGAGATGGTGGCCGGTGGACGGCGGCTGGCGGTGGGAGGTGGGCGGCGGTGGCGGGAGGAGAGAGGCCGAGGGTGGAAGACGGGTGGCGACGGGAGACGATGGCGGCCGGCGGCCCACGACGGCCGGCGATGGGAGGTGGGCGGCGGCCAAAGGCGGGCAGCGGTGGCCGGAGGAGAGAGGCTGGGGGTGGGAGGCGGGTGGCGGCGGGAGATGGTGGTTGGTGGTGGGTGTCGGCCGTAGGCCGCCGGTAGGGGAAGGAGGGTAGGCGGCGGCAGGAGATGGTGGCCGGCGGCGGCGACCAGCGACGGGTAGCGGCGGTCGGTGGGCGGCGGCGGCCGGCGATGGGCGGCGGGTGAGCGACCGGCTAGTAGCAAGGGAAAGTGATGAGAAGAACAAAAAAACTTTGTTTCTCATTTCTGTTCCAGAAATAGAGAAGCTAAAAATTTTAACTTCTGATTTCTGTTCCAAACCTATTTCTGGAACAAAAATTTGTTCCAAAAATAGAAATTGGAATTTCGTTACCAAACAGATTTCTGTTCCAAACCTATTTCTTGAACAGAAATAGAAAAACAGAATGGTTACCATTCGCAGCCTTAGTTAACAATGAAATGAGTTACCGTTAGTAAAATACTCGTATTTTTACGTTAAGTACACGTCTGCACGTTTCAATGAAACTTCTGACTCCCGCATGTTTGTTGAACTTAGGGAAAAATATACGTTATTTCGTAGTGAACTGAGTTATATACTCGTATAAAGCACGTACCGCGTTATACTCGGGTAAAAATGCTTGGGTTTTGAACTTGTTTCATGTATTTTCTTATGTCAACCAATGATGCAACATGTTAAGAATCATTTATATATTAAAGATGTGTAAGTATAATATACTCGTTATTTCTCATTAGATAGCACGGATGACCGAGAAAATTTACCTATCACGTGTGATAATATCTCTATGAAATCTTGTAATTTAAACAGTCTCGTTACAATATGTAAGATTTTCTTATTTATATATTATACGAATGACGTAAAATCATGATTTTACTATAAAAACATCATCTTTTGATTGTACTATAGTAACTCCGAACTTTTTTTTACGTATTTGAGGAAAACTACGATAATATACATCCGTATCGTGAATCCTATAATTTCCGTCACGTATATTATTAAGAGAGATAATTTCAATTTAATTGCTCCAAAACAATGTGCTCGGATCTTGAACTTGATGAAGCATTCAGGGCCGGAGCTTCTGTGGGCCCATTGTTAGCGAATTTCGTGCTTAAAGGCCCAATGATTTGGCCCAATAATCTTTTTTTTTTCTTTTGATTTCTATAGATAAACTATTAAACTTAGCAATCATAGAGTTGAAGTTCAAGTTACGTGGCCAACGCATGTAAATTAACTCCTCAAAGGGTAGATGTCGATACCAGCTTGCTAATCTGAAAATGTTAAAAGGGGTATGCAACATTAGCCTGGTAAATGAAATCTCAAGGTATGAAAGAAAATGTTAATTGATGTAATTTTTTACGATCGGACACAAGCCGCATGTATCAAACATATGAACGGAACATTTTTTAACATGAATGCTATAGGCAATCTAGGGTGCTCAAATGACATAAACTCGAGTCGATCTACTCCACTGTCATCTGGCCAGAGACTCATCTCTAAAGCGGGACATAACTCAAAATAGCGGCACTCATGCACATGGCATGCTCGCAGGTACTCAGTAATCAATAGGTGTCCATATAAAGGACCGAAATACTGTCACTTAGCACGAGGCCCCGTTCGCTCACTTAAAAGTCATATAACGACCTCATTCGTAGGAGCGGCACATAGAATCGATGCCAAGGTCATGGCCAGGGCTCTGCATATATCAAAAGATCAAGGCGTCATTCGCTTCGATACACAAGCTTATATCACGATTCACGAGTCATTTATATATACCGCGACATGTCACAATTCATAAGTAATGTATAGTAAGACATATCATAATTAACCACTATGTGCAATTGGATGCACTCATCGATCCACAATATTATTTAACCTCAATACTCGATATCTGTTCGATCTAAGGAGATTAATCTATCTCATTGATCACGTTAAATAAGACAATACACTAAAGCTCGACTGGAAATAGTCGAATTACTTCACCAAACAACATCATTAGCATTTGCGCGGGAAAATTACCAAAAAAGTCCTAAACCTTTTGTAGTTGTGCCAATTCAGTCCTAATTTTTTTTTTTTTGCCAATTCAGTCCTAAACCTTTTGCAATTCAGCCAATTCAGTCCTTTTAGCCGGCCGGAGCTAACGTGGACGCCGGCCGGCGCTGACGTGGACGCCGGCCGGCGCCGGCTGGTGATGTGGCAATATTTTAATATTTTTTTCAAAATTTTTTTTCTTTCTCTCTTTTTTTTTTTTTTCTTTTCCTTCTTCCCCCTGGCCAGTCCGGCCAGGGGGAAGCTCGCCGGCGAGGTCCACCTGGGAGGCTCGCCGTCGCCGGCAAGGCGAGGCGACCTCGCCCGGCCTCGCCACGGGCGTGCGACGGCGAGGCGGAGCTCGCCATGGCCGGACGAGCTCGCCCTCGCCGCCGAGAGCATCGCCCAGTGCGGCGAGGCGAGCTCGCCCGGCCATGGCGAGCTCCGCCCTCGCCGGTCCTCGCCCGGTGCCAACGAGGGCGAGCCTCGCCGGTCCTCGCCGGCTGCCGACGAGGGCGAGCCTCGCTAGTGCCGACGAGGGCGAGCCTCGCCGTCGCACACCACGGCGAGGCTCGACCTCGCCAGATCTGGGCGAGGTCTCCCTCGCCCGGCCATGGCGAGCGGCCGGCGACGGCGACCTCGCCCAGATCTGCTAGGTCGAGCTCGCCCGGCCATGGCGAGCGGCCGGCGAGGGCGACCTCGCCCAGATCTGGCGAGGTCGAGCCTCGCCGTGGCTGTGCGACGGCGAGGCTTGCCCTCGTCGGCACTGGCGAGGACCGGCGAGGGCGGAGCTCGCCATGGCCGGGCGAGCTACGCCCTCGCCGCCGCCGGGCGAGCCGGGCGACGCGGAGCTCGCCCGGCGGCGAGGGCGCGAGCTCGCCCGGCCATGGCGAGCTCCGCCCTCGCCGTCGCACAGCAGTGGCGAGGCTGGGCGAGGTCGCCTCGCCTTGCCCGGCGACGGCAAGCCTCCCCAGTGGACCTCGCCGGCGAGCTTCCCCCTGACCGGATTGGCCAGGGGGAAGAAGGAAAAGAAAAAAAAAAAGAGAAAGGAAAAAAAAATTCGAAAAAAAATTAAAATATTGTCACGTCACCGGCCGGCGTCCACGTCAGCGCCGGCCGACATCCACGTCAGCTCCGGCCGGCCAAAAGGACTGAATTGGCTGAATTGCGAAAAGTTTAGGACTGAATTGGCCAAAAAAAAGGTTTAGGACTAAATTGGCACAACTGCAAAAGGTTTGACTTTTTTGGTAATTTTCCCGCATTTGCGCATTTAGTCCGATCGACGACGTAACAAATCGAGATTAGTTAACAATGTTTTGTTAGCGAATAATTGTGTAGTAAAATAGGATATTGTGAAAGAGATTAAACATTCGATATGGTGTGTCATTGAATTAGCAAATCACTAATCGAATGATACATGTCCGATGCAACAACTAGAGAATCAAAATATATCAAAATGCACCTAAAAAAACAACCCCAACAAGAAGTTCTTTCCTGAGCAATGAAATCCACAACATCGGAACCTACGAATGTGCTAAGTATCAAGTCTTCCTATCTAGGAACAAAGTGAATGTACACCCCCGTCTGAATCGTCTAACAACATCCACAACGATGGTGTTTATAGACGTCCGACCGGTTGTTCTTGGCGGCGCAGCACCCGACGCTGTAGACGAAGAGGACGATGACGACGACGCAGATGTTGAACACGAGCAGCACCCTCCACTGCCGCTTGATGCTGGCCAAGAACCCGGCCTTGCACGAGTTGCAGTTGTAGCACAGGGTCTTCGGGTCGTTGCTCCACTTGCTGCAGTCGCCGTCGGCCGCGCCCGACGACCCCGGGCTCAGCGTCCAGTAGGTCGCGTTCTTGAACTCGAACCCGCAGTCGCTCGGAGGTTTGCAGCAACCCGACTGAACAAATTACGCAAAAAACCAAACAAAAAAAACACTCAATCATCTTTATCGTGTGTCAAGAACATAAAGATCTTCGTGATTAACACTAGATAATTTGTAAATTTGAAGAAATTAGGATACTGGAATACATCTTATCTCTTGATGAACTCTGATAACTGCTACTCTAATTTAAACCACAATTACTCAAACATTGCTCCTTTAATTACTTCATTAAGTTTTGATTAAACGGAAAGAACTTTCGTATTTAGATCCGTAATATACGGAACAACCTTAATTTTTTCAATGAACACACCAAAGATATTAGAAATAAACATGAGCAACGTGCCCGACAAAAACTCAATCAACATCACCTGGATGGGGGACCAATTCATCTTGAAGAACTGCGCCGCCTCCCTGCCGGCGCCGTCCACCGCGAGGCTCCGGCAGACGTTCCCCTCAGCCAGGCAACTCCTGATCTCCTCCCACCGCTTCCCGCTCGCCACGTGGTTCTGCAGCCAGTGCGAGTAGTCCCCTAGCCTGTACTCCTTGTAACCCCGCCCGGACACCGCCTTGCCCGCGCCCTTGTTCGTCACCAGGAACAGGAACGCGGCTAGCGCGACGAGGGCGACAATGAGCACGAGCATGAGCGCCAGGTAGAGCCGCAGCAGCCAGTTCACGCCGCAGCACGCGCCCACGACCGCCATGAGGGAGACGGCGAGCAGGGCCAGGCCGGCGACGAGGAGCGGGTCCTGGAGGGACTTCTGGCAGGGGGTGGGGCTCCCGTGGACGCGGAAGTACACGGAGGCACCGACGGCGGCGAGAGAGACGAGGACGACGAGGACGTTCAGGAGCCCGACGGCGAAGTTGCTGGCACGAACCATCTTTCCGCGGGATCACAGAACTTCTACCGCAAGCGAGCGATGGATGTGGAATTCTTGAGGGGATCTGGGGTTTAAGTTTCTTCTCGGTGTGTGCAGAGTGACGGTGATGGAAGAGAGAGATTGGAATCGAAAAGGGATGAAGAAGAAGAGTTCGTGTAGGAGTAGGAGAACCTTTTCCGGTTACTGTTTTTTCGCGAACGCGTGCATGGAGGAGGAGCCTTTGATCGTGCGGAAACTTCCCGCCACGTGTCGCGGTGTGAATGGGCTTGAGGTGGAAGTGGTGGGGGCCCGCGGGACACGTGGGGGTTGGTTCTGGGAGTTCTTGCACGGGAAAGGAGGTGTTGGGTGGGACTTCGTTCCCGTAGTATCGTAATCATAGCCGTTGATTATGCAGATATCGCAGTGAAGTTTATGTGATCAACGGGCACCATGACGTTGGTCGCGTAAAATAAATTTGGGCAATGCATTCTTTGGATGTACGAGATCACGACTTGCGGTGTCGCTGTTGTATCGCAACATGCTGACGTGTCGGGGAGGTGGGGTCTCCGAAGAGCACGTCGTGGGACAATCCCTTGCATGGATGTTTGACTTGTTGACTTATATAGGAGGACAAGACAAGGAGTGTTTGTTTTTGTTTTCTTATGTATTAATGCTTAGACAAAGCGCAATCGGATTGTCAGGATTTATTTGGTGAGAAATTCCTTGGCACAACGAGCTCCTAGAGAGGTCTAAGATATCGCAAAAAAGAGGAAAAAAAATTTTGTACATCCAATTATTGCGTTGATTGATATTAGGGTGGGTCGATTTCTGCCCTAGAGGGTCAAGTAACCCTCGGAATCGAGAACTTAATGGATTGCTTTTTGAACTGCGGGTTCTGAACTGGTTGGTTTTGGTATGGACCCCAGTTCTATCCGAAAATCGGCCCAATTTATGTTTCGAGTAAGAAGCCAAATTCTTATAATAAAGTATAAAAGTTCCGCCCATTCGTTACAAAAATATTTGTTGATTAATTGATTGTGTTGTTGTTCGTTCATGTTGAAAAACGACAATTCAATTCTGGATGGGTGCAAAAAAGAAATCCTCAAAGAAACTTCAAATCGGTTGAAATTTGGTTAAGTATTGGTTGTACGAGTTCTCGGATAGAATTAGCTGTTCTGGCCTTGGTATCGGGAACTGAATCTCCAAGAATCTACCTTAAATAGGTCAATCCGGGCTAGTTCGATTCGATTTCCATATTAAACCTGACCCAATGTTCATCCCTAGGAGCTGCTAAATTGAAGTGAACTTTTAGATTTCATGAACTACCCCAAAAAATCAGTGATATCTATTTATTTATTTTTTTGGTCACTCGGTGATATCTATTTGACCATTAAACTCCACGATGCTTGCGAGAGGTCTGTTGATGAGGTAATATTCTAAGAAGTAATTAAACTCATCACGGTTATCCTAGCTTGTTGTTATCTAGTTCATTAAAATTTAAAATCCAACATGTCGTGACACAACCCAAAAAAATGTTTTATCTGGTTCATTTAAAATTTTTAAACAACGAGGCATTATTTCTGGTCAAAAAAGAAAAAAAAATAGTTAAAGCCCATTTTAGAAATTTTGAATTGAGTCTCTGCGATGGAAGAAATTTAGAAATTCTGACATGGCGAGGACCGAATAAAGCCCCCAAAACTCTCCCAGACCTCAAGCTTGAGCTCGAATTTAATTATATGTATTAATTTGTGACGATAAATAAATTGATAAAGTTATTAACTATTCGATTATAGTGTATCTTTTAGAATTTGAACTCGAGTTTAATTTTACTTCGAGTTTCGAGTAACATTGATTGCCCAACTTAGTGGGTTCGAGTCGAGTTTATTAAAAAAAAGAATTCGAAAACTGAGCTTGATTTTATCGAAGCTCGATTGCGTTAGAGTTAATAACGTCAATGCAAAACTTTTTTTTATTAATAACGTATTTTCTCGCGAAATAAACGTGGTCTAAGTCAAAGATGATCGGTACATAACAATAACTCGTAGTCTAATCTCAGTATACAATTAAATAAGATGCCAGTATTAGTAAAGTGGGAGACGAAGAAGAAGCATGCGCTAGCACTGGCTTGGTATTGATCATTTCTTTGCAGTCATTTGATAATGTCAAATGGGAAAAAAAAGAGAGGAAAATTATGTAAGACTTACATCAGCTACGCATGCCTTAATATTCCAGTCTTGACCGAATTCTTTTTTATTAGAGGGGAAAACCCGAAAATAAAAATAAATAATAAAGTTAAGGCATTGGGTATTCCTCACACGTTCCGGAAAAAAGAATGATTAATATCATTAAAAATTCCAAACTGATCCAACATGATATATTTATTCAAAATTAAATTTTATCTCACAAAAAATCTCAAATTGATGATATATGATATATTTGTTCCAAACTAATTTTCGTCCCACAAAAAAATTCAAATTAATAACCCTAATTCAAATCTACCTTTGTTAAAATAAACACGTGTCAAGACATGTGGACTTTCCACATCCGATCTGTCATTCCCGGGAAGTCAGATTCATTTGGTTGTTTGCCACGTGGGCTGACGCGAATGGTAAATTTGGGGTAAATGTGTCATGGGTATCGGTTTAAGTTTTTTTGTGAGACGAAGCATAGTTTGGAATAAATATGTCACGAAGTACCGATCGTGAATTTTTTGCAAGATGAAAATTAGTTTAGAGTCGTTAGGGATTCTTAAGTGTGGCGCCGTGGTGGTGGGTCCTGCGCTAGCGTCACCCCGGGTTTATGTCGCCGGCTGTCGGCTGTACGGCGGTTCCCGGGTCATCAAAAAAAAAAATTAGTTTAGAGTAAATGTGTTATAGAGGTACCAGTTTGATATTAACCCAATAAAAAACCTTGAAACCAATGCAAAGTGATACATCACATTCAATTACAATAATAGCATTTTATAATCACGTTTAAACATTTTAATAACTAAAATTACACCAGTCAATTTTCTAGCCCAAATCACATTGACTATTAACTATCAAAGCTTTTTCCTCTTTTCCTTTTTTCAACTTAGGGTGAGTTTGATTAATTAAAACTGCATAATAAAAGAAAATATTTTCTATGAAGATCATTGTCAAGAAAAACAGTCAAGGTCCATTTGTTTTGCGGAAAATGTACAATTTCTAGAAACTACACTTTATTTTTCAATGTTTAGCTAAAACCTAAAAAAAACCTGGAAAGTATTTTCGGTCGTTTGGTAAGAAAAATATGATGGGGAAAATTATCAAAAGATTCGTATTTAATTATTTTTAATTTTAAATATATTTATTCTTTTTCTTCTTCCTTGGCTAGTCGTTGGCCACGGTAATGGGACTGGCGACGGGCCACTGGCAAATGCAAGCTTTGCCCAAGGCCGGTAAGCTCGAGGTTCATCACCATAGGCCGCAAGCTTGTTAATGGTATTGTCGAAGGCTGCAAGCTTGCCCAATCTAGCGAGGCCCGAGCTCGCCGTTCATCGCTGTGGCTAGTGACTGGTCGAGGAAGAAGAAAAAGATAAAGGAAGAAAAGAAAAAAAAAAGAGAAAAGAAAAGAGAAAGAAAGAAAATAAAAAATGAAAATAATAAAAAATCGATTTTTAAAATATAAAAAACAATTAAAAATTCATTTTTTAAAAAAAAATATTTATATAATAACAAATATTTTATTAACTAAAAACCCAAGCCCGAGTGCTGAGGACTTGCGCATGACCTTTGTGGACTCGGGCCTGAGGGTTGGAACTAGAGGTCGAGGGTCGGGGACTAGAGGTCGAGAGTCGAGGACTAGAACGCAGTCTTTTATGGACTCGAGTTTGGGTGCCGGAGCATTAGGTATGGGCATCAATGGTTTGGGCCCGACCTTGATGGACTTGGGCATGGGTGACGGGGGATTAGGCCCAAGACATCGAGGTCCCGAGTCACACCTTGATGGACTTGGGTCTGGTCGCGGAGACCTAGTGACCTAAGAAGAGGTTTCTGTGCCCAAGTTTAGAGTTTAGTCATATTTAAGAAAACATTTTCTAACTCTTTCAAAAATGAAATCATTTTCCTGAATTTAAGCTTTGATAGTAAAATCTTTTCTGTTGATTAGGAAAATATTTTCCGCTGACTCATTTTCCTATGCATACTAAATGCTGGAAAATGAGGAAAATGTTGTCTCAAAAACTGTTTTTCGCGAAACAAATGGACCCTTAATTTTCATTTATTTGGTGATTTAGAAAATGCGTTTTCCTTCTTATTAGAAAGGAAGTCGTTTTCTCTCAATTTTAAGTTTGTTGTTTTTAATTTATGAAAAACGTTTTTTGTTGATAGATTAATTTTCAGTCATTCAAATACCAAAAAGTTGGAAAATCAAATACAATTTTCCTTCGAGTAAACAAACTCTTAGTTTCACATTTTATATTATTGGACCCACATTCTTAAAATACAGTTTGCCGGCCCCACACGACCAAACAACAAACGAAGCCAGCATCCGCACGATGACACCTAACACAAACTCTCGACTCCGCAGAAAACGCCTCCTCACTCAACTTCGAGTCGTTCAACGTCTTGTGCCTCTCCAACCACCACCAAAAGCCAAACTTTCTTGCCACCTTCAGCTTTGGTTTCGCCGCCCCCCGCCCTCCTCCACCAGCGGACTTTCCCACTCTTTCCCTCCCTCCCTCCCTTCTATATACACCAACACCCTCCCTCACTTTCCATCTCTCTCTCTGCAAGCAAGCAACACAGTCACACACCACCCATCATCATCCCTTGACCCTTTGACCCTCTCTCTCTAGAACCCAGCAATGGCGTCGGCCCCGGCCTCCCGCGCCACCGCCGCGAATACCCTCTTGGAGAGACCCTTCATCTCCTCCAGGCCGCTCCAAAGTTCCCACCTTTCCGCCGCCGCGGCGATCCCGAGGGCCAAGAAGTCCCTGGGGGCCCTCCGGGTCAAGTGCTCCGCCGCCCCGGCGGCGACGGCGGCGGCGGCGGCGGCTAAGGCGGCAAAGGAGTGCAGGGTGAAGTCGGTGAGGGCGAGGCAGATCGTCGACAGCAGGGGGAACCCGACGGTGGAGGTTGACCTGGTCACCGACGATCTGTACCGATCCGCGGTGCCCAGCGGGGCGTCCACCGGGATTTACGAGGCGCTGGAGCTGAGGGATGGGGACAAGAGCGTGTACGGAGGTAAAGGCGTGCTCAGTGCGGTCCGGAACATTAACGAGGTTCTTGGTCCGAAGCTCGTTGGAGTTGATGTCAGGTAAACTGCTGGTGATCACTGATCAATGTCTGTGCTGTTTGTTTTCTGATGTTAATAGTTTGTGAAGTTATATGATGTGGAATGAAGTTGATTGGAGGGCACTTTTGTTTCTGGGTATTTAGATGTGGAGTTGGTTGCTTCTTGATGAGAGGGGTTTGTGAATGTTTGAAATTCAACACCTGCTAGAAGAAGCATTCAATACTCCATGACAAAATAGTGAGCTTACCATCCACTATAAACAAAGAGTGGTACCTAAAGCTATAAGAGACAAAGGCCATTAGCGGTTACTAGTTGCCATCAGAATCTTTGAAGAAGAAAAGTGACGGTTGTCAACTTTTTGTTCAAGATTTTCATCTGCACATTTTCCTTATGTGCTTATAAATAAGGCATTCAGTGAAGCATTCGAGTTGAGAGTGTGTGTTTGTATGGGCCTGTTTGTTCATAAGAGTTTTGTGTGTCGTGTGAGAAAATAAGTTTTGCAACAGCGAGCTGTGGTCTCTGGCTATTCACGTATAGTGTGTTTGTGCAAGTTGTATGAGACAATAGTTTAATAAAGTGTTATACTTGTACCGTATTTTGGTGTGTCTCGAGTTACCTGATACAATTTTCTTGTGTCACCACATTTCCGTACTCAGCAAGTGTTATCAGAGCCACACGTCTGCATTTAGCAAGTGGTATTAGAGCCACGGTCCCATACTCAAAAGTGAATTTTAATGAGCATGAAAGGATTGACTTTTAAAGAAGCAACATTTGTTTGCTAGTGTGCTTTATGAAATGAGGGGAGAAAGATATAGAGATCAGTGGTATCTGGATTACTTGGAAAATTAGAATTTGCAAGTTCAGATGGTTCGAGTTTATAAATTAAATTTTTTGCTTGAACAGTCTATTGGGAGTCTTTTTTTTTCATATACGATTTTGGAATACATCCCAACTAAATATTCACAGTCATGCAAACATTACTGTGCCCGTTCAGCGGCAATGTACTACTTCTGTTAGATCAGTCTTCATGTTGTGTTCGTGGTCATTTTCCTTTTAAAGCAATCCTCCTTTTAATCCATGCTCATGTTCATGGCATGTGATGTTCAACAGGAATCAAGCTGATGTAGATGCTATTATGCTAGAAATTGACGGTACTCCAAACAAGTCGACTATGGGGGCCAACGCTATATTGGGAGTGTCTCTTAGCGTGTGCAGAGCAGGTGCAGGAGCAAAAGGAGTGCCCCTGTACAAGCATATACAGGAGATCTCCGGAACAAAGGAACTTGTCATGCCGGTACCGGCATTTAATGTGATAAATGGAGGCAGTCATGCGGGGAATAATCTGGCTATGCAAGAATTTATGATCTTACCTGTGGGTGCGACCTCATTTGCCGAGGCACTACGCATGGGTAGTGAAGGTCAGCAAGCTGCTATTTGCATCAGTTGGCTTAAGCATGATGTTCTAAATCCTTTTCTTTCTTCTTGCTGTTTCAAATTTCGAACATGCTCTCATCTTTTCCTTGATTTTTGGATTGAACAGTTTATCATGTTCTAAAAGGGATCATTAAGGCCAAATATGGACAGGATGCATGTAATGTTGGAGATGAAGGTGGGTTTGCTCCCAATGTTCAGGATAATAGGGAGGGACTGGTTCTCCTCACGGATGCAATTGAGAAGGCTGGGTACACAGGGAAGGTACATGCAGCTACTGGTCTAGGAGTCCCTTATTATCCTAATCTTTAGGGATCCTTCATTGTAGAAACTTGGTTAATGGTATTCATGGAAACAAAATAATGGTGCAGATCAAAATAGGGATGGATGTTGCGGCTTCTGAGTTCTTCTTGAAGGATCGGAGATATGACCTAAATTTCAAGAAACAACCAAATGACGGGGCTCACGTGCTCTCAGCGCAGAGCCTTTGTGATCTCTACAAGGATTTTGTCAAAAATTTCCCTATTGCTTCCATTGAAGATCCATTCGACCAAGATGACTGGAGCTCATGGGCATCTCTTCAGTCTTCAGTTGATATTCAACTTGTGGGAGATGACTTGTTGGTTACTAATCCAAAGAGAATAGCTGAAGCTATTGGCAAGAAGGCTTGCAATGCTTTACTTTTGAAGGTAGCCTCTAGTTCCAAATCATCCAACCAATTTTTTCCCCATGCTTTGAGTTATGACTGAGCTTTGTCAATTTCTGCCTGACCCTCTTCTTCCTATGGCCCATGCCTTATTGATTCTTTACTTTCAAATTGTATCTGTTTTACAATGTGTTTGGTAGCCTCCCTGCTAAAAATTTAATGAACGAATCAGATACCCTTGTGATTCTAGATTTGCATTTCCTTTATTCGACTTGTAAACCATCATGCATCGTGGAGTATTGGAAACAGCCATATAGGACCTGATAAGAGGAAAAAGGATATAGAACTATATGAGCTTAGAATATAAATAACTAATTTTGGTTCCAAACTTTTTCCAAGAAGAGCACATCCTAAATTTTATGATGATATGGTATTCATTTAATTACTTAGATATTTCTTGAGAGCAAAATGGCAGTTTGTTCATTGAAGAGAATTTGCAATCTATTCCTATGACTGGTATAGACTATACCTATAGCCTTGTAAGAAGTGATATGGGGATTCTAGTGTTGATTGGTCACTTGGTCCTCCCTTTGTGACTCTGGTTACCACTTCACCTTTCATTACCAATTTGAAATAGCTGATATGATCTTATGGGTAAATTCATTACCCTGATGATGTTTTTTTTGTCATTTGGATAACCTTGTTGCAGGTAAACCAAATCGGCACAGTGACTGAATCCATTCAAGCCGCGCTTGACTCGAAAGCTGCAGGTTGGGGTGTAATGGTCAGCCACCGCAGTGGTGAAACCGAGGACAACTTTATTGCTGATCTATCCGTGGGTTTGGCTAGCGGACAGGTTCAATTTAATATCCACCACTTGCCATGAATCTTTTCCGATACCACGGAACTAACACAAGATGTTTCATGTTTCGTTTTTAGATCAAGACAGGAGCTCCTTGCAGAAGTGAGCGGTTGGCAAAGTATAACCAGGTAACTGAGTGTCACTCTTAATTTTATAGACATTTTTGGTCTCTCTCTCTCTCTCTCTCTCTCTGCTTGATATATCTATTGCCTTAGTCAAAGTAGATTCAGATTTATTAACGATAAGTACTTTGGGTTGCCTTAAACTTATACTAGAACTTCTTAGGACGTAACAATATTTCAAAGTGGTATAGGTGCTTCTGCACTGCACATCCGCAGCAGCCTGTCTATTATGTTTATTTTCATCTGAGCCGTGTTTGAAAATGCTCATGTACAACTGCGGTTGCTGATCATTGCAGCTCTTACGCATTGAAGAGGAACTTGGAAACGTTCGTTACGCAGGCGAAGCTTTCAGATCACCCTAGAGATGACCTTGTATTCTACCTTTCATACTCGTAATAACGTGGCACCGTACCAAAATTTGCAGTCATCAGAAATTGATGAGCTCCAGAGTCTAAGTCAAGTTGCAGCTACATTTAGAGAAGTTTTGGCGGATTCAATCAGCATGCTTGTTATCAAGAGCTCAGAGTGGAGACGAATCACCTTGAGTTTCTATTGGAATAATCTTTGTCCTCGAACAAACCTCGTGGTTTTGTATTTGGTTTTATATGAAATTGGAGTGACCATCAGCTGGTTCCAAACATGAAATACTAACTGTTGCAACATTTGAATGCCCTTTTCTTGAGCCAAGGCGTTATTCTAATTGCTTGTTTGCATGAACCTTTCCCGGGGTTCTTTATTGGAGGGCGATAATTAACATCTGAACACACTCAACTACCTCATATGCACTAAGCTGTCAGAAATACCAGCTAGAGCTTTATGAGGAACACAACCTATGGCATTGTACAAGAGAAAACTGACTAAATAAATTAGAGAATGTTCACACCTTCCTTCAGAGGATCAGTTGGAGCATCGTGATGCAATTGCTCCAGATCAAAGGCAACCTCAAATTTTTTAACCCAGTCCAGGAACCATAGTGTTCGGTGAATTCGGCAGGACAAATCTAACTTTGAGTGAATTCGGCAGGACAAATCTAACTTTGAGGATGCAAAAGTTGGTCATCCAGTCAAATTATCAACCTGCTCATGAGCTGTATAATTATCTCATACAGTACGAGGTACACAACATTGCGCATGCTCGCCATGGCTCATGATTGGTTGACGCACAAGGGCACGAGCCGGAGATAAGCGACTTGGATCAACATTCTGCTCTGAACACCCTCCCACACCCACTAGATGATAGGATGAAACTTTTTCCGCATCCGAAACCTGTTTAGAGGTGCCTCCTTCACAAGTATTTTTAAATAAAGCTAAACCTGAATGGCAGGGCCGTTATATTTGCCGGGCCGCATGTAGAGATCATCTGGTGTACCAGTCTCAGCAAGCCATGCGTAATTTTCCTCCTCATCACTCTTCCCATCTTCGTTTGCTGCAGATTAGTGGTAAGAACTAAGAAGACCATAAATCTCCAATATTGTTTCTGCTACAGAATATAAAGAGTTTAAAACTTGGACACAGAACGAGGTACTTACCGAAGGTGAAATAGGGATAGTCGCAGTAGTAAGTACATCTTCGGTCAGCATCTTCACTGTAAGGAGGAGAAAGAATGTCCAGCACTGCACAAGGCGTGATTGCAGTAAAACAATGCAGATTGCCACCGGTTTTTGGGTACAAAACTGACGTAGTGCATGGCGCTGTTAGGACATTATCGACAGCTAGCTTAGCCAATCTCACTGCCAAAGAAAGAGTCAAGTAGTAAGTATTTCAGCCATCTGCTCTAAGAACCGACTGCAAGAAGCAAGTTACATATGTGGCTTAAATTGACCATCCAATAGAATTTCCCGGTAACTACAGTCTCGGCATTAGCTATCCTCTATTCAACTCCAAAGTTATTGGGCTCCTCAACAACCAAAATTATTAGTTTCACACGGTAAAAATCATTTTGTGGTTCTCCTCGGTAGATTCTTTTTTTCTTTCGGCCAGTGGTAGGGTGCTTCACTAGTAAAATCTCTATTGCTGCCCTATTGAAATGATTGAGTTCTAGTAATTTGTCATTTAAAGACATGAACAGAAAAGTGCACCATTTTGCCTAAGACATGACAAGGAGGTGCAAGCATCTTGAGATGGAGCCTCATAAAGGAAGATCCTTGTGATCACTTTTATGTTAAATAGTTAGTTCCAGTCCATTAAGTTTTCTTTCTGAAAAAGTACAAACAAAAGATCAATGATTATTAAGTTCCTATTTTAAACAATTACACTCGTTGAGGTCATTCGCATTATTGAATCAAGCTGAATGGCATCTCTAAAAGAACTGTGTGATGATCTAAGACAAAACTTCCTCCCAAAATTTCCTAGAAGTTGCTGATGCACCCTCCTTCCTGCCCCACCCACCACTCTTCCTCCAAAAAAATCCACTCATCAGATGCTTGAAAGGAAAAAACACGAAAAAGAAACATGTTAGAGTGACTAAAGCACAAAACAACCTGGTCCCCTTTTATTAAGGATACGGGCAGGCTCAACCCAGTCATATGCTTTAACATGCAAAGAGCCGTAGAGAACTTTGCTGAAAACAGTCATGGCTGGATGGTCATGAAGAGGTATGACTGCAGAAGTAGGAAAACAGAATACACAAATCTGCAAAGACAATAATAAATGTTTAAGCATGTAATCATGAGAACAAACAAATCTATCCTATTTTTAGGCGAGAATCAATGAAGAGATTTCATTTTCCCAAATGCCATTTGGTTTGAAAGAAGAAGAGCAGAGTCTATTCAGATTAAAAGAAGAGCAGAATCTATTTCAGAAGACAAACTAAGATGATCGCAGATCTTACCGTAAAACTCTCACATTCATGTATATCCACATATGTTATTGGTTGAGCCCAGCGAGGGACTCTGCCTAATTGATTAAGTCCAAAGAAACCATGCCCACGATCGTCCTCCAAAGCATTCGCAGAAAGTCCAACATCAGCAGGGCCAATTGTATCTGCAAAATAACATCTATTAACAGTTATCAGGTGTTAAATAAATTAAATTTGTACTTGTAAAGTCAGTTCAAGTACAATTCTGAAACTTCAAGTTATTAAAAATCTAAAACTAAGAATTCTACAATGTTCATAACCATGCTTAGGAAGAAAGTACATGTACCGTGTTGCCCAACACTAACAAACTTCAATTGTGCTTTACCGATTGGCACCTTAGTGTGCTAAGAAAAATGGAGAGTCAAAACAGTTTTTCACTGCAGCATCCAACAAAACATCAAAGTACCTATTGAATCTGTCACTAATAATCCATTTACCGTTGATTACACTACAACGGGATCACCAAACATGGAAAAATGAGATTTTGTATGCATAATTAAGAAGCAGAGATGAAGCCCGATATAAACCAGAAACTCGCAGATTCTTTCTCTCTAATGTCACACTTTCACAGGTGTTTTTCCTATAAGTTTCCTCGGGATTGTGGATAAGAACTGATTATTGGTCCTCGACTACTGCGAAATCAAACTCAATATCCTCCTCCAAACAGACAGAAAAACATCGAGAACGTTTCGAAACTTGATAGTCGTGGTTTTCCTTGCTTGCACAAAATGGAGTCTAATTCCCAACACCAGTCAAGCTCAACAAACAATCTTCCTGATTCGCATTAACAGCGCAGGTATCCTTTGCCAACCAAACACAATGAGTTTCTGTAACTAAAGAAAGGAAAAATGTGTGTTGCGGAAATACAACAATACTATTTGCCCTTCCTTTCAATTAACCACTATCGTGACGCTTTCAAACTTACTATCCAGCAGTTTATGCAAATCCATGTAACAAACCAGTAGCACCATTCTATTCAAAATCCATGTAACAATAGTTAATCCCGAATGGACAACCCCCGGGCCACCCCCAACCTCCTTCAAAGCGACCCACGAAACAAAAAAGAACCCTAAATCAAGATCAACTGAATCGAAAATATCCACATCAAGAATTGCGGACTAGATGTACCAGAGAATCAAGAATAGAGGTGTAGCATTGGAAAGGAAGAAAGTACCCAAAAGGGAACAGAGCTTCTGGACGGAGTGAGAAGAGAGAGGCGGTGTCCCCGAGGGGGGAAACGTCTTTCGGCAGAGGTCGTAGAGAGCCTGGACTTTGTGACTGTGAGGGCTCTTCGGGGCCATGCTCGCTTGCTTTGTGGAGAAGAAGAGCGCTCCATTTTGTAGGAGCCACCTGACGCTATTATCCCTCGTTAATTTTCGCAACTTGAGAAGCATCTTTTCGTTTGGATTGATGCCCGATTCGGTCAGGAACGTAAGGAAAAGGCCCAAGAAAGCGATTGTATTGCAGATCGATGTTGGGTGTGAGACCGTAGCTTGGTTTACGTGTGACTCTGAGGTTGAACCCCGCACTTGAGCACCGCGAGTCCACGTGCGTGTTTTGATTGTCAGCAAGAGATTTCTCCTCCTTATTATTCTTTCTTTTTTGAAAACTTAAAAATGCATTATCTTGGTGTGCAACGGGAACCACCGAATCGACCGATTTTGGGCGGTCCAAATGCCGGTTCCAATGAACTAGACTGGACCGATTTTTTCATTAAGTTTTTGTCTTTGCACTGCAATTGAAGGTGGTTCTCCCTTTATCCGACCCTAGTCTCTCTCTCTTTTGTGACCTTGGCCGCTCAGAGTCTGCACCCCTCGCCCTTGGCCAACTAGTGTTGATCGCTTAGCTTCTCCTCCGTGGTTCAATTTCTCCGGTGCTTGGTGCCACGGTGGATCCACAACGCCGATTTGAGGTCTCCCGTGAGTCTTCGGCCTCATATTAGAGTGTAACTTTACTCATGGTTGATCTGTCGCGTTGGTTGGACAAAATTTGTTTGGGTTCGATTTGTGCCACTGTCCTTAACTCTCTCTTCTTTGCCCACCCCATGGTCCAGACCCTCGTCCTCCCCTTCCCTCTCCACCCCAAACTAGAGGTGAGTATGGTCCGGATTAGGCCGGTCCAACACCTAACCCTTGGACCAATCTGCATAGTGTTGGTCCCTAATTTTTGGGACCGAGGACCGACCCTATTGAGCTTGGGACAGAGGACTGGACCGACCCTCTGGGTCCGGTCTGGTTCCAGGGTCAACCCGAGACCAATCGATTTTTTTATGTTTCATTTTTTTTATTCTTTGAAAGGACAAACGGTACACTTTGAAAATACATATCCATTAACTAGAGGTGAGTAAGGACAAACTAGAGGTGGGTATGGTCCGGATTAGGCCAGTCCAACACCTAATCCCGAGACCAACCTGCACAGTGTTGGTCCCCAATTTTTGGGACTAAGGACCGGCTCTATTGAGCTTGGGACCGAGGACTGGACCGACCCTCTGGGTCCGGTCCGGTTCCGGGGTCAACCCGAGACCAACCGATTTTTTTATGTTTCATTTTTTTTATTCGTTGAAAGGACAAACGGTACACTTTGAAAATACATATCCATTGACAATGCAATATTGAGTAACCAAACTATGGATCCCCGTACAAATCAAATAAAAATTTAAGATAACGCACAACAAAAATCTCCACTTAGTAGTATACAAACACGTGAAATAAAATTAAAAAATAAAATGATCAAAATACATAACATAAACCATAAATTATACGATTTCATATCTTGTTCATTCTTGAAAGATTGCTTCAATTTCTGAACACTTAAAAACAAAACAAACAACTTCATATCTTGTTTGTAAGACGCCGAGGAGGGCCAAGTGAGGCAACTTGTGTTCGCCGTTCGTGAGGCGCCGAGGCGGGCCAAGAGAGGCAAGCTAGTTTGTAAGGCGAGCGAGGAGAGGCAGATTTAGCGAACAACCACAGAAAAGCGAGGGAAGAAGAGATGCGGCGCTCAATAGTCAATAGGGTTTCTATTTTCAACACTAGAAGAAGAGGAGGGAGGGGCCTTAGGTTCTTTGGAAAACAAATATATATATATATATATATAGGGTTGGTCTGGGTTGGACAAAACTCTCAAGACCGAGGATCAACCCGCACAGTGCAGAGTCAAGAGGTCCCAGGACCAACGACCGACCTAGTTCCCCTAGGAATCGGACCAGGACTTGCCGGGTTGTGCCGGTCTAGGGTCAATCCAGGGTCAACCCTACACTGTTGCTCACCCTTACCCCAAACTCCAGCTGGCCGTCGAGAACATCCACGACATCAGTCACTTCGACAATGTCCCTATTATCTCCGCCCTCCACCTCCCCCTTGCCATCCTTTCACCCCAACCATCCCGTGGCCATCCTTTCTGACTTCTTTCTCGTCTGGACCTTCGACTTGGCCGACAAGCTCGGCATTCATCGATTCTGTTGGGCCGCCTGAGAATTGGTCCAATTTCAAGATCAAGTGGTCCGGTTCTCGATTCTTGGGTTGGACCAGGAATTGATCACCCCTAATCTTGACCCTAAATGTAAAAGATATGTAACAATATTGGAAACCTATGAATAACTGTCTTCACGTTTATTTTTCCATTTCAAGTTACATAACTTGAGGTTTTAATCTTAAAGATAGATCTTAAAGATAGATCTATCATTTTCCTTTCCATTTTAACCCAAAAATCCAAAGTCATGAACCACAAAACCACGTACTTACAACCCTAATTCGACTCACCATCCACACCTTAGCCCCCTCGAGCTGAGCCAACCTCGTTGCCTCATCAGTGACAACGACCCTTCCTCCCTGAGTTGCACTTGTCTCGTTCCTGCCCTCAGCCATCCTTCTTCTCTATTAGTGACGACATTGAGCTCGATCCTATATCTGATCAAGCTCGACATAGGCATTCATGAATTCAAATTGAAACTTTTCAGAAGTGAATAAGATATATATATAAGTTGGGAATGGTTCTTGAAATTTTCCTCTTTCCTTCTTAAAATTACAAATTCTTTCTCAATATGTTTGGATGGAAGAAAATGGGCCTAATACCCTAAAAATCCTCAAACTTTAGCTTTTGTCTCAATTCTACCTTTTGTCTTATAAAAAACCTCAAACTTTAGGTCTTATCCCAATTTTTCCCTAAACTTTTCTTTGTCCCATAAAAAACATCAAACTTTAGATTCAGTCCCAATTCTACCCTATACTTTTTTTATCTCATAAAAAAAACCCTCAACTTTAAGTCCAGTACCAATTCTACTCCGAACTTTTTAGTCTCATAAAAAAATCATAGCTTTAGGTCAAATTCAATTTCACTCTAATTTTTTTTATCTCATAAAAGATCACAAACTACTACTTGAGTCCTAAATCTACTCTCCATTAATCCTCCGTCAAAATTGCTCTTAGGGATTTTGCGCTCGGTCTTTGATCTCTTGTGCTTGGGAATGTTTCATCTCTTGCGGTCAGAGAGCTCGCGCTAGAGAGTTTTCCATCTCTCGATTATCAATAGGAAATTTTGAATTGAGAGTTAATGGGGGCAGATTTGTGATTCAAGTAAAAGTTTATGATTTTTTATGAGACTATAAAAATTTAGGATAAAATTGGGACTGGACAGTAAAATTGGGACAAGACCTAAGTAGGGGGTTTTTCATAGGACAAAAAAATGTTTATGATAAAATTGGGACATGACCTAAAGTTGAGGGTTTTTTTATGGGACAAAATAAAATTTATGATAGAATTGGGACATAACCTAAAGTTGGAGGTTTTTGTGAGACAAAAAGTAAAATTGTGATAAAAGCTAAAGTTGGAAGTTTTTTAGGGTATTAGGCCGAATAAAATGGGAGGAAATGAGAGTAAATAAATTTTATCTCCATTTCCTTTGGGAAAAGTATTAGAAAAGTCCTAAATTTATTATATTGGTCCCAATTTAGTCCTAAACATTTTTTCAGTGCCAACTCAGTCCTAAATCTTTTATCTTTGTGCCAATTCAGTCATTCCGATTAATTTTGACTGGATATTGCTAACGTGGATGCCGGCCGGCCGGCCGGCCTATATGGCATTACCGGCGCTGACGTGGATAATTTTTTAATGATATTTTAATATCTTTTGAATTATTTATTTATTTTTAAAATTTTCTTTTCTTTTCTTTCTTTTTCTTTTTTTTCCTTCCCTATCTTCTTCCTCCAATCAATCGCTGGTCAGGCGAGGTCGACCTCACCAGCGAGGCTCGAGCCTTCACCAGTGGCTGGGCGAGGCACAACCTCACCAGATTTGGCATGGTCGGGCCTCACCCATGGCGGGCAAGGCTTGACCCTCGCTTGATTCGACAAGGGTGAGCCTCACTAGGCTAGCATGAGGCCGGCCTCACCAGATTCGATGAGGTCGTGCCTTGCCCAGCTGTTGGTGAGGCTCAACCCTCGCCTCACCAGAGGACCTCGCCGGATGTGAGGGCGGCCTCGCGTTGGGATGGCGAGGGTGGAGCCTCGCTGGCGATGGGGGAGGCCCGACCTCGCCAGATCTAGCGAGGTCGACCTCGCCTACCCTGGCCAGGCGATCGGTTAGAGGAAGAAAACAGAGAAGGAAAAAAAAGAAAAAGAAAGAAAGAAAAGAAATAAATTCAAAAATATTAAAATATTATTAAAAGTTGTCTACGTTAGCACCGGCGGTGCCACATAGGCCAATCCACGTCAGCAATATCCAGCTAAAATTAGCTGGAAAGACTGAATTGGCACAAAGATATAAGGTTTAGTACTGAGTTATCATAAAAAAAAAAGTTGAAGACTAAACTGACAATAATACAATAGGTTAATGACTTTTCCGACACTTTTCCCCATTTCTTATCTTTTCTTTTCCCTTCTTTTCCCTCCCACTTGGTTAGAAGGTTTGTTGGAATGAGACAATTAGAATGAAATAAAATGAATTGGGATAGAACATTGGGTAAACGGACAAGTAAATAAATTTTGCGTTAACATTTAGGCACACCTTGGGTTTTGATGTAATGTTTTCATGATTGAAATATTAATTAAAATTTCCATAATAATAACAGGTGAATAGAAATTTATTTAAATAATTGCCGAAGGAAGGAAAGTAAAGAAAGGGAACGAGAGAACTGTTATGTCATCTTTCTTTATTTAGTCGTTTTCTTGTTTTTAATATTCCTTCATTTCCAATATCCATCTCCATTCCTTCTTATTCCGAATTACAAAACACCATAATGAACGCAAATCATCTCTCGTAGTCTTAAACCTTTTAATAATTTATCAATGTAATCCAGTCGGCCAATTTTAATCGGAAATTGATGATGTAGACGTTGGCTGTCCAACATGGCATGACATATACCGACGTGAAATTTTGTCTAAATTTTTTCTAAATTTTTTTAACTTTTAATTTTCTTTTTTTATTGTTAAAGGTTGGCAAGGGACCGCCGGTCACTGACCAACGCTCGGCAACCCCTGCCGGTCACTGGACGAGTGCGGAGGCAAAGGCTATTACGAGCAAGGGCTCCAAGCTACGAGCGATGGCTGCGAGTCCTCGCCCAGGGGCCCCTTGCTCAGAGCTGGGCGAGGGCCTACCAGCCCTCGCAGGCCCAATGGCCAGTGGCCCCCTACAGGCCCTTAATAATAAAAATAATAATAATAATAATAGTTCAATAAGATTGAAAAGAAATTTAAAAAATTTAAAAATATTCTACATCAGTGAAGGCCGTGGCTGGCGTCTAGGTTATCAATTTCAAGCCAAAATTGGCCAAATGAACTACATTGGCAAATTGGTCAAATTGAAAGGTTTATGATTATTGGCACAAGTGCAATAGGATCATGACTTTTTTGGGAATTTTCCCCTATAATGATGAATGTTGGAATTAGGAAACTAATCTAATTCAAAATTCAAATTCAAACTTAGGCTAAAACCTAATCTACATCAATTCATTAGAAGTGATCTTGCCATCGTTTTTATCTTCAGAGTCAAAATATGATATGCTGTTTTAGTTCTTTTATGTCTTGATTGCTTACTCTTGATTGATGCACACTTCAATTTTTCTTGTTGACCACCTTCATGCATAGCTCCTCTCTGACGTTCAACTTGGGCCACACTGGAGATGCCGAACCCTACTCCATCTCGTTGGCCTGCTGGACATGCTTTCTGGATACTGCAAGTTGCCATTTACGCGCACACTTCAATTTTTCTTGTTGACCACCTTCATGTATAGCTCCTCTCTGACGTTCAACTTGGGCCACACTGGAGTTGCTGAACCCTTGACCACCTTCATGTATAGCTCCTCCCTGACGTTCAACTTTGGCCACACTGGAGTTGCCGAACCCTACTCCATCTCGTTGGCCTGCTGGACATGCTTTCTGGATACTGCAAGTTGCCATTTAGAGCACACTTCAATTTTTCTCGTTGACCACCTTCATGTATAGCTCCTCTCTGACGTTCAACTTGGGCCACACTGGAGTTGCCTAACCCTACTCCATCTCGTTGGCCTGCTGGACGTGCTTTCTAGATACTGCAAGTTGCCATTTACGCGCGCTCTCTCTCTCTCTAACTTGTGATGGCATGAAGCCTATAATAACCTGGCATGCACTGCTTTGGCTCTTCATCCAATATATCAAAATACGAAACATGGCAGTGATCGTCGCTAGCTTGAAAGCAGCGACCATGATGATCGGCATTGCCGCCTTCCTCCTCTTCGCATTGCCTCCGGCGACCGCCGGGCCGGTCTACGAGACCCTCCCGCTGCCGCAAGGAACCAACGGCCCCGAGTCTCTCGCCTTTGACCTCTTCGGCTCCGGGCCCTACACCGGCATCTCCGATGGTAGGATCGTGAAATACGTCCCCCTTCTTGGCTTCACCGATTTTGCCTTCACGGCGCCGACCCGGTAAACATATGTTTCTCGACTAAAGGGGTTTGGTCCAAGTTAGTGACAAAATGATCTTGTATGGTGGATAGTATAAATATGTTTCTTGGCCTAAAATGCAAAATCTATATATTAAGCTTCACAATATCTGGACATCGAGATATGAGAGCCCAGAGGGGAGCTTGATTAGTTTATTTCTTGTGTTTTTTTTTGGAACAATTATTAAGGAACAAGACCTTCTGCGACGGGAAAAACGCGACCGTCGACGCGACTGTGGGGAGAATTTGCGGGAGGCCGCTAGGAATCGCGTTCAACGCCACTCAATTTCTCTTCATCTGCGATGCTTACTTGGGACTTTTTGTGGCATCGCCTCTCGGAGGACGAGCGACCCGACTAGTTTCTTCGGCGGGAGGCGTCGCGATCCGCTTCTGCGACGGATTGGACGTCGATCTCAACACCGGTCTCGTCTACTTCACAGACGCCAGCACGAATTACCAGCTCAGGTGCATACTATCACTTCTCATGCACAACATTTGGGTGTAGACTATGTAATATGTGCATATAATCTTTAAGCTCATCGACTGGAGATATGACGTGACATTAGGGTAAAATGGCGTGAATCCTGTTTCGGTACCATTAGCTAGCTACATGAATATTTTATATTGCTGTTTGTAGCATCGACATTGATATTGTTAATGTAAATTTTTGAAAGACTTTTCCATAATTCGCTTAAATACTAAGGATGTGGGATAAGAACAGCAGGGGTACCATAACTTTCATACGATACTTACTCGAATGCTAAAACTTTTTTTTCACTCACTTAAGTATCATATCGGAGTAAAATCGATCATTTAAGTGTCATTTCTGGCAATTCGTCATACGCGAATTTTTTACTTAATTTTCATTCCCACATGGATTATTTTTAATATTTTGATTTTTTTGAATTTTGAATTTTTATTTTTCTTTTCCTTTTTTTATTTTTGCTTTTTTTGTGCCGACGAGAATCTCCGGTGACTCTCGTTGGCTTCAAAGGCCTTGCCTAGACTAGGCGAGGGCCGCCTCACCCTCAGCCAGTGGGGCCATGAAGGCCCTAGGCGAGGATGCCTCTCCTGCGACCGACAGGATCGCGAAGGCCCTAGCCTATATCTGGCTAGGGCCTTCGTGCCCTCGCTTGCGGCTAGCGAGGCCACAATTGCCTCGCCTAGGGCCTTCATGGCCCCGTCGGTCGCGGGCAAGGCTTTTGCAGCCGACGCAGAAAAAAAAGCAAAAGAAAATTATAAATTAAAAAATAATCAAAATATAAAAAAATCATTATAATAAAATCAAAGAATAAATAAAAATTTCCCACGTTAGTGCCGGCGATACCACGTAAGACAACCGGCGTCCACATCGGATTTTCCAATGAAGAAAATCGCCGATGACACTTAAGTGATCAATTTTTTAAATTTGTGGCACTTGAGTGAGTAAAAAAAAAAAAAGTTATGCGCCGTACGCAAATTATGGCACTCTTGCGGTTCTTATCCCTTGAGGATGTCGAAGTAATTTATTATTTTTTGTGTTTGTTGTAGCAATATTTCCCAAGCCATCTCGAGTAGGGACAGGACAGGAAGGCTACTTAGATTTGACCCGAGGACCAACCAAGTGACGGTGTTGGCAAGGAGCCTTTCGGGCCCTGCCGGTGTGGCGGTGGCCGCCAACAGTTCCTACGTCCTCGTCACCCAGTTCATCAACGGCACCATCACGAAGTTCCACCTCACCGGCCCCAATGCCAACACGGCTCAAACCTTGCTGAGCGGTGTCACGGGTGCGGACAACATCAAGAGGAGCGAGCGAGGCGACTTCACGCTCACGCAGAACCCGCGGCCCTTCAGCCTGAGAGCACTGAGGATCAACGGAGACGGGGCGGTCCTTGCGAACGTGTCGATCGGCGGCCCTTACGCCGATGTCCCATCCATCAGTGAAGCTCAACTGGTTGGCTTGTTCACTTACATTGCGTCTTTGTATGCGAATTTTGTTGGCAAAATCCTTGGGTCCGGGCTCTCTCCAATCAACAGCTAAGGCCTTGATATAGCTACGATGCTTCTCAATAAGTGTGGTGATTAATAAAAGTTCGGAGTCTTGTGCTATCATTTCGTATGTGCTTTTGCTATAAAGAGATGCGTGTTTGAACATGTGCTCCGTCGTTCGAGTTATCTAATTATATTTGTAAACCACCAATCAAAATACTGATTCGAGGAAGCTTTCTCCGATCAAAGGTGGCGCAAAATATGACCCTTTGAAATAAGCGCGAATGGTAAAATCATGTTTAAATGTTTATGCTTATCTAGTTAATAAATGGTTTAGTATCCTTACCTAGTTATGATCCTTATTTGTTCATGTAAGAAAAGCACTACGTAAGGTAAATGCGAGTATTTAAGGGATATGCGACACTACACGAACAAATCATGGTTGAATGTTTTTTTTTTTTGGTAAGGAATCATGGTTGAATGTTCATGATTCATAAGATCATTATTTGTCAATTATACTCAATAAAAGGCAAATAATGATCACATAGCACCAACGAAGAGGCATGAGGCTATAGGTATACAATAAAAAAGGAAAACATGTATCGTCGTTATCATCTTAATTTGGATTTAATAAATACAATTATGTCACTACTCATCTTAATGTCATTTTCGAATGGAAAACATAAATCTTTTTAGTTTGCGAAATGCCTAATGTAACCACAAGTTGTCAATAATTCTAAGTTGATTAGTGAAGATATGATTTGTTTTGGGGGGCAACAGAAAGAGGCGAACTCTAGTAATCCATAGGGTAAATGACACAAATGATCCATAAATTTTGACCCAATATACAATGTGATTCCTCAACTTTAAATTTGGTCAATGTAATTTTTGAACTTTGGTGCAACGTGCAACGTGATCTCTGAACTTTTAATTTGTTCAATGTGATCATTGGAATTGTGGTACATATTCAATTTAGTTCCCGGACTGTACGAAGATGTTCAATGTTGTCCTAATTAAACATGTACCAAAATTTCAGGGACCACGTCGAACAAATTAAAAGTTCAGGGACCACGTTGCACGTTTGGCTAAAGTTCAGGACCATTTATATCATAATCCCTGATTTATACAAAACCGCACGCGCGGAGATACGATAGGCACGTGGGCGCGCTAAAACACCCCGACCGGTCGAACCGTATCCTTTCTAATCGAACCGGAACCGCCCTACCGGACCGGTTCGAGTGGGAAAAACCCTAGCCTCCCTCTCCCCCGCGCAATCTCTCTGCGATTCTGCGTGACTTCTTCCTAGTTCACAGAGAGAGAGAGAGAGAGAGAGAGAGAGAGAGATGGGGAGCGATGGCGAAGCGGAGAGAGCGCAGAAGGAGAAGGAGAGGAAGAAGGCGCTGTCGCTGGCTCCCATCGCCAAGCCCCTCGCCGGCAAGAAGCTCTGCAAGCGGACCCTCAAGCTCGTTCGCCGAGGTACGAAACCCGCGCGCGCACACGCGCGTGCGTGCGGATGTCTCCGCGTCGCTCGGTTTTTCTTGCCCTTCCGGACAGCTCGGTGGACAGGGGGGCGATTGCGTCCGACGTTTCTTGGTTTTTTTCCCTTACCCTTTTCGGGTGTTGGGTTTAGCTGTGACTGGAGCCTGGATATGAAGAAGAACCGAACCGTGTTCATCATTCATCGTGATTTCAACTGAAAAAAAAGTGGCAATTGAACTGTCTTGACGTCAGCTGAAACTATGTGTAAAACACCAAATTTTGCTGGGCAAAGGAAGAAAATCAGTGATGTCCCGAATTTCAGTTGCTATTGCGTTGAACATTTCCTCTCCTGTTCCTTTCTTTTTGTTCAATGTATTGATCGTGTGCCGGGTTTTTCGAATTATATATTCCATGGGAACTTGATTCAAGTTCCTTTCTTTAGTCCGACGTTACTTTAGTTTGCCTCTGTCTACGCTGGCTAACAAAAAGCTAGGCTTTTACTTTGGGAGATGCTATATATATACCATCAAATTGATGGAATCAATGTTGCATACGGGCTAATTTGAATGTTGTGTCTTGACTAGCAGCTGCTGAAAAGAAATGCTTGAAAAGAGGCGTGAAGGAGGTGGTCAAGAGCATCAGGCGTGGTCACAAAGGGTCAGCATCAGCTCTCTTTGCATCATCCTTGCATCTAATTTTCTGTTTCCTGCAAAACCATTTGAATCCATTTGCATAGTTCTTTTTCCCGTTAGACGAGTTTTCTGCTATTCCTGTGTACCAATATGTCATTTTGGGTCCATGTTCTTCTTCTTTTTCGAATGTTCGTTTGGGATCTCTAGATTGCGGTGATTGTGATGCTAAATGAAGAGGTCGTAATAAAGAATTTGGCATGTAAATAGTGCTAGGTGGCGATGTTACCAGCTCCAGCAGGGTGAAAATACTTTTGTGTCAGAGTTTTATGAGAATGTATATTTTGAACAGAAGTGTGGTCTGTTTATGCAAATGGGCTGTCACAATGACCTTTCTAAAATGCCGAGATGGAGCACTTGTAAACATATGAAGATGATTGTGCTGGAGTATGTGATCAAGGTGATTTGAAAAATGTATCATTTGAATTTTCAAGTTAGAGTAGTACTGCCAGTACTACAGTCTACGGCTGTGTTTGCCAAGGAAAGAGCGACTACTTGTACAAGCCCTTTGGGTATTGTCCATGTTATTTTGAGTTTGTGTTATATGTATTTGAGTAGATCACTCAACGTTCTTCTTGTCTTTTCTTTTCTGTGTTGTGCAGATTATGCGTCATTGCTGGCAACATATCACCTATTGATGTGATCACTCATGTTCCCATTCTATGCGAAGAGAATGATATCTCCTATATATATGTTCCCTCAAAGGAGGTAAGTTTATACCATCCTTCAATGTGAATGGTTAGGTTTTGTTTTTTTATTCATCAGCATGCATGATGCGAATGGGTTGCCATTGCCCCGGAAACTTAGTTCATCTTCACCTTATTAGCTGTTTAACTTTTGATTCTCCCAGCTCTGAGATTATTGTCCTGTTTCCTTTTTATGTTTTCAGGATCTAGCAAATGCAGGAGCAACGAAGAGGCCAACATGCTGTGTTCTGGTACTTACAAAGCCAACTAAGGGTGAACTAGGCCCAGAAGAGCAAGAAAAATTAACGGCTGATTATGACCAAGTTGTAACAGAAGTATCTGAACTTACCTCCACTCTTTTCTAAAATGTCGACATACTTGGGGTTCTGCTTCTTTATGCTCATTGCTCTGCTAGTTCTGGTTGTTGTATTGTCGGTTAGCCCACTGGTCTCTCCGGTTTATACGGTGCCACAGCACGTCTATAAATTCATGTATGCGTATCCAAAGCACGTGCCAAAAAAACTGATATCAGTACATGGGATTATGCTTTCAGAGTGTCATGAACAGGAATGCGAATGAATTCTCGCAACATCGATTTGCCTCCAAAGAATTAGCAATTTACTGCCTTGGAGATGCAGACTACGGGCTGCTTTCTTTCACAATGGCACGACGGAGATCCTAGTTAGCAATTTTAATTACAAAATTTCACAGGTCTTGGTCATGGGATATAGATGTGTTCCAAGTCGAAGGCCTCAATGTTTAGTAGAAACTAGAAACGAGGCCGGGTGAATTGCAGCAACGTATATTGGAAACTTTAGTAAGAAGGGATCAGCATTCAAGCTAACAAAACCCGTGCAGAAAATGCTGATTCAATGTTAATGTGAATGTACTTTTCTTTCTCTGGAGGTTTTGATGAGATGCAAAGGAATCATCTTGCGAGAGAGAGAGAGAGAGAGAGAGAGAGAGAGAGAGAGAGAGAGAGAGAGAGAGAGAGAGAGAGTGACAGATATATCTCTCGAACCGATTTGAGATCAAATAATGTCCTTCCCGGTTTCCAGTTTAAACAGACGTTTCAAAGTGAAATCTGGCTGTCAACCTGCCCATTATCAAACAGAGGGATTTGGCGATGAAATCCAAGTGAAATCCGAAAGAAACATTGTTTTCCGAACAGGTTTGCTGAAATGCAATGATATGTACTAGTTCCATAATGGTACGTGGACTGACAATTTCAATGTGAATTGCATGAATCTTGCCCCAAATGACGAGAGCTTCATCAAGAATGAACTTCACCGATTCATATCTCTGGCATATATACACCTCAAAAACTTTTTAAACTTGCAGGACTTCGCTGCTTACTTTGCTATATGATATCATAATAGTCAAGAAGCCTCTGTATCATAGATGAGGCTGAAAAGCTACAATATACAGTTGACAACCACCCGGGACATGCCCGTATGGTGATTATTGGTGGCCTTCCTCAAAATGCAGATTAAAAATATACATATAGGAAATAAGAAGGGTAGTGGTCTTTTGTTGTAATAATGCAGAAAAGGATCTAGCGGAGGAATCACCTTTGGGTGGTCAGGGTCTTGAACAGAATCAGACCTAAGCCACCGAAAGCTAGAGTCAGTACAATAGGGACAGTGACGACGTCAGTCATCGTGGTTACGTCATTTTTTCTTGCTTGACGCGTCCGCTCCCCACAATACTCATGTAGAAGATTGCTCAGATTGTCTAGCTGGTGCATGATTTGGCGTTGTGATCGGGCAATGACTAGTATCTGCCATTGGGAGAACAAAGCCCAGATAACAAACAGCCATTGTTAACATATGAACTAAAATCATGACAATAATATGCCGAAAAGATTAAAAATGAGAGATCAACTCAATCTTCCTCAAGTGATAGCTTCTGTCCGGGCAATAACATTCCATTTTCATCAGGCCAGGAGTACCTTGTCTTGCATGAATTCACAACCCTATTCAACACAAACAGGACTCACTATCTCTGGGACTACAGCTCAACAGCTCTCATGTCAACCAGAGAAACGAGCAAACATAGTTTTTGCACAACTGTCCATGCAACTTTGTGCCAAAAGAAACCGTTCATGCAACAGGTTACAGCCCTTTCTAGTATTTTATCGGGCCTGAAAATTCCCTGGAAAGTTTTGGGATTTGCCATAAAGCCACGCCTAGTTTTTGAAGATATCCAACATGGCACAACACCACTCTATAAGTTTCACGCAGTAGCATGTCACCAGTTCGTCCAAAGCAGGGTCTCAAAAGATAAACTCGATATGATACTCGAAGGCTATAGCATATGCTGCGTCAGCAAAGATAAGGCCAACAAAGTGCTCTAATGTCAGAAAATCTCTCCTTAATATCTCACTCAAGTAAATGTCATAGCTGGTCCATTGGATCTACTGCACCCAACAAAGTGCTAAAAGATGAGACTCAGAAACATACCTCTTCCACAAGTGGAGAGTCCTTAGCTAATTGGGAAGAGGATGAAGAATGGGGCATCAAAGAACCAGTCAAAGACCCATTTCCTAAGCCAGTTATAAAAAGAGATGTGGGTCCAGATCCATTGCAGGCTTCGGCCTGCGGTCCTAAGTTCTGTTGACTAGCTGAAACTCTTCTGGTGTTGAACTTGGAATTGAGCTCTTCGATACGAGTTGTAAATTCATCCATCCTTTCATTGAGCGTGGATATTTGCTCGGATAGTTGAGTGATGACTCCCTGTACCCAGTCACATGCGTGTAAAAAACTAACCTTACGACAGTTTGCGAGGGATGGGGGCCAAAATCAGCAAAATAATGTCGGGGGAGGGACCACGGAACAAATGAGGATAAATTGTCACAGCTTACAGAAGAGGAAGATTTATGTGATTTGAGCTTCTTTCAGATTTTCATCATTCTTACCTGGTTTGCAATTGCAGGCGATTCTAAAGTTCTTCCATCAAACCTTCTATCATTGATGGCGAGTCTGGTCAACTTTGATAAGTTCTTCTCTTTCTGATTGGAGAAAGACTGAGATATCCCGCTGAAAGGAATATGCACAGAATTCAATGAATGATTGCTTGAACGTCCCATAATAAAGATGGTGCTACCACTAAATCTGCTTTAAATGATGCAAGGACAGGTTTGAAAGCACTAACATAAAGTATCTGTACACACACAAATTGATAAGCTCCTCTCCTCTAAACTTGCTCTATACTAGCCTTAATTAGGGAAGTATCTAGTATTGTGGGTTAATAAGCGTATACCGGTTAAGATATTTCATCCTCCTATCTGCAGAAGCCCGGGAAAGTGCCTCCTTAGGGCTGGAAACAAGATCATCATCTAGGCTAAGCTTTGTCTTCAAATCGTCCGGCAATGCCTACAAAGAAACTCAATCATCAGTGCAGCAAGTAGATCAAATTTACAGAGAGATAAGAAGAGGCATACCATAACATCATTTACAAGCTTCTCCAACTGAATCTGTTCTATGTAGGTGCGAGGAACATATGAACCATCCAAACCCAGCTGCTCTGCAACATGTTTGACATACATACGGTCACGTCCTTGTACCTTCACAACCAGATCAGAAAGATTTTGCTGTTGGCCTTCCAAATATCAAAACAGAAGCAGCTAATAGATGCAAACACACTAACAAGATAGACTAGTTTAATGAATACACTCGGACAATTTACAAGATAAAATTTTCATAATAGGATGCTGAAAAACAAAGCTCTCTACACTTATGTGTTCTGAATGCAATGGCTTTACTTGATCTTTCATAGGTGAAAAAATATATGAGTCAGGAAAGTTGTGTTCGGGTCTAAAAGGCACCGAACATCTTGGTTGATGGTTCAGTAATGTTAAGATGTCCTTTATCAAACGCTAGAGGATTATTTAGTGTACAGGGTTACATTTCAATTCAAAATTAACAAGGAAAGAAATGTATGATAGTGTTGACTCCAAAGTTATTAGACACTGACACAATAAAATGGCTCCAAATGTCAAGTAGAGCAAGCTGAACATATAAATGAACCAGCTGAAATATACCTGAACATACTTGCGATTAAGCTGTTCCAGCCAATCAGTTTTCACAGACGCCCTCTCATCAGAGAAGACATGGCTGCTTCTTTTCAGAATGGATGCGATTGTGTAGCCGAGGGCCATCAATCCTCCTAGCAGGCGCACGCTAACTTCAAAAGTTATTCTTGGAGATATAATGAATGGACTATCTGTAACCCATTCCTGATACAAACAACATTAAATGCATCTAAGCCCAGAAGAGGACATTGGACTGATTATGTCATGATATGGCAAAGACTGACACTGGCTTTGAACTCTCGAAAAAAAATCCGAAGTAGTTGACCTACTATGTTCATGGAAGATGCCACCTCCCATCCCCGATTCTAGACAAATGTCTTTATTACCCTCTGAATAATGTTAAGTAAGGTAAATATGATGCATATGGTTGCTTATCATTGGTTTTAGCAAACCTTGTCACGCATTTTTTGTCAACTTCCTTTCACAGAATGGCTACTCAAAGCTTAGAACCCAATGTAGAGCCTGAGTCAGCATTTATGGACAAGAATGTAGCCTGTTCAGAAATACGTGGACATAAGTTATACAATAAAAACCCTTTTCAACATGTTTGTTCTTAAAAAAAATCCTGTTTCCACACCAAAACCAAAGTTTTAAGTTGTTCCCACCAAAACATTCTTAGAAAAGAACAATTTAACTTGCATCTTTTCCAAAGGAAAGAGCAATAGGATGTAATTTTAAGGACGCATTTCTTTCGGGGGAAACCTACGATTTGGAAAACATTTACCTAAATATGATCGAATGAAAAATATTTTCATCATCCACGAAAATGTTTAGGATTAAATTGTTGCCGATACTGAAATAATTTTCTTGTAACTAATTTTTCTAAGCGATATAACCAATCATTTTTAAGAAAATGTTTCCCAAATCATTTATTGTCCGTGAAATTAATGGACCCCTAAGAAATTGACAAGTTAAAGTGAAAAGTATCTATAGATCGTAATGATAATTCGCAAACTCACGTTCTACTAAAAACATCTGACTACTGCCTCTGTTTTCATTCTTAAATCATGTTCTCTAAAGGATTTCCTAGAGGAACTCCCAAATGAGCACTTCTCCTAGAACTTGCAGTATATTATGGAAAAAGCCCAAATGTCAGTTTCAGATTAGATCAAGTATCGATTTCAAGAAGTTTTGTGAAGAGTTGAAATTTACAAGGAGATTTAGTTAGCAGCTGCTATACTAAGAACTAATCACAAACTTGTTTTCAGAGAGTGGTATGGGAATTAAGTGGGAAACTAGATGCTGCTTTTGCTAAATATCCTGGTAAATGCTTTAATGACATTACTTCACTTTTGTAGCAGAGGTAATTTTTTATCGGAGTTGTGACACAATGATAATATTTTGGAAGGCGATGCCACGTGACTGCTAAGAGATTAAATTTAGAACTTGGATTACAAGTTTCGAAACAGCTAAAGTGACAATTATGTTGCTGATTTTCGGCCTAAGAATGGAACTAGAGAAAAGTCTGACCAGGTTCCGTTATGTTCTGAAAAACCTTGGCAGCCGGTATTTGAATCTAGACTCGCAAGGCAGGTTTTACTTGGTTTTCTATCATATCTCCAAAAGTAAGAAAAAAGAATGGAAAACATGACACCATAGCAAGAAGGTTAACCTTATATTTATCCCACCTCAAACATGAGATTGTATTTGCCATCCCTATTTCGCATCCTGAGATATGATTGGCAAGCTTCTGGATCTTCACCGGGCGGTAGAAGGTATATATCATAAGTTTCCTCGATACTCTCTGAATATTTTCCAGGGAAAACAGCCTTGATTTCGTCCTCTGTTACTGTCCTTGTTGACTGGAATAAACAAAAGGTATGAATTAAGTTACGGAAAAAGAAAAAGAAGCGAGTCTCGATCTGAGATAGAAATGTAAAAATAGACTGCAAACTCCTGATAGAAAAGGTTCGACAGTAACTTTGAGAATATAAATGGGATTCTGAAATCCAGAGAAAGGATTAAATTTGTTGATTATTTTTATATGCGCAGTCTGAAGATCAGGCTCAATGAAAGCCTTGTACATTGGGTACACCTGCAGGGGATTAAAAACTTGGTTAGATGCTTCGATGGTGAAAAACTGAGAATAATAATTAGCAGACAACTGGACACCTTATTACTTAATTAAACTCTTGACACAGGGAAAGTAAGAAACCGTTTCAGATATCTGCTGAATGATTTCTTCAGGTTCTTGATCAGCACGTTGGATATCCCTTAGAACTCGTTTGACAAGATCAAAATGAACCCCTCCAGTCACAGAGACGCGAAGATCAAGCAAAGGCCGCAATTTTTCACTCAGGGCGTAAATCCCTTCTATAATCACAATGCGAGAACTGGGAACTTCAATAGTCCTGTCAAAAGCATAATTTTCAATTTTTTTGCATAATGCATCTAGGATATCAGATACAAGTAAATGAAAAGCAGCAATTTTTAGTGTGTATTCTACAAAAGTTTTTGGATTCCATCAGGAAAATCTTTCTTCCTTTTTCTAATGAAGTAAGTAAAATCTTTCCACATTTAGAGAGATGTACATAACCTGTAGCCTATACGAGAGCTGGACTTGAAATCATACATAGGAACCTGAACAGGCTTCCCGGCCTTTAAACCGTGAATATTCTCAAGCAATGTGTCATAGTCCGTCAAGCGAGGATCTGCTTCAGATATAATTGTTAGAATTTATAACTCATCTCTCATTTAGCAAAGTTCACAAAATAAGAAGTATTTACAACATTATAAGACGCCAGTTGGTGTACCATATCCTCGACTGCCTGTAGATGACTAAAGGAATTAGGTAGAAGAAAGACCCACGTATGAAAGGAAATCTAAATGAAGATACGTGGCAACATAGCTGGAGCATAAGGCAAGCTAAGGATAGGAAGAAAACTGAAGTAGATCCCTAACCCTAACAGTTGAAAAAGCTTTCATAAAATAGCATGTATCAACCTTCAGGCTTTGATAAAGATCTACCTTCACATAAAAACATGTCCAGCCAATATTACAAATTGAACAATTACGGAAGGAATGGACATGCACTGCTGAAATATAATACATGTTGGCGAGCAAATGGCCATGCTCAATCTAGAAGAGATGAAATAATTATTAAAGAGAGATGACTTCAGAAAAAAGAAGCCTTGATCTTGGGGATGAAAAGAAGATTAAAAATCCAACGGGACAGGTGAATATAGTATTCACACTCACAATGTCTGAGAATTAAACCAGAGAAATCACAAAAAGAATTACATCACTGACCTACTCAAAAGCCAGGGCAGCTGGCAAGATAATGTCTTAATCAACTCAAAATGCAGGTATCTGTGAGCATTGTGTGTTCCTCTCATGGTCAACAAATTATACTAAGTCATCAGGTTTTACACATATTTGCCAGGTTGGACTTGGTTGGCTCCTCTTCACTAACCTGGTTGGTTCCATTGAACTGATCAACCGCCTCATGAAGATTAGCTGATAAATCTTTGCCACAAGCCAATGCTCTGTTTCTTTCCGGTGCCAACATCTCGAGAAAGCTCTCTTCCCAAAGGTCAAGCTATTCCTAGATATCAGTGTTTCTTTAAGATTGGAAAACAGCTAACAATCTCGACGTGGCTGTTAATTCTCCTACCTCTAAATAGCTGATTCTTCTCTTCGGTATTCGAAGTACGCTCTTTTGAAAGTGGACATTCTGTAAACCTAACCAATCCTAAATATTTTGAGTTTGTGCCTTGTATCTCTCCTAAAACTCTTTGCTATCTAGGTGAAGTGGAACCCAAGAACTTACGAGTAATTTAAAAATCGAAGATAAACCTGAAGCTGACACAGGTGAAAAGAGGACTCACCATCGAAATTGCCATCGATTATACGGCTGGAGTCATTGTAATTATCCATTGTTATGACAGCAATGCTGGGCATAAAGCTCAGCACCTTCTCAGTGAACACGGTCTTGCCAGCTCCAGAAGGACCGGCTACTCCAACTAATATTAACCCATCATTCTTTTGGGCCAACAATTGACACGCCCGAATAAATATGTAAAAACCCTTCTCATATGAAAGTGATTCCTGGATCGGAATGATCTCGAAGCGATCAGAGTCCTTTCTCTTAACTATCTGGACCTGATCCCGCAAGAGGCCAGAACGCCGGCGAGGTGAATCGGCACTTGGTGAATTATCTTGAGCCATGCGTGAAGCTGACGTATATGTCCCCCAGTAAGTTGCAGATGAAAGCTAAAAACGGGAAAGGAGCTATCAATAAGCATCTGTAGCAGATCAGCAGTGGAAGAATTCTGATACTGCGAGGGATGCAAGGTAACATCTAAATGGCAGAGAGGTGACGAAAGCGGAATAGTAACATCTAATGCTGCAACGACATACATGTAAACAATCACTGGACTGCCTTCAGCGAATCATGCGTAGTGACCTCACGAAATATACATGACAAAGTCAAGAGTAAATGTGTGCATGCATGGGCGCCAGTGGGGCATTAGCTGCAGCAACATATTTCAAATGGTCCTTCAAGATCATGCCAACAGTTAGACACAGATTTTTCACCAGCTAGCATCATTGCCATTAGCTGAGTATCTAGGACCAATATGACCGTGAACACTAAACTGAGAACATATCCACGGCCTTCCTCCCAAAGACGATACGTGTCCGGCGGAATCCGCAGTTACCAAGAAAAAGAAAATGAACAATCAAGAACATGAAAGTGCTCGAACGATCGTATTTGCCGGCCGATGATTCTAATGGAAACATGCCAAAGACCCAATCTATTTACACAAGAACCATCGAATTTATAAGAAGGAAGTCGAAAACGAATGCACCCATAAAAGATCATCAAAGTAAATATTGTTCGCACTCGAAAAGGCAAGAACAACGAAATTTAAACGAAGCTCCTCATTTTTCTCCCAAAAAAAGAAGTATGTTTAGACGAACCCGGTGCTTAGGCAGGATCAATCAAACCAGACAGAACAGCAGCAAGAAACACAGAACGTCAGCGACCTTCCGGGTGCAAGAACGTAGGCCCGTCTCCGGAGAAACCCAAAAGGGGGTGGTCGGAAAGAGAATCGGAACACGGGTTCTTGGAGGCAATTGGGTGGCCTCAAGAAAAGCCCGGAAAGGCTAGTGGAGGCGCGGGATCGAATCTTTTACCGCAGCTGGGTGTGGCCAAGATCGAGGGGATTCTTGATTTTCCGTGAGGGACAGCAACGGAGCATGCGAGCCTCCAAGACGAGAGTGGATTCGCTACGATGTGCGGGCGCTCGCTGGTTGTCGACTACGTGCCCGAAACCAGTTCCTTAAAAGCTTCGATGGTGGAACTGGATATTTCCATGGTAGCAAAACACTGCGTGTGTGTTTCACGTACGCGTAAACTCGCGCTTGAAAAATTAGACAGAAAGATTAACCACTGGCTTACTGGAAACGTCTAATGAAAAGAAAAATCATGCAAACTCGTGTGCTTAGTGAAAGAGATTGAAATCCCTTCAATGCAATATGAATTTCTGTCATGGTAATATCAATCTACTCTTGTTTTGTTGGGTTTCATAGCTCTCGATCAATATCATCAAATTAAACAAAAAAAAGAGGTTGGCCCGAGTTCAAATTCGACCGATCGTGTGCAAACTGCTCCGAGTCAGAGGCGTGTGCACATGTCAAATCTCCAAACTTAACCGGTTAGTGAACTTTGAAGAGCGTTTCGTGAACTTTCAAATAACATCCGGAGTTAAGATTGTCTGCATATTTTAAACGTTTGAGCTTACAGAATGTTTCATGTTCTTTCGAATGACATGACTTTTATGCTCATGCCGCCTTAATTATACAAAGAATTCGCCAAACAAGTGCCCTCACTTATATTTGATTTCGTTGAACATACATAGCAAAGGAAATATTAGATATTCAAAGTATTGATCACGCAAGTTACGAACATTGTAAATGTACTAAAAATTGCAATATTTCCTTGTCCGATCGCTTAGTAAATGAGAGCGGGCTAAAAAAAAAAACATGGGAGGGGGCATTTTTATTTTGCAAAAATCCTTTTATCAAAAATAAGAAAAGGGTAATTATATTAAAAGTATTAAAGTTTGTTACAAAAATGCAATCAAGTTATGAAATTTTCAAAAAATGCGATTAATCCTAAACTTCATCATTGATCCAATCAAATCCTCCCGTTGATTGCACTTTTTAAAAAGTTTACGACTCGATTGCACAATCGTGACAAGTTTTAGGATTTAATTGCACTTTTTGAAAGTTTTAGGACTCGGTTGTATCTTCATAACAAGTTTTAAAACTCGCAATATATCCATCCCAATAAAAAAGGGATAATGACACAAACAGTCCATAAATTTTGGCCTAATATGCAATTTGGTCAATGAACAGTCCCTAAACTTTACACTAATGTTTAATGTGATTCTTGAATTTTTAATTTGTTCAATGTCATCCCTGAACTTTTGGTACATGTTCAATTCAGTCCCTGAACTATATGAAAATGTTCAATACATTATTGAACATTTTCATATAGTTCAGGGACTGAATTGAACTTGTATCAAAAGTTCAATTAAAAAAATTTATGAATTATATTGCACATTAAATTAAAGTTTATGAACTATATTAAACAAATTAAAAGTTTATGGCCTAAATTGGACTCGGTTGTATCTTCATAACAAGTTTTAAGACTCGCAATATATCCATCCCAATAAAAAAGGGATAATGACACAAACAGTCCATAAATTTTGGCCTAATATGCAATTTGATCAATGAATAGTCCCTAAACTTTATGCTAATGTTTAATGTGATTCTTGAATTTTTAATTTGTTCAATGTCATCCATGAACTTTTGGTACATGTTCAATTCAGTCCATAAACTATATGAAAATGTTCAATACATGCATTGAACATTTTCATATAGTTCAGGGACTGAATTGAACTTGTATCAAAAGTTCAATTAAAAAAATTTATGAATTATATTACACATTAAATTAAATTTTATGAACTATATTGAACAAATTAAAAGTTTATGGCCTAAATTGGACTCGGTTGTATCTTCATAACAAGTTTTAAGACTCGCAATATATCCATCCCAATAAAAAAGGGATAATGACACAAACAGTCCATAAATTTTGGCCTAATATGCAATTTGATCAATGAACAGTCCCTAAACTTTACGCTAATGTTTAATGTGGTTTTTGAATTTTTAATTTGTTCAATGTCATCCATGAACTTTTGGTATATGTTCAATTCAGTCCCTGAACTATATGAAAATGTTCAATACATGCATTGAACATTTTCATATAGTTCAGGGACTGAATTAAACTTGTATCAAAAGTTCAATTAAAAAAATTTATGAATTATATTACACATTAAATTAAAATTTATGAACTATATTGAACAAATTAAAAGTTTATGGCCTAAATTGCACGTTTAGTCAAAGTTTCGTGTGATTTTCCCAATTAAAAAAAAAAAAGAGAGGCCACGTGAGCCACGTCAGCGCCTCTCCCCCACTCGGTTGATGCCTGTCTTGTCGGAGACCGAAACCTGTCGACCCGAAGACCCATAAATCAGCCGTGACGTCCCCACTCAAACTGCGACCAGAACACAGAGAGAGAGAGAGAGAGAGAGAGAGAGAGAGAGGGTAGCAATGGAAGGCACGCCAGCTTCGCACGGATACCGCATGCCGGCGGAGTGGGAGCGCCACTCCCGCTGCTGGATCGGTTGGCCTGTAATACCACCCCTCCGTCTCCCTTCGCCGTCTCCGGCGTCGAAAATCTTGGCGACCCATCTTCTTCTCTTCCCCCCGTTTGAATTCTTTCTTCTTGCGGGCGGCGGCCGATGGGTCGGGGAACGGTGCGCTGAATCATCTGATGCTGCTCCTCCTCCTCGTCCTCGCAGGAACGTCCGGACAACTGGAGGGACAACGCGGCCCCTGCCCAGCGCCTCTTCGCCGAGGTCGCCGCCGCGATATCCCGGTTCGAGCCCGTCACCGTCTGCGCGAGCGCCTCCCAGGTTTGGTTCCCGCGTTTCTCGGCGGATTGAAGTTGACGTTTCTTGGGTGTGTGGTTCCGCTTTTTGAGTTTTGGGTATTGTTTGTTGTGGGTGTCTGTGCGCGCTTAGTGGGAGAATGCGCGGAGGATGTTGCCGGCGAATGTCAGGGTCGTTGAGATGAGTATGAACGATTCCTGGTTAAGGGACACTGGACCGACTGTGAGTGACTATGAATAACCCCCTCGAGTTTCTTTTAGGCGGGCCGATGTCGTGATGCTTTGTATGGTGTTGCCCCATTGTAGTTTGTGGTGAGCGACGGATCTCCGGGTTGTGAGCGGAAGGTAGCCGGGATCGATTGGAATTTCAACAGCTATGGAGGTAACTTGGCATTGTTTGAAGTATCTATTCTCTGTAAAGATGAGTAGTTATTGTGACATCTGATGTCATGTTCGCCATGTCTTGGTATTTCGAGTTGGAAATGAAGGAGATTGTGTGAGCAAGATGTTCAAACTGACATGAAGAATGCAACCAATTTGCTGTTTCAATCATTTTGTCGTGGATCGAAAAGAAATGAGTTCTTTTTTTTTTCTGAGAAAGTGCGTGAATTTCACACTTAAATCAATTTCAGATGTTTCCTTTCACTCTCTGCCTCCCTAGATGACAGCGATAAAGCTGGTTTCAAATTGATAAAAAGTCATAGTTGAAATTGAATTGATAAATGAATGGTTATTTTTCTTCATCATTACAAATAGGTATTTTCTCTTACAAGACAGGGTCAGCATTCGGTGCTCTGATAGAAAACCTGCAGATGTTAAGATTTTATTACCTTAGGATATGACCAGTCAGTTTAAGATTGCTTTCTCTCTCTAAAATGTCACTATCCCCCTTGAATATAGGTATTGAGGAAGGTTGCTATCAAGATTGGAGTCTTGACATTCTTAATGCCAGGAAGGTATGTATGGCTACACCAAACACTGTGTGTAGCGTCTCTCTTTTCTTTTGTGATTTCTGCTAGTTAAGTAGTTATTGTCCTCTTTTATACTTTAGTCTTCCTTTGCTCTTTTGGGTTGGGAACCCCGAAGCTGTTAGCTGACAGACTTGCAACACTGTCCTGCTCAATTGCATGCATTGCCACATAGAGAGAATAAAGGTGGACAAGGTGCAGTTAGCAGTTACCACCGGTTGAAGGCGGTTTTTTACTGATAGTGGAGAAGCGTCATTCGATCTCCTTATCTCACTTTATTATTTTTTTACAATCAGAATCTAAAATCAGTTTCTTTGTTCTTTTTATTTTGCTACAGCAGTCTCATTTACCTTTCATTTCCTGTATTCAGTGTTCCCTCTTAGTCAAATGCGGATTAATTACCTTAAAATCTACTGTCAGATTCTTGAAGTTGAGGAGACTCCTAGGTTTGCACATGAAATGATTCTTGAAGGTGGAAGCATCCACGTTGATGGAGAAGGTATGATCCACATGCTGGTTAGTCAGCAATTTTATAACACTCTATAAGTGAAGATATTTGACTCTTAGGTATTACTTGCGACGCACACGTATGCAGACAGGCACACTTATTATACTTGAATGCGTAATTTGTGCTTGCCCTATGTTTTTCAATATTATTAGTGGAGACATGGAGGAGATCCTTAGCCAAATTTGACTTCTTACTTTCACATGTATTGTCATCATTCATCATTCGGTTTGTTCCAGCCAGGTTCACTGCAGTGTAGTTTTCACTTTAGTAAAATAACCAGATGATATCAGGACCAAGGAAGTCCTCCCATCATTATTATATACTTACCAGTTTGTTTCTGTTTGAATGCATGTGTTTTTGGTGAATCAAAGAGCTTTAGAGGCACTTAAGAGTGTATGACAAGAAAGTCTGTGATGTCACCGCACATTAATCTCTCTCCAATGTTATAGGAAATTTCCACGGCATCATCGTCGTGCAGGTTTCCGAATTAGTTCCCTTGGTAATTTTGTGAGTTCCACGGGAAGTTGCTCTCCATTTTTGTGATTAAGATGTCCCTCTAGATGCTTAGGAAATTCCAGTTGCAAATCAACTCCGTCTGAAGTATCATGAACAGTTTAATAGAGCCGGGGAAATTAGCTCACAGTCGGACTGCTATCTCCGCCTGAATTCCTAGAGTTCATTAAGGTCGAAAGCTTTTTCCAGTTCTTGCAGTTCCACTTTGACTAGCTCTAGAAATTTGTCAGAGGCGCTGCAGAGTAATTCCACTCTTGCTAATTCATTTATCAATGATTCTGTGAGGCACTGCTTTCTTTTTGTCCTGCTGCAGTCTCAACCATACCAATTTCTTGGTATCTGAATGCTTCACCGATTGGCCCGTGTTATTTCATAGTCTTTTTTCTTCAGGGACTTGTCTTACCACTGAGGAATGTCTCCTGAACAAAAACAGGAACCCGCATTTAACCAGAGAACAAATTGAGGATGAACTCAAGGCATATCTTGGTGTCAAGAAGGTCATATGGCTGCCTCGTGGATTATATGGTACATTATTCTTATTAGTTGGCAGTTATATCATGAAGCTGAAATCAAAATCTGGACATTTCGTCTTCTACTTTTCTTCAAACTCTTGTATATTTTTAATATACTATAAGTCAGAGCATCTCAATGTCTCTCAGCCATTCTTGTGGTAGTATCCAAAACATAACGGACTTCCTCTTAAGGTAAGATGATGGGGAAGTTTCACGTTTTGTCTTCATCACTCACGCTGTGACACAGGAAACTATTATCACAATCTAGGGAATCTTCCAGTTCCCCAGCTGAAATTGTTGTGGCTTTTCCACAAGAGTGTATACATTAATCAAGAATACACTTCTACTTAGTACATAGTGTGCTTTTCTTTATGTTTTTAAATGATTAATGAGCTTTCTGCAGGTGATGATGATACAAATGGCCATATTGATAATATGTGCTGTTTTGTGAAGCCTGGTGTGGTTTTGCTCTCGTGGACCGATGACGAAACGGATCCTCAATACGAACGATCTGTGGAAGCATATCAGGTTCTCTCCAATGCAACTGATGCCGCTGGTAGGAAATTGCAGATAATTAAACTCCATGTTCCTGATCCTCTCTATGCGACTGATGAAGAGGCTGCTGGATTGACACAGGCAAGCATTTTAGAGTTTTAGAATAGGTGCTTGCCTAGTTACTTCCTTTTATTAAAGCACTGGATTGGTCACCAGAGAGATGAAAAGCATAGTTATATTCTCACACTCCTTTTCTGTGGATCTGCATTAGCTTAAGGAGAGACTGACTTTCTGGAACTTGGAAGTGTGCAAGCTTTTCAATGCCTCTGCTTTCTGCATAGATCTTTTGATTTAATTAGGATGCAGCTTTCGACTTACCCTTGAATCTTCAATGATTTCTTCATTTTTGGCCTAAAATAATTTGTTTAGAGCTATGATGAAAACAAAGCACGTTGTCCATGCGGTGACTGTCCTATAATTTATAACAGGGTGATGATGCAGTACCAAGACCACCGGGTAGAAGACTTGCTGCTTCATATGTGAACTTTTATATTGCTAATCAAGCAGTCATTGTACCACAATTTGGGGATCAGAAGTGGGATGATGAAGCTGCACGTGTCCTGGGTAATGCTTTCCCAGATCATCAGGCATGTAAACACTATCTAGTCTGCTTAGTCTTCTCTCAATTCGTTTTACAATCTTCAGTAGAACCGGGTCAAGGAGGAAATATATCAGGTTATATCCATTGGTTGATCTGCCTTGAATTTCAACTAGCTTTGGTATCGATTCTAAAGGAGCAAATCAACTTGCTCAGTGTCTTTCTTGGTGTGTTAAGCTGTGAAGCACACTTACAAATGGAGAAACATGTGCTCAAGGGCGCAAAACATTATCGTTTCAAGTATCTGATTTCATTTTTTTTTAATCTTCAAAAGATACTGACAAATTGATGCTTGCATCAGGTGGTGAGAATTGAGGGTGCTAGGGAAATCGTATTAGGTGGTGGAAATATTCACTGCATCACGCAACAGCAACCAGCGACTGTTACCGAGTAACACGATACATGGTCGACTGCCAAATATATGGCAAAAAGTCAGCATAATGCCTGCGGACCTCTGTGAAGCTCCCGAACCACCGGAGAAGTTCATCTCCTAAATCATCACTGCCAAACATTTATGAGATGTTTACTATTTGACATGTTACTGCTGATTCCATGAGTGCTTTGTTCTTGTGTGTCGTATGATGGCCCCTGTATTCTGGATTCTATTCTGATCATGGCCGGGAGATACTTGGGATATGTATGTACACCATCATTAGCTCCATCAAAGAAACATCATAAGACCTTCTTTTAACCGCTTCTTAGTGAAGAACATTCGACAGTGGATGCCAATCGTCTAATCAAACCTAAAACTAGAATGATTATTCCAAGAATGCTCTCTATGAAGTGAGGTGATCAAGCCAATATTTTTCTGGTTGGCTTCGATTAGTTGATATTACTATCTAGTTTGAGCTCTATATCAAGTACAGCATGAGTCGCAGGACGTATCAGTCTGTCAGGAGCCATCGAACGAGACAAACACTAGTCGATTGAATCTTTGGCACAGATGACAGAAAAGAGATTATATTAGAAGAAAATGCATAAATGCACTAGAAGTTTTAAAATTTGTCACGAAAATGCAATTAAGCCTAAAAATTTACAGAAAGTGTATTTGAAGTCTTAAAATTTACAAAAAAGTATAACGAAGCTTTAAAACTTATCAAAATGTTCAATCAAAGTCATTCCGCTTCTCTTACGGAAAATGCTGACATTGCCTTCTTTTATTACCTTTCTCTTCTACACAATGCATATTAATTAAAATGACATCGTTTTGATTAAAATCTGATTTTTGATAAGTATTTTATTTAAATCAAATGAAAAAATTAAGGGAAAACGGCAAGGCCTTGCCGCCACCGCTGCCCACCATTGGTAGAAAGGGTTGGCAATGGTTGGGGATGGCCGGCCAGTGGTTGGTGAGGGTCGTTGGGCCTCGGCCGACGATGGAAAAAAAATCCGCACATTTATAATCTCCAATTATGATGGAAAATCTAAAAGTTCCCGTAAGGGTAGATGCAAAACGTAGAGATCTGAGACAGAGGGATTTCACCTACGCATTGCATTTACGAGGTTGCAAGAAGATCTCAACATCGGACGAGAGGAATCAAGAGAAACTCGTAACGGCAAAAAGGGCCAACCTTGGTCCCCCGCGAAGCGGGCAACGTAGGCGAACCTGTTTCGATGCTCGCCGCTCGCGCGCGACACGAACACAGCCGACAAGTCAACGCCCATCTCGCCGCTGACTGAACGAGTGAGCTCGCTCCATGGAACACGGGACCGACCGCAAGAATGCACGAAGCCCATGTGGGTGCATTGTAATTTTGGAAGGGATCCCGGGGACGTGATGCTCGCGAAGGGAACGAAACGAGAGATCTAGAGCAATTTGGCAAACCCAAAAATATATAATCACGAAAGGAAACACACAGACACACAGAATTGCAACAGATCGATCCTCCCCACCTTTCGCTCTCTCTCTCGCGCAAGTCATTGACGTGAAGAAAGCCTTGAAAGAGACGCAGAGAGAGAGAGAGGCCGCGAGATTTCGAGATCCCCCAATTCATTCCTATTGATTGGTGATGCAGTAGGAATGAGAAATTAGGAATCTTGAAATCGTTTCAGGGGGAGAGGGTGAGATCGGCGCTTGAAGAACGAGAGGAGTTTTGTGCAGATGGGGTGTACGTTTTCTGGGTTGAACGCGCTATACGACGCCGTGAACGGGGGAGGGGACGTCTGGATCAACGAGAACAGGTTCAGGATCTTGAGGCAGCTCGGGGAAGGTGGGTTCGCGTTCGTGTTTCTGGTCAAGGAGGTGGTCAACGATTCCTCCTCCGTCTCCGGTGGAGGTCTCGCCAAGAAAGTCAAGGACCCTTCTCATCTTTCAGGTCCCCCCAATTGATTTCTTTCGATAAATTTCGCGGCTTTGCGGTCGTCTATCAGATCTTGTTGACACACCCTTTTCGTTTTGCATTTGGATTTTCTGATCTGGGTACTTTTGTTTAGTGATTTGATTGCTTGGTTGTGATTCCCATGAGCTAGCTGTTGATCCAATCGAAAGACTCAATTGTGATTTGGGCTTGATGTGAATCTCGCTTGGAAGATGTTTGCATTTGTTTTTGGTACTTTCTGGTGTCTTAAAAGAAGCATTAGGAGCCCCCATTATGTGTCTAATCTGGATCCTATATGGTTCACGGGAGTCTTTTTGAGTTGGATTCTTCGGTTTCTGCATTGGTATTTGTAAGAATTTAACAAGAAATTCAGGAGTGGCTTTTTGCTTTTCTCGTTCTGTTTTCTCTGTGCGAAAACTCATTCTGGATCTTAATATTTCTACATGGCTGTTCTGATGTTAATTTGGTTTCTATGCAGATGATGGCACTTACGCGATGAAAAAAGTTCTCATTCAGAATGGTGAACAGTTGGAATTGGTGAGGGAAGAGATCCGTGTTTCATCTCTGTTTAGTCACCCCAATCTGCTTCCCCTTCTGGATCACGCCATCATTGCTGTTAAGGTAATTACCGAGTTTTCTTTTAGATCTTCTGGCAAAAGGAACATTTTTCATTGTAAAGAGCATCCTCTCTGTTCCTGGTGATGACTGACGGAATGACAAATTGATAATGCTATAAAAGAATATATGACTCGTAAAAGAATATATGACTCGAAGTGTACATGATATGCATAGAATCTTTGCTGAAATCTCAAATTTTATCCATGATATGCATTGTTTTATGGCTAAAGAGTTAAGATCTAAATCTATATTGTTCTCTCCATGCTTCCAAACCTGATATATGTTAGGTGTCTTACTTGATGATTTGGGATTTTAATGTAGAGCTTGTAGAATGTTGAGATTAGATAAAGAACTTTGATCAAAGTAAATGAGTTTTCTTTTGAGCATTCATGTGGATAATATGAAAAACAAATTAAAATTTTTTGGTCTTTGTCAATATATTATGTACCGACTTTTGAAGAAACATGAGATTCAACCATGCCGACATGTGCACGCTGAGAAGAACAAAGGGTTTTTTTTTTTTTTTTTTTTTGGGGGGGGGGGGGGGGGGTATGGGGAGTTCATGGGACAGGACGCGATTTTCTGTGATTGAACTTTGGTATCATTCTGCATAGATTACCTGTCAGCATGTTACCATGTAGATGACCCTTACATGGTTGATACAAACAGAATAATCATTCACTAAGTGGCTTTAATAAGTCGTGTGGGTGCTCCTCTTGCATTTTCAACAACTGATCTTTTTCTGAACCAAATGGTGTCACCATCTTCTTCTCTTTTCTGAAATATGTTTCCAACATTTTTTGAGTCCTGTTTTTCCTGCATCATCTTCATAAGATGATAAATGATTTGTAATTAACATACTTGGAGGCTGGCATCTTTCCTGTTCTTGTTACATTACTTATGATTTGAGCGAGTACTTATTATATTGATAAAGATCTACTTTCTAGACTGCACAAGAAGGATCCTGGAACCATGAAGCATATTTGTTATTTCCAGTTCATCTGGATGGAACTTTATTCGATAATGCCAAAGCCATGAAAGCAAAAAAGGAGTTCTTTTCAACCGCTGATGTTCTTCAAATATTCCGACAGGTAAACAACGATTTTCCATTTTATTTTTCTCCTTCTTCACGCATTATAGGTGCTCAATATACAGAAGTTTCCATGTGACATGCCATTGCTTATTCACATTTGAGCCACTTCTTGCTACATTACAATATGTAATAAAATACAATCTGTTCTTTTTAATACTATGTTGACTTTTACAAACTTGAAAATCACGGCAGCTATAAGCATATATTAAAAGAGCGAATTGTGTTTATAGTAGAAGTGCTGCTTGAGGTGATGCCATGTCACTTGGTTGGATTTCTTTTTTGAGAGTTAATAAAGTAATTTATTAGAACAAAGAAAGAAACAAAGAAAAGCAAATAAGCAAAAATAAACATCACAAGACTATGAGAAGTCAGAGCAAGATGTCCAAATCTGAATAAAAGAGTACTACACAGAAGCAACCGAAGCTTCTAAACCCTCAAACAATCTTTTGTTGCATTCCTTCCAAATGCACCACGTTAAGAAAACTTGCGCAGCACTCCAAGACTTCTTAGAATTTGAGCCTCCTCCATAAGCATTTGAATAGCTAAAAAGCTGGATGGCATAACTTGGCATAACCCATGCCTCCTTAGATAAGCTAAGGATATGATTCCAAAGCTTAAGAGCAAAGTCGCAATGAAGAAAGAGATGATCAACGGATTTCCCAGAATGCTTACACATGCAACATGAATCCGTGAGAATGAAATCCGGTTTCGCTGAGATTCCCTATAGTTAGAATCTTATTCCAAGCTACTGTAAGAAAGAGATACTATAAGGTATATGGGGCAGACAGATTGCGTTAGAGGGGGATGAGTGAGGGGATAAAGTCTCAAAATAGAGTAACATGATTTAACACTAAATTTCTTGTTATTCGCTGGGTGCCACGTCATCTTGTCATCGCCCAAAACCATGATTTTTGAACGAATAAAGAATATCCAAGTACGATATAATCAAGGGAAGCTCCCAATCCTTAAAGTTCCTGAGGGAACAGGATTCCAACAAATGCAACCACCCTCATGATGTCGCTCGGTTGGATTAAGAGCAGTAGTGTATGCTCCCATTCCCAGTTAATTTGCTTGTTAATGTCTTGGTATGTTGATTTTACAAGTTGATCACAATGTGTTAAGAGTGTATCAGGAGCTGTTTGACTAAGCAAGTAGGTGATACAGCTTTGTGCAGGACTTAAACATATGCACAGTTTGGAGCCACCTTATGCACATAATGATGTGAAACCTGGTAATGTCCTCATAACACATAGGAAGGGACAACCTCCTCTTGCAATATTGATGGATTTTGGAAGCGCTCGACCTGCAAGGAGGCAAATTCGCTCTCGTTCAGAAGCACTGCAGTTACAGGTGCTTGTTAATCCTATACCTGTATGGATGTGTGCGTGTGCATGTGGGGGTGTGTCTTTTAACTTTTTTGTCTGTGGTTTGGTTGAGGAAAAAATCTCTTGCATTTTTATGTACATCAATAACTCTTGGTCTGTCTTTTGTCTGTCATAGAACCATTTTGTGGGTATCTTTATTGGGTGTTGTGGGCTTCATCAATTTGGATGATGTATGTTCTTTTCAGTTGGTTTTCAAGTGTTATCAGATAAGCTTGTGTGAAGTGGAAATTTTAGTATGAGGCTACCCTATCCTCTGCCATATAAATTTTATCCATGAGGAGAACTAAGAAGCATAGTTCGTCTCTTACCGAGTGATTGCAATTTGTATTGCTTTCTCATGGTGGTCCATGGCTTGCCATTGTACAGGAGTGGGCTTCTGAGCATTGTTCAGCACCTTTCCGGGCACCTGAGTTATGGGATTGCCCAAGCCAGGCAGACATTGATGAGAGAACTGATATTTGGTCTTTAGGATGTACACTGTACGCAATAATGTAAGTATTTATCCTTCACCATTTCTGTATATCTCATACCGGCCTTGGGAGAACTTAAATGGTCTTGTTGGCATATGTGTTCATAAACTGATTGGATCTGATGATGCAATTGTTTGACTGGGCATTTACCTATATGTATGTCATATATATGTCATATATATGTATACATACATGTGTGTGTTTTCATCTCAAAAGACAAATACAGTCAAAAAACTCAAAACATCATCCGATTTTGTTGTTTATAAGTACTCCAACTTCTTTCTTGCCTGTCTGTTCAAGCCTGATACTTGTTATCTGGTAGGCCACTAGTTTGACTTACCAGTCTTGTTGGTTTTCTGTAATGACATGTCTAGACTGAAATCAAATGGTAGTGCAATCAGTTTGCTAGGAGGACCTAAGCCTGTTTCTTTTATCTGAGTTAATTGGGCATGTAAAGGATATTTGTTTAGACGGCAACCAACTCTTGCACATTCAATGCTATGCCGGAAATTTGACTGGAACATTTGATTCCCATGTGGGTTATGCATATAGTTTCTTCCCACAGAATCTTTTTAATTAAACAAAAGGCTTGAGTTTGCAGTGTTGTGGCCATTATTTATGACTATTTTTCTCATCCTTGTTCTCACTGTTCTTTCCCCTAAAAGGTATGGGGTGTCTCCATTTGAGTACGCCCTTGGAGAATCCGGAGGAAGCCTACAATTAGCAATAGTCAATGCGCAGGTGAAGTGGCCGGCTGGACCCAATCCTCCATATCCAGAAGCGCTGCACCAGTTCGTGACGTGGATGCTTCAGCCACAGGCAGCGATCCGTCCGCGCATCGATGATGTAATAATTCATGTCGACAAGTTGATCTCAAAGTTCTCTCATTGAAGTTGCATAGGGATGAGAACGATGTGGGAGTAGCGCTAGTTCTAGAGAATGGTCATTTAAACAGAGTCGGTATATCTGTCTCCTATTTTTGCCTCTTTAATCCTCTTCAAAGTGATTGTCCATGAAAGCAGTTTTTAACAGTTCGTGATAAGATATTTCACTAAAGTAAAAGTTTGTCAGTTCCTGTATCTGTAGTATTCATCAGCTAATGCACTTGTTGAATGGTCTTTTCCGCACTCTTCTGAATTCTTTCGGTGAACATTCCGAGTTTTGATTACTCATAATATATACGAACAATACTAGTCGTGGTTGTTGACCCTTCTGTATAATCCTCGCCGTAATTTCTAATGCACTTGTTGAGATAACAATAAGATATCGGCATTCGTTTGTCCTAAGTTTTTCGGTTTGTCATGGTATTGCTTTTCGAGCAACTCCTTCATTTGGGCATTCAACTCTTTGTCGTACCCGCACCAGGAGGTAAAAGAGAAGAAATGTGGGTGAAATCTGTCTGATGTTTGCAGTGCATCTAAGAGAGGAGTGTTTTCATTTAGTTTTGTTTCTTGATAAGATAACATAGAAATGTCATTACAATTCTATACATGGAGGCTAAAGAGAGGCTTCACATTGGCCTCTATTCTTTGGGACAAATTTATGTCTCGCCTCTTTTCAATGTATCCAAGGAAATGGTGTCTACGCTGTCCACAATAAGAGAATTTCGTATGATGCTACATCTGAAATGTTTGAAAGTTCCCAAGTTAAAAGAAACTTTTACAATGTAACATGTTTGTACAGTCCTCCTACGTCTATACAAGAGGAAGCCAGTCACTGTTTTATCTCTTTCGATTACTCAACAGTTATCTTCTGTCCTTGCGTCCAATGCTTTTGTTACTTTCCTTGCACACGTGCATTAAAAGCTTAGAATCAGAAAACCTTGGGATTGGAATGCCTTTGGACCTTAGTCAAAATCAAATAAAGAAAGTTGCATTGGTCATCGGGCCAAATTGCTGCAAGCCAGCTCATGATAGGAAAACACAGTAAAGCGAATCTCAACCTCCCCCCAAAAGTCAAAAAGATTCATCATGGACTCTCAATAAACAAACGAGCACGCGTTACTCAATTCTTGAAACTTCTGTGAATAAACTAGGCAACACATGCACGCACGGAGACATCCTTAAAGCAGATAAACCAAAGGTCGAAAATGAAGAGGAACCGGATCTTGCTGCTTTGAAAACTTTGTCCCATTCCCAGATTTTCCATGATCCATTCTCACGTGCATGAGCAAGGACTTTTGAGTAAGTGATCAATTCTCTTCCCTGGCCCTAATCTGCATGCCACATTAGTTAATCAATCATTACGTTTCGATAAGATCGGACACGATCTATAATGGGCGAATCAATCATACATGTTCAATCTCGTGAAAGGTAAATCACGTTCTGCGATTACTATTGTATATGTCTGAACTTGTGAAAACTTTGCGGTTAGTACCGAGAGAAAAAGGAGAACACAAGATTTGACCCTAAAAAAGGACATGGAAGCAAGAATTCACTCCATGTGGCCTAACTTGTCTAATGACAACACATAACAAGTCATGACAGGAGATCAGAAGTGGGGAACAACCAGAATCGTGCTCGCTAAAATGGGAACAATGTGTGGCCCTGCCTATTGGATGCGTTCTTGGAGGGTTTTTTTTTGTCTTTTGTTCTCTTTCTCTTTGGTTTGATTGAGCATTGAGGTGATACCCTTTTCCGTTTCATTATTAGCTCATCTGGTTAAGCATGTTAGGGATACAGAATGCCATGTTTTCATGTGATGACTCTGACGTTGGGAAACAAACAAATGGTCCAGATGCTAGGGTCCACTGGTTTCGCAGACATAAAAAGTGAAGGGCAGGACAACTATTCCCTCTATCTTTGGTATGTGGCGGAAATGCGACCATGAAACCTTCGATAAGGAAACACAAGGTAAACCAAATGATGGCTTGATAATTGTCGCTGGTGTGATTAACAGTCAAATGGTGCACATTAAAATGGACATTTAGATCGGAGTTTACCCGAATCTTTTCGAAATCTTGAAAGGTTACTGACTAATGGCAAGAAAATAATGTAGAGAACTTGTGAGACTATACAAGAGCACATCTCTCTAGAGGGGAAACTCATTTAGTGGTGTTTGAAGAGGTGATTCGGATAATGATGAAGTGAAGTAAATTTGAGAGGTTATCTGTCCGATCACTACAACTTAACTCATCATCACCAGTGAGTACATCATCCATCCACACGACAAATTTATAGAGGGGGATCATTAAAACTCGGTCAGATGATCACGCGGCTTTGGCATTGGAACAGATGAGAGAGACGGGTGCTGCCAAAGATTTAATGCCTCTCCACTCCCCTATAACCCTCTAGTGCTCTCAAGTTTCAAGCAATCAAGAAGGGTCTTAGAGGTTCATTGCTCATTGACTAGGAAGGATTGAGAGATGTGACTTTCTTTTAATTTGGACACGGAAGATCCTCCAGATGGAGAAGGGGGATTTTGTGCCAGCTCCCTACTGACTTTCTGCTAGTTTAAGAAAAGGGGGGTGCCTTTTGTTTCCTTAGGTAGTAACAGAGTGGTTGTCATTCTTTATAGCACAATTGATGACAATTTTCAGTCTCGACCGCTGGTAGAGATAACGGGATTGGTTTACACAACCTAGTGAGATAATTGCGAGTGGATCGCACTAGATATTTGATAAGAATCCGCCGCGTCACTTCATTCAACCAATATTTAAGCTTTTGTATATCTAGCATTATCCTATTGAAGGGTTTTGTATTTTTGTGGTCACCTATCATATTACCGGTGCAATTCTTTGGCTTGCCCTTCTTATTTTTACATATCTGTAACTTGTCTGAGTTAGGTCAAGGGGGGATTTCTATCCAGGAAAATCCTACACTTACCATAGAGGAAAATTCTGTAATTATCAAAGAATGTAGGTATAATAAAGACATGAACCTGCTTTCTGAGGAGACAGACACCCTACAAATTAGAGGGAGACAGAAATCAGAACAAGACATACAATTTTGACAAGTTCCTCCACAATGCCCAATCTACAGAACCTAAAACTCTCAGTTGGAGTTATCTTCTTGCAACTTTTACGCTACAAGCTAGGGGAAAAAACAAAAATCTTGGTCCGTATTTATTTTTCAATGCCAGGACAGAAGAATTTAAATGTGAGAGAGCTAAATGAGGCAGTGAAAGAGGTCTTCTTCTTTACACTATTTAAAAGCTAGAGTCTTTACATATATTCTCCCCGTAGTTTGCAGGGCTCAGTTCATCACCTGGCCTTTTGCATTTAAGACTGCCCTTTTTTATTAATGACAGATTGCAGAGCAGTCAATAAAGTTTGTATCTTCACTTGTGAAAACCCCATGAACCCAGTGAACAACCCAAGTCCTTTCATATTCAAGAAGCTCTCTTTTTCTTTTTCTTTTTGATGCCTCTTGAGAGAGAGAGAGAGATGAAAATTCTGTCTTTGGCTGCTTCTCTAGCTGTCATCTTCTGATTGCAGTGAGAGAAAATTCAAGGGGTATTTAGATTGCCAGGTGGGCGTTGGATTTGTCCCTGCAGGGCCATTAGACCATATGTGGTTCCATGTAGCTTTCAAGATTACATGAGATGGGTATGTTTGCTCTTTTTGTGTAGGAAAAATCTTTCTTGAGTCAGAGGAAATAGTATAAGCCCAGTGTTGTGTTCCTCAGGTTCCTAAATGCATACACAAGGCCAAGAAATCTCCTATTTAAGAACCCTAGCTCTCTCCCTTATCTACTTGTTTCTATCAATAGCTCCAACTTGTGTTCTCTTGCCTTTAGTTAATGAAGGAGGGCCTTTTTGAGTCAGAGATGCAGTAACCTGTTGAGAGCAGATCGTTTCTCTCAGGTGTCTAAATGCTTACACAGCGAAAAGGCCAAGGCTTTCTATTTAAGAACCCTAGCTAGTTCTGTTATATCCCACTTGATTCTGATCTAGGTCTCTCTTCTTTATTTCTTCTCTTAAGGCAATGGAGTCTTCGTCCCAAGCGTCTGAAGGTTCAGAGGAATGTCTGAGCAATGAATCTGGGTGGACAATGTATATTGGGTCTCCAATGCAAGAAGACGATGAAGGTGCGGGTGACGAACAAAGTACTCACAACAATGATGATGATGATGCAGAAGATGGAGGTCATAAAGGTGATAAAGATGGTGGTCATGGTGAAGCTGAGAGTGATGATTCAATGGCCTCTGATGCATCTTCACGTCCTAGTTATAGAGGATGCGTTGCCTCAAAAAATGCTGCTAAAAAGGGTCCGTCCAAGAATGATTACAAGGAGGAAGATGATGATGATCTCAAGCAAAGAGCTGATGGCACTGATCCTTCTCCGAGTAGAGGCAAGGTGAGCAAGAGCTTGAGGATAAAGAAAAGGAAGTAAATATATGTTTTCTTGGGTTCTCTACTGGAAATTCTCATAGCTTTTTGGTGCTGGAAAAAAAATGTTTCTTTCTTTCTCACTGATATGAGAGGGGTTTTAGCTAAGTGTCAAGGGGATATGCCTTTTTGCTTTTTTGGATCATAAGTACTGTAAGAGCTCAATCCAAAGTTATATGATGTTGTTGAAGGTATGAAAGATTGCAAATATCTAAAGAAAGAGCTTCTGTCATGTCCAACTTTGTACACATGCATTGTGCGCGCTCACCGGCACATTTATGTATTCGACGAAAGAGACAGCATCTGGATTATCACTGTAAGTGTTCGCAACCGTATTCACATGGTATTGAATAACTATATATATGTATGTCAGATGAGAGAAGCTATCATTGTCAGTGTAGCTAATATATTAAGTCAATCAATGGTTCAATTCGTGGGAAATTAAATAGATGACCTGTCATGGGTTCTTTAGATATAGGAAACGATTGGCTCTTGCAATAGTATGTGAAATTACTCGGTAAGGGTTCATGTTGGACCCCAAATTTAGTCGAAACAGATGCATGATGAGCTTCCTTAGTACCGTCCATGAAGCAGCTCACAATTTTACACTTTGTCCTCAATCATGAGGGCATGTTCGTGTGGAGCCAAAGTTCCAGGACTGGAGGGGGCCAGAGGCTGTCAGAAAGTGAAAACACATCAGACAATCCGCTTGAAGCAAGAGCCATGTATGAAACTTTGAAAATCGATTCACATGTCACGAACATCATTCTTCTTTCGTAGCGATTAATCGAGCGAGACGACTGCATCCACACACGAATGAATCAGTCCAACTTCGTCTGAGATCTCTGTGCTGGTAAGTTCATCAGCAGAAGAAAGTCCCAAGGGGACCAAGTAGTTAATCAATGCACGAGGAGCATCGAAACATGAAATCCTGTGCGATAAAGAATAGTGTTAGTGCGAAACTAGTTCTCGCATGAATAGGACGGACGGGGTCGACAAACCAACATCCTCTTTTTGCTTTTTGTCTGTGGGACATGATCCGGTGTACGTGAGGCGGGGCGAGGGGAATATCCAGTAAAATAGACACCAAAGAACAAAAAAGAAATGAAAGAAGACGACATTTCTTTTGAAAAAAGTCACTACTAGTGTGCCAGCTTGCAGCATTGTTGTCGATCCTTTTTAATGTACCATTGACCACTGTGTAGGTTTCGTGGCTTTCGGCCATTGGACAGTTCATCCTTTTAGCTTGATGAGAAGTTTCCGGATTATGCTTTGTTGCCTAATGCTTGCATTGAACGAGCCATTAGATTCTTTGCGTAAGTAATGTCATCAATAGCCAAGGAAAAACTCCGAAATGATCTTGGCAATTTGAAGCCCTTCTTCTGTATCCGAAGCATAAATATCAAGAATGCCGATTCACAGTCTTAGATGGATTAGAATTCGCACGATTGCCTGACTCGATTTGGGTCTAGCAAGTTTGTGCCGCGATGTGCAAAAAACAAAGTAATGGTGTTTATGGATGTTAGTAGTTTTTTTTTTGCTAGTAGTTAATAGGCGTTCATGAATAAGAAAAATTAGGGTTTTGTTAGTGTTTTCAATGCTCTATAATTGAGCCATCAATGCCTTTGACTATTTACTCTCTTCCTCTCTTTTGAAGATCCTAAAGTATTTACAATGTTGATAGTTAACTTGTGATGGTGCTGATGGTTCTCGTGATTTGAATAGGGTCCTTGCCAGCTATTTTTTAATCTTGTGAGGGCTTCATTGGTCCACCAGCATCTAATAGTAATTAAAAAGGGTAACTAGTGAATATCTGAGAATAACAAAGGGAAAATGACACAAATGGTTTTTGCCTTTGATCCAATGTGCAATGTCGTCCCTGAACTTTTACTTAGTTCAATGTGATTCATGAACTTTTAAACATTTTCATATAATTTAAGGACTATATTGAACATTTATTAATAGTTCAAGAAACACATTATACCAATTAAAAAGTTCATAGATGACATTGCGCATTGAGCCAAACTCCAGGAAATCCATTGCACATATTAAAAGTTCAGGGACGACATTGCACATTGAACAAAAGTTCAGGAACCACTTATGTTATTATCCCAATTGTAAATTGAGAAGATATATCTTGGCTGAACCGAAAGCATCACACTTCATCCTGCATTGCCTTGACCAATTAAATCTGTGTGGAATGTGGATGTGCAGACTTCATTTTCGTAGTCCCCCTGTTCATTTTCCTTCCATCAGATTCAATTGGGACAAAGCTCCTCCATAAATGCATGGTAGACCAATCTGTTTGAGATTGAGAGGTGGGGGTACCATAATATGGAGGTGAGTACTGAAGACCGAATCATGATTCATGTCCTAGCAGCGGCACCTTAGTAGGTCCGCCTTGGCTCGAAACACAAATAAACGGGCGTCCGCCGGTATTTTCCTTTTCCGCCCCATCTTGATTATTTTACGAAGAGAATTCAACTTTCACTAAAAGGGTCGTGTTTTGAATATCTATCAGCCATGTTCGATTTAGTTAAGTTTGCACAAGAATGACATTCACAACCTGAAATCCCTCAACGACGTTCATACGGCTTGCCCGTTGATCAGGTCTAGTGAATACGTTATCGTAATTTTTCCAATTGCGCGGACCTACTTTGCACCAAAAGACGGTGGAAGCCGTGAAAGCCGTCCTGTATTCACAACATCTCAAGAGTAAAGGGAGGTAACCGATGTTGATGGGCTTGGCCAGCCCATAAAGAGGACAGACCTCCAATACCTTTCGGGTCGATTTCGACAAGTACTGGGCCCATCAGGCCCAAACGGTACCCGAAAATTCAATTTGGCAACGTGCGGGAGAGATGCAAAGCCGTGCTTAAATTCTTCTTAAGAGAAAAATACAAATGAAAAGTGTTCACAAGTGGAATTTTGATGCATATCTATCGACCGGATTAGGTTCTTGACGAGTGATCGAGCTTAGATGAGATTCTCTACGAGCTGCTGAAGGCCGAACCGAACCATCCGGGCTAACTGAATCTCGAAAGTTTCGGCCCGTCCTGGCCCGGTCCTGCCCCGTTTTAGAATGAGCTCTAGGAGGGAAGAAATGCAATGCATTTTGCTCGACTGCTTTCATGATTGTCCTGTTTCTGTCTGTGAAGTGATTTTACCACACCAAGCAGCTCTCGAGAAATGAATTCTAATGAAAAGTCACAGGTTCTTGTCTGATGGCTCTAAAGACTACATAGAAATATATCTACTGTTACACGAAATCCCTTGCACATATATATGGTCCCACCTATCTCTTTGAGCTTTCATAGAATTAAAGATGTTCACGAGAATCTGCAAGCCAAAATGGCCAAAATCGCAATGGCATATATGGCCCAAGCGCAGCACCTGAGCCAAAAATGGAATGGAACTGTCATGGCGACGAAGAAGGCGGTCGCCACAAAGAATGTGCTAATGTGCTGAAGAGCAAGGGATAACGTCAGGTACTTGGTATTGCTATGGATGTATTTGCTTACAAAGAGAAAGGTAAAGGCTAATATGACCGCCGCCGAGTACAAACAGTACACTGGACGGAGGTGATTTCCCTTCTGGACTGATGCTGCGGCTAATTCCGTGGCCGACGTCAAGCAGAACGAGACGATGATCTTCTCCCAGGCCAGGCTATGCCTCGTCTCCGATGCAGCGTGTGGAGTGTCGTGTGCCCCACCCATTTCGAGGTCCGGAGTGGACGGCACGAGCGGCTGCGGCTGCGACTGCGGCAGCTGCGGTCGGGAGGATGTTATTGCTGAGAGATTGGGAAAGATGGGATGGGTGAGGATGATTCTTGTGCTGAGCAAGGTGAGGAAATTGGATGTCCAACTTCCCAATCTCATGTTATGATAATGTTCTGTTGTTGGGGTATTTCCTAAGTCCCAGATCTCCTGCCTGGGACGCATATTTATAGCACATGGAAGGAAACTTCTTCACACCGATCGTCAGGAATTTGACTTGACAATCATGGAACACCTTATCAGTTTAGCATCCGAGTCAGATGGCTAAGAAGACTAAGAAGACCTTATCTCTTGTGCCTGCCCAGACGGAAATGCTTCATAACTTCATGGAAGCTGCTTTTTACCTCTTTGGGTTGGCTTGACTGATTATCATACCATACTCCGCACAAGAGGCAGAATACAGGATGTGGGGCTTTGGTCGGGAGGGGCGAGATAGTCGAGTAGGATGATACGGATTCGTTTTAGCTAGAAAGGCCGACCCAAGAACTTAGACTTATAGGTGGAGGGAGATCACATGCGTGTAAAGACATAGGTCTCGTAGACAGGCGGGATGAGACACTTTAACATCTCCTCTCGCGTGGAAGTCGGATTAGGAGCAGACATGTAGAGTTTGACAAATGAGGGGCTGCATATGCGATATAAACAAGAGTAGAACCCGATTCTAATGTCATCTTATCATGTCAATTCAAATGCTGAAGCATGTAGGTAGAGAAAGACCACGTGATATATAAAGTCATATCTGGCCCACTAAACGCAGCCTATAGGATTTTTGGTCGGATTTGAGATTTGAATGTCGAGTAAACTTGAACTCTTATAACTCGCACCAGCAATCTATCTTGTACAAGGATGCATACCATCTCTATTTCGAGAATAACAAGAGGCATATCGCATACAGGAGCTGCAGCAGATGAGTAATCTTATTACACAGCCCCTGAAGGCTATAGAGGGACTACATTCAAACAAAAACTATCAAACCTGCAGTGACTCGCGACTGATCATCTGATGTGCAAACCACAACAAGGAGGCAAACAAGTCAGAATGGTTCCTATAAAGACATGCTAACATGAAGTATACAAACTTCAACTACATAAGCCATTGCCCCGCAAAAACACAGCCGGAAAAAGTAAAGTAGAAGACTTGGAGATAACACACACAAGGAGTCATAGACCACGCAGAGTCGTCTGAAAACAAAGGTAATATTACAACAAGCTTTAGTTTTATTCTCCCAACAGTTAATAATTTGGGTTCTTGAGGAATAAAACTCCCTTTTGCCCTTACCAAAAAATGTGAACTTCTAAAGAATTCAATCATCCTTGCTACAAGTAAAAGATGATAGGGTCTCTCTGATGCCACTATCTACATTTTTACACAACTTACTACTCATTCCGGACTTCTACAGAACAATGTCGCCCTCGACTCGTGATTAGAGGCCAATTCGTGCTCTCCGGGTCCTTCCCCCGCTTACGATACCGCACCACCAGCAGGTAATTCATAACGACAAACAGGACATGTATTCCTCACGCGCAGCCACGTCACGATACAATCGGTGTGGTATCCATGGCTGCAAGGCAGCTGCGTTGCAATGTCCCCAGCCGTAAATTCATCCTTGCAGACCGGACAAAGCCTGTCCTTTCCATCCACATCCTCTCGAGTCAAAGCCAACTTCGGTAGATTCTGGATCACTGATTCAGAAGCCGGGGATCCTCCCACCAAAGAACTCTCATTCTCAGTAAACTGACCAAACATGCTCTCATATTCTTCAGAATATAAGTAATCATCATCATCATCAAAGTAAGTTTCCAGCTCATGCTCCAATCCTGCTGTTGCTACTAAATTATCTGAATTCAACAAAACCTCCCATTCCAAGTTCCCAAAACCTCCAACTACTTCGACACTCACATCTTCCTCGTCTTCACCTGCAATAATAGGCGTAGAAGATACAGAAATGGACCCATCATCATTGAGAGGATCGCCAAATAAGCTCAATACCTCTCTATCATCGACGCAACTCTCGACTTCCTCCCACTCCAAATCGAGATCCTCGACCTCTCCGTCATCCACTTCCAATGGAAGGGAGTCGTCCCAACACAAAGGAACACTACTAAAGTAGTCATCCTCATCGATCACGTGATCCAAACTCAATTCATCCTCCGAACCTCCACAAACCCCCAATTCATCCTCCAACTCCAAATCAGAATCGAACCCGACATCACGAATGCCACTCCAACACTGCTCCATTTCACAAACTGTCAACCCTGCTTCACAGAAATCCAACCCAGAATCCCCAGCCTCCATAAAAAACTCATCTTCACAACAATCCTCGTCCACAAGTCCACCATCCTCGTCCCCACCCACGCCGAACCCCAACCCGATCCCTAAATCTACATCCACATTATTCATACAGGCGTCATCATCCCCATCAATCACCCCAAAATCCAACCTATTTACCTCTTCCGACACCGAATCCGCGTCCCCCGCGAACCGCGGACGCTCGGCGGACAGATCCACGCCAGAGCCGCTCCCGCCGCCGAGCTTCCGCAGCAGATCGCCGGAGTCGGGATCGGAAGCCACGTCGCCGCTCGGGGCTCCGGTTCGATCGGCGGCGGCGGCCATCGGATCGCGGACGGGCAGCGTCAGGTCGTCGTCGGAATCGTAGAGATCGAACGCGCGGCGGCGCTGGTGGCTAGGGGAGGGGGAGGAGGAGCAGCAGCAGCAGGGGGGAGGGTCGAGCTCGAGGGAGAGCGAACGGCGGAGGCGGCGGCGGCTGATGCGGCGGCGATCGGGGCGGCGGAGGCGGGAGATCGGGGCGGCCTCCGCTGACATGATCTTTTCCCTCTTTCCCTCTTTTCTTTTTCTTTTCTTTTCTTTTCTTTTGCTGTTGATTTGCTAAAACGTCTCCGCGTTTTTGATATTTTTCGAGGGGAAAGAAAGAAAGAGTGGAAACGCAGGGTTGGGAGGGGACGTGGAGAGCTTGGAGTTAGGTGATTCTACATCTCTCATTTTCTTCTTTGACTTTATTATAAAAAAAAATACATAAAAAATACAAAAAAATCTTTATACCAAGGATCATGGTAGGAAGGAAATTGACACGACACCAAGCAACTCGTGATAAATGTGTGATGATGATAATAATAATAATTATAATCGTGTACCAAATTACTTAATCATCTGTAGAGAATTTTGTACAGATAGGCTCGAAATTACGAGTACTCTCGATCGTCGTTAGATCTTAGATGGACGGCACGTGTACTAGAAGATAGGTGTGTGACCGAATTCATCCAAGTGACGTCTATCCGACGATGAAAGTGGACCTGATAAAAATCCTTATACCAGCGCATTAGAAAAAACCGGCATACGTACTATCTAGGTCATATTCAGCTCTGGCAAAAGAATATCCAAAGACGATGCTAGTAGGAGTTTAGTTGGGAGTTGCATGGATTCGGACTCATTGAGCGGTGTCTGGATGCCTTCTGCACACGACTGATCCCAATCAATACAGATCGTAAGATATGATATTGGCTCTAAAGGTCCATTTGTTTCATGGAAAAAGAAGGATTTGGAAAACATTTTCCAAAAAATGATTAGTTATATTTCTTAAAAAAGGTCAATGAAAAATGTTTTTACTACCGACAACAATTTAAGTCTAAACAGTTTCATGAACGATGAAAATATTTTTCGTTCATCCATTTTTATAAGAGATACATGCGATCATCTTTCGAAAAAAATTTTCTAAATTAAGAATTTTCCGTGAAACAAAAGCATTGCGTCGAGAGCATCTCAATCCCTAGGAATATGGAGAGAAAGCCCCATGGTCTTCAGTCATCTAATCATAACGGGGCCTCTCCATCCAACGATTTGATAATATCTTGGGCGAAACAAAGTAAGGTCTTTTGATAGCCGGGTAATTCCTTAAACAATGTCAAATGTTGAAAGAATGGTCTTACACTCCCGTTTTCCCCTAATTAAATAATGTGATTATGACTTAGAAACTGACAACCATCATATCGAAGAATTCACATATATCGCGTGTCCGCGACGTAACGAATAAAAGCTCATGTGATTCGACGAGTTGCATTTGTCAGAATTTGATTAAAGATCATAACATACCTAGACGTGTTGTGCTCTAGTCAAGCCTTTGTTACTATAGATAGATTAGGCCTTTCAGCAAGAATGATGCTAGAGGCCTAACAACCTTCTCTTAACCCGTTAATCACAATTAACATGAAAACCGCCGAAATGAGTTTATCTTGCATGACTAAGTTTGGGCCTAACTTGTACGCCCAACCAAGTTCAAACATCGGGCCCGGCAACAATTTTTAAGTCATTTTAGGTGATAAATTATTTTTTTTGTCAATTTAAAGAAGGATCTTGTTAAAAAGTGCCCTAAAGCCACCGATTAAGACGACTACATACATTAAGAATACTTATTACAACATATTCAAAAATGAAAATTATATGATGCGAGAAAATTAATCATCCGCATCGCATGGGAAAATTAAACTTCAAATGCAAATTCAATGAGTTTTAACAAGTGGGCACTATTTGATATATAAAAGAGATTTATGAAAGGGCCTTGTTAATCGTTGCCTGGAGCACTTATCAAGCACTGCTACAATTGGAAACTTTATATGGTTTTCAATTAGGGATGGGAAATGTAGCAGTAATAGTGAAAAGTGTCAGAAAAATCTTAAACCTATTACATTGGTGCTAATCTAATTCAAAATCTTTTGATTGTACCAATTTAGTCCTAAACATTTTAACCTAAAGCCAATTCAGTCATTACGGCTAATTTTGGTTGAATATTGTTGATATGGACGCCGGCTGGGCAGCCTACGTGACACGACCGACGCCGACGTGAACATTTTTTAATAATATTTTAATAATTTTCGAATTTTTTTTCTTTTTTTCCTTTCCTTTTTTTTTTTTCTCTCTTTTCTCCTCCTCTTTCCTCCGGTGGCCGACATGGCCATAGCCGGGGAGGGCTGGCCTCACCGGGTCGAGGGCAAGCGCCGGCGAGGTCGCCCTCGCTAGATCTGGCAAGCCCAGGTGTTGTATGGGCGAGGGTAGCCTTTTCGAGCATCGCCTGGTCAAGGGTTGGCCTAGCCAAATTTGGCAAGGGAGCCGTCGCCTAGGCCAAGGCGAGCCCAGCGAGGCCGACAGTCGCCTGTAGTTGCAAGGGCCACCCTCACTTAGGCGAGGCTTGCCCTTGCTGGCCATGGCTATGCCGGATTCCGGAGGAAAGAGGAGCAAAACAAAGAAAGAAAAAAAAAGAGAGAAAAAATGGAAAGAAAGAAAGAAAGGAAAAAAAATTCTAAATTATTAAAAAAAATGTCCATGTTAGCGCCGGCTAGCATCCACGTCAGCAATATCCAACCAAAATTAACCAGAATGACTGAATTAGCTCTAGATTAAAAATGTTTAGGACTAAATTGGCACCATTAAAAGATTTAAGACTAAATTGGTATAAATAAAATAAGTTTATGACTTTTTTGACACTTTTTTCGGTAGTAACGATTTCATATACTCAAAAAGAAAAGATCGCCCAAAAATGTGGTCAGATAAATGAAATACACATTCTAGAAATTTTGCTCTCTCAAACGTTTTACAGGTTTTCCATCGAGCAATGTGTACTAGACTATAAGAACTGACCCGAATCTCACACGATCATACCTCGATAAAAGCATCTCTACATTTATAAGTCAAAGTGTTAGTTTTTCTTCTTTGTTTTTTTAACCTAGAGGGTCGTGTTGAGTAAATTATCAACTTGTGGATGATTGTGCTAGCAACTCGATATGGAGTGGGATATTTGTATAAGCTTGAAGTACCATGATCCTACCCTGCTACGTAGCTCGTGGTTTGAAGTTGGGAAAATTGTCGAAAATATTTTAAATCTATTATACGGCAGTAACCTTTTAATTGTGCCACTTTAATCCTACATTTTTTTACGGTTTGCCAATTTAGTTCTTACAACTAATTTTGGCTGGAAATTACTAATGTGGTAATCTAGTCAGAGTTGATCGTCCTACGTGGGACGGTCTAGTCAATGCTAGCCATCCTTCTTGGGATGGCCAGCATTAACGTGAGCAATTTTTGTAATTTTCTAAATTTTTTCTTCTATTTTTCCTTTTTTATTTTTATTTTTTCCCTTTTTCCCTCCACCAACTACTGGTGAGGGCCTCAACGCCCTCTCCTGGGTGAGGGTCACAATTGCTGGTGGCCCATCGCCAAGGCCCAGCGATGGCATGTGGATGGAAAAAGAGGAAAATAAAAAAGAAAAAGAAAGAAAAAGGAAATAAATCAGAAAATTTAAAAAATTATCCGTGTCCGTGTTGGTACTGCCACTTAGGATGGTTGGCATTAACTAGACCGCCACGTCAGCAATTTGCTGTTAAAATTAGCTGAAAGAACTAAATTGGCAAATCGTCATAAAATTTAAATTAAATTGACACAATCGAAAGGTTTATGACTAAATTGACAAATTGTCAAAAGGTTTATGACTAAATTGGCATAATTGAAAGGTTTAACACTACATTGATTGCGGTATAATAGGTTTAAAACTTTTTGGACAATTTTCCCGTCTGAATCTAAACCTTGATTTATTAAGGTTTCGTTTGTTTCGCGAAAAATGAATTATTTGAAAAATATGTTCCTAAAAATGATCACTTATATCCCTTAAAATAATTAGTCAAAGAAAATATTTTCATCATCGACAATAATTTATGTCTAAATATTTTCTTATATAACGAAAATATTTTTCATTTATTCATTTTTGTAAACAATACAAACAATCATTTTTAGGAAAATATTTTCTAAATAATTCATTTTTCGCAAAACAAACGCACACTAAAACTAAAATTTTTCAGACTCGTATTGTCAATGAAGTCTGTAAAAGGATTCATACACCAAATTGGATGTACATGTATGGTGACTCTCACCGTAAATTTCACATAAATAGCATGAACGTCTTCAATGTGTAGTCACTGCGGCAGATGTATATACATGCTCTAGTATAAATGAATGTACGTCTCAAATCATGTATATTCAACGTGAGACCCATCAAAATAAAGTCGAGGTACAGAATTAACGAGATAAAATTAGAGGATCAAAGAATTTTCCAGCAGTGAGCACTCGTAAAGATTTTCCTCATTGAAAAATGTTTCCGCATCTGAAGGAAACTAATGTATTTATAATTAAACAATACTAAATGAAGCAAAATTACATTGTAGGGGCCCGAGAGTCCTATTGAAACAACAATGAACTCTTATGCTTTGGCTTCTCAATTCTCCATACCTTTATTGGCTAAAAGCTTGGGACATCAAATTCAATCGAGCCTCCCCTTCACCGGCCAAAGCCTAGCTCTTCCCAAACACACAGACCATGTCCAACATCTTGACAAGATCACCCAGAATCTCAACAATCAAAAAGCGCACCAACTTTTCCAAAAGCAACCTCCATTGTGCATGAACAAGAGACCATGCATGCTAAGACCTGTCTCAATTCCTTGATCACATCAAAAAAAGAAAATTTTAAAACCTTTAAAGAAACAAGCTTTCATTGGAAATTGATCATGTGACCATGTCTCACAAAATCATGTGGCCATGTCTTGTAAAGGCAAGCCAAACTTCTCTTCCTTTTGAAACCCCCCAAGTTTGAATGCCGATCGAAAGCTCCCTAACCAAAGTCGCTTTACAACTAAAATAATATTATTCAGAGACAAACGAAAGTGACCACAATCTCACGATCCACACACCTTTAGGATCTCCATAACTCGAACCCATCTCCTTCCGTACATGTGGGGGGGGGGGGGGGGGTGTTACAAAAGCTTTTCTCAACAACCGAAGTTCAAAGAACCCTAAAGATGGCCTTGGAGCTAAAGAAACATGGTGACTCATCGTCCTTTATTGTTTTCTTTCATTACGCCATGACCAAGATATGTCATTATTTCGAAGATTGTAATTGATATGCTCGAATCCACGTCAAGATACACACGACTAGTCGACCCGTGTGTAATACCGGCTCTCGAAACCGACGTACCAGGCTTGAAAATGATGAACTTGACCTCATAATATTGTGCACACTCGTTATTGTTACCGCCTATTCTTATGTTATGCATGCTGCATACTTGGCAATTGATAGAACACAATGGACTGAACTAAGTACAACTTCTACGCAAATTCTGACACCCGTTGCTATGGATGCTCTTGTGGGAACATACCCAGCTCGCTGTCCATCTTCATATGCCTCCAACATTCAAATTGTGCGCAAGTACGACCAGGAGAATTTTCACACGTTCAGTCAAAACTTTCGGTCCAAGTCAAAACATGAACTTCACGGCCCGACCCAGAAAGCTCTTCTTTTTCCCCTTCTCAATGCGGTGAGAACCGAGAAAGCTGTACATATATTAAACATGACCAAGAAATTTGCAATGTAAGACCAAATCAGTCGCTTAAAAGAAAGGGAAAAATTAGGGTTTTCTCAAGATCATTGTATATCCAAGCATCTGGACAATTGATCATCCAATTTTGAAAGTAGTTTGTGGCGTTCTAAATGGTAAATTTTAGTCTTAATATACCTCAGAAAATCGTGTGCTCTCACATATTCCACATAGCATATGTATGTATATGTATAATATCTTTCTTTTTCTCATAAATACCAGTCCATAAGGAGCTAACTAGCGAGTCGCAGACGAGAATCGGCTTAAAAGCTGCATTCAGATTTGAGAATATTTGTTCCCAAATGTGTATATAGACAAAAGGGTCAGGCGTCATCATATTATATCATATCATATTATACTATATTACTCTTTAAAAAAAAAAAGGAAGAACGAAGAACAAAAAAGAGTCACTGTTCCTTACCAAAAAAAAAAAAGAGTCACTGTTCATACACCCTTTGCATGTGCAATGGCCGACGACTACGCTTTGCGCCGCTCGTTTTCCGACATTGAAAGCCAGTCAGGTTATAAACTATGATACATTGTCCTCATAAATTAAAGTAAAAGTGAGAGGTAAAGTTGGAGAGCACGCCCTCGTGTTCTATACTTCGTGAAACCCTAGCCCTTAATTTATTCGTTAATAACTGTTTATTGTTGTTAATCATCAAAGGTTGGCGATTCGAGGTGGTAATCGCTTTTTCCATGTTCTTCAATCCCCCAATTCCAATGCTGCCTCTTAGGGAACCACGTCGCCCCGATCACCAAGTGCCTCTCTCTCTCTCTCGAATTTAATCACAAGAGAAAATAATAATGAAAAGCACACAAGAATATTCTTTCTTTTTCTCTCCATAATATGATGATTGGAAAAAAAAACATTCACATTCATTTTCTCAATCGAAAAGAGCAAAGTTCTGATTCAATTGGAAACTCTTTGCCTTCTCTAACTCGAATGATCATTCCTCGCATTGCTACTTAAGGATATAGACCACTTTATTATAAAGGTCGTCATGTCAGGCCAGGAAAGATATAAATATCATGATTCGAAAAGGAACGTTTGATTTTGAGGAAAACTGTTTCTTAAATAAAGTCACACTTTTTCTTGGAATTGCACATGATGATGAGCATGCGTTAACTTGAGCATCATATGCGAAATTAACCTTCAGTCAATAATCCAAGAGCCCAAAAGAAAATACTTCGCTTCCCTTTTCAATTGTTAGAATATCCAACCTAAAAATATGAGAATTATTAGATGGATGGAGACTTTATGTATGTAAGACACATTGAAACTACATAGACAAATAACGTCGGATGCTTTGACCGCGGATATCTTGACTGTTCATGTTTGTGATCCCCTGAGTCTCTCTATATGTATGCACATTGTCTTCACAAAAACCTAACGATACTATACTTATTATTGATCATTTATGTTTTTTTGAGAACGGAATTGTTCATAATTTGTCGCATGATCCTTTCGGCTCATCCCTAACGGAGCACTCCGAGTACTTTCTTCAATTTTCCTTAAGGCAAAATATGGTGGCGTAACTTGTGGATGGTGTTCTAACCCTACTAGTCAAATCTTTGTGCCTTGTCCAAAGGTAAATTCCTAATTGCAGTCAAAACTAGGACAACTTCTCGACCAAAACGCTTTCAAACAGCAAAGTTAATTTAACATGAAACTAAACCCTCTCTTCAAACTTTGAACAATTCATCAGTCAAATACGAAACCTTAGAATACTCGGAATTAACAAATGAATGAACTAACAGCCAGCGCAACCTCCACTACTATGAGGATGTGTGCCAAAGGGCAGCATTGGCCACTGTGAATCTCTCTTGTCCAACCTAAAAACCTCTTCTCTTACACTGTTTTGGCATCGATAAACGTGGGGGAAAACTTGAAATTTTAGACCGAAAAGTATATGCATCGAACATTAATATTTTGTTTAATGAGTCCACTTGCTAAGCAACTGCATAAAAAAAAAGTTTAAATTTTCCGACCCACTGATTTTTTCAATATTTTGTGTAAATCAATACTTTAAAAATCGAATTATAACACTCGTTAGCAACTAATATCGATTGAAAAGTGAAAATGAAAACAAAAACTTAGGGTTTGGACAAGTAAAAAAAAATTCCACGTTGCATGCATGGCGGCAGACAGGCGCTGAACACCGTATCTTCAATTCCACGCGATCACATGCTGAAAAACCTCTTAATATTCTGAAGCCTACCCAACCAAAAACCGTTTTGCAACTTTTCAACTCGAGACTCTCTGAACACTTGCTTGTCCTTTTGAGTTCTTCAAAGTAATGCGGGCATTACTACGTTTAATATTAAATATGATCATCTATGATGGGAAATGTTGAAAAAGTAAGCTTTGGGACACTAGCCTTTGACCGAGGCCTTAGACTCTATAAAGACCATGGTTTGCGTCCTCATGTTCCCCTCTCTTTCGTTGTTCAAACAACAAAACATACTCTGAAGAAGCTAAAGAAAAAGGGGGAGAAGCGACCAAACATGGCGTCCGTAAGGATCACTAGCTTTCTGCTCATGCTTGTGCTCTTTTCACTACAACAATCGAGCTCCTGTGCACAAATTGGCCATGGTAAGTAGAATATGCTTTATAAGCTATACGAATTTGCGTGTCATATTGTGGTATATGTTGGTCAACGCGTGTATAAACCTCACTGAATGTTGGAACTTTTTCTCAGCCATGGAAGAAAAATTGGTTCTTGACAAAGATGGAGTGGAGGTGTTAATAGCTGGAGGCTCCTCATCAGAAGTTCAAAAGGTAGAAGAAATTACATTCTATCATAACAATTGTCGAGTGCACGCATCACTGTTGTCGATATGGATGGTAGTAAAAAGGGTTGCGAAAGTCGTTTTTCTCACCAATGTTTAAGTAGCGATACTTCCACAACTTTCTTGGAGTGTTCGACCGGTTATTTACTTTGCTTTTGCTCATATTTTGCAGGTACTACATGACGGCATTCCTTCTACTACCGACGTAGTGAGAGACATTGATCAAGGAATCGAGGAACGAAAGTTGAAGTTGAGAAAGTTCTTGGGACAAAGCACGGCGAAAGAAGTGACTTCGAGTATGCAAATGAGTTCAAAGAGTGCATCATCATTCTCATCAGCATCATCAACAGGTGCCAAGAATTATTTTGGAAAAAGTAGCCTACGTAGAGGGAAAAGGATGTCGGACGTAGACTACGAGTCGACAAGAATTAGAAGCCCCCGTCGTTCCATCAAAGTCAAAATGGGTGGTTTTGTAGCTTTCAATGCCGATTATCATGTGCCCAAACCACACCCTCCCAGGAACAACTAATGAATAATTGCATCCATTGAGAGCTACACAAGAAAAGCTCTCTTTTTTTTGCCTTTCTTTTATTTTCTTTGCTTTTTATCCCTTTCTTTTCCTTTGAAATTTTGTCAAGCTATATGCAAGTGCGGAATATCATACCTGTATGTATCCAAACTACAGAAATTTTAATGATATGAAAGCCAAAATTTTGTTCAGTGCTTCTGTTTGTGCGATGCTCTTTCCTGCTCTACCTTAATCTTTCTTGTTCTTCTTTTTCCCCTTTTATTCTCAAGTTAGTTGATGTGTCTTTACTTTGCATAAGCGCATAGTGATAAATAAGCCGCAAATATTGAAGATTGTTTGAGTTTGTTTCAATGCGACATAAAAAATGCATCCAAGTAGTTGGAAAAGGGTTTTTTATCCGTTTCATCATCCGAGTGTTTGAATTAATGCAGGAAAGGACCAAAATGATTCAAAGTTGCCCCAAGCAAGCTCACTTGAGTACATGGAAGATCAGGTTCCTCTCTCTCTCTCTCTCTCTCTCTCTCTCTCTCTCTCTCTCTCTCTCTCTCTCTCTCTCTCTCTCTATATATATATATATATATATATTCCATATACTATATGGTATATTGGACAGTCTAAATTGGGCGTACTCCCTGCAACTCACTAGATCTGACGGCTCAGATTACCTAACCCCACTGCTACAATAGATCCCACGAAAGAAAGTTGATACTTATACTATCTATAGCACCTACACGTTGGGTGTACTCCTTGCAACTCACTAGATCTGACGGCTCAGATTATCTAACCCCACTGCTACAATAAATCCCACGAAAGAAAGTTGATACTTGTACTATCTATAGCACCTACACATCTTTATTTCTTGTAGCGCATTATTCTGGCTAATAATCTTTTTAACTTATTTTGGCAATAGAATGAAGGAGGCAAGGGAGGAACAACAAGACCCATCAGAGTCTCCATCTTAAGGAAGATGATGGTGTATCCACCAGATTCAAGGCCTGTGCATTGCGATGCAATGAGAAGCTCCAAATGCCCATCATCCCAAGAACCTTATGATGAGGGTAGCCTTCAGAATCTTGATGCCCAAAAGGAAGCCACGGAGTCTGCTCACGAAATCATGGCCCTCACCAACAGAGACTACCACGGGGCCGGTCGACACCCACCTCCAATCAACAATGGACACCCCTTGTCTCAGCACCACAAGCCCTAGTTGTCTCTCAGAGTTTCATGAACTTGCTTCTCAAATTTTGGGGTTGTTTTATACGAGAAGCAAGTGTTTTTGTTTTCACTTTAGCAAAAAAACAAAAAAAGTGCTTTGTTTTCACTTACTATAGACTACAGTATAACTACTGACATAATGGCTTCTGCTGTAATTTCTTTCTAGTTGAGGGATCAATGGACTTACGTGCACTTCGCCTTTTTTCCTTATCGTGCTAAACATGGTCAAAGCGACGAGAAAAGAGATGGATCCATGTCAAACAAGTTTCAAATTTGTGTTGTTTAAGCAGAAATAAAGTAATAGATACTGTTTAGGAACAAAAAAGCTTGGCACGGACGAGGAAAACGAAAAGCTCGCACTCTGGATTCGGTAGAAAGAACTCCCGTTGCAGCACGGACGACAGCTTAGCTATCATCAGTCTTAGGGTTTTTGTCTTGGTCGATTCTTGTGTTTCAAATTGAGTGGTTTCGTTACAGTGTGGGATGGATTGAGCAGACATGGGCTTAGGTCCAAAAGCGCTTGAAAGATGCATCAAAGCTGATCGAAGATGTCGAATGCAATGTTTACGGAGCTAGCTCGGGGCCCATGCGTTGAGTAGCTGTTTGGTCCATCGTGCGTGGGATTTGCAGGCTGACCCATTTCATCACAAAGTTCTGTTGAAGGGGAGTTTTTGCTCAACTTGGTGTGCAGAGCAAGCTGCAATCTTTTGGTATTATTTTACTTTTGATTGGGAAAAAATTTACTTTTTGTCCTGTTATATTTGTATTTTTTCAAATCAAGTCATTATATTTTTAATTTAAGTCCTTCTATTTTTGCAAGTTGTCTAATTAAGTAAGTCTCTCCAACACTCAGTCCGATCAAATCCAGCTGACGTGACCATCAAACGAGGCAATATGTGACACAAATAAAGATTTGCCAACATAGACACCCAATGAGGACGGTGAACAAGGAAACCATGGCCAAGCTGCCAAACAGAGCTTGCATGGCTGCGTGAGCTCAGGTTCAAGGATCGAATGACGATCATGGCTGTGTGAGCTCAACTGGCCGTGGCAAATTCCCCTTCGAGAGAGCAATCATGAGTAGTAGAAGAAGACCTTTTTTTTCTCCTTTCTTTTCTTTATTTTTGTTGCGAAAGGAGGCGATTGAACCATAAAATTGACAAAACAAGGAAATAAATTGGACATCAGATTTATGAGATTTGGTCATAGTGATGTACGTTCACGGGAAGAGCGGCAACGAATTCCATTATAGATTAAGTAATACAACAGAAATTACAACCACATTCGAGTCACTCAAACATTCTCAGTATTTCTCAACCCCCAATTACACCCAATAATTCAAACAATATTTACGAATTAATATCTCAGTCTGACGAAGAAATTAAACAATTTTACCACAAGATTTTGGCTTCAAGACGCGTCTCTTGGATGTAATTTGTCGAAGAATTGCGCACCAGCAAAATTATTTATGGCCACAGCTCTGCTCACATCAACAAGAGCCACCCAATGGAGCCCTCAACATAATATATTTGTAAGTGCCCAGGATGTCGCGGAAACCAAGCGATCGAATAGTAAAATTGACAAAATAAAGCAAATAAATCAAGTACCAGATTTACGTGGTTCGGTCGTAGTGCCTACGTCCACGGAAAGAGCAGCACAGAATTTCACTATAGATCAAATGATACAGCGGAGATTATAACTACATTCGAGTCACTCAAACACTCTAAGTGTTTCCCAAGCCCTAATTACATTCAATAACTCACGTAGTGTTTAGCCCCATAATTCCTTGCGAAATAATCTCTCAATCTCATAAATAAATTATACACAAATCTTACTATAAAATTTAATCATTACAAATACTTGAACTCTTGTTGTAATTCTACGAACAAAACCCACAAGAAAAACCCACACAAAGCACTCGATTAGAATATCTTCTTGTCAACCGCGGCGCTTCAATACTTCTCTTATCAACAACGGCGTTAACTGCAATATATATGCGAGCAAGGCACGCCCAAGAGAAAACCTCAGTTGCATTGGGATATGCCACCGGCAGGAGAAGTCCCAGGATAGACCGGTCAAAGAAGTCAACTTTCCTTTTTCTCCTTTTGCGTTTATTTTTTTTTTCTTCTTTTGTTGGCTGCCAACTCTTGCACATCAGGAAAGTAAATTTCCAATATTTCCTTTTTCATCCTTGGCCGACTTTTAACTTGAGGAAATAATTCTTTGCACCCACAGCAATATGTAATATGATTTCCAATTCAGATAACCAAGTGAAAAGAAAACTTCAACTTTTGTGGACTTTTATTTAATCAATCTTAGGTCGGATTTTGTTTAATTGGTTCAAACTCGAAACATATTTTTAATAATCTCTACATTGATTCGACGTTTTAGCCAAGTCACAATCGCTTTTATAGAATCCGAATTTTGCTACTACTCTTTCATAGCCCCCGATGGGCTCAACTGCCACAGACGTCTTCCAAGTCCAAGCCTCGCTTGGACTTCGCTATAGCCATAGACCTCATCAGAACACCAACTCTACAAGCACCTTTAACTGTTCCACAAGGAGTCTCCGATATAACCTCTTCAATCACACATAAAGCAAAACCATTATTGCATCCATATATATTAGGATATCGAATACACACCTTGTCAATATCAGCAGTTACAGCAACTGTTAGTTCAAGAGGCTCCACCTCGCTACAAGCATAATCTGTGTTGATTACTTCGCTAATACTCGCTACCTTAGGAGTTTTTAGTTGCAACTCCACCTCAAGCTGAATACCGTTCAGACCCGTATGAACACTGCTAGCTAGAAGTACTGGAGACTTGTCATATGTAACTTCTCTATTGAAAATTGGTGAATTTAATTCCGAGCACCACAACCGATAACCTCGCTCACCTTGTGCAAATCTAGGAACATGCACTTTCTTGCCCTTCTATCTAGCTTACCATCACTCGCTCGAACATAACATGGGCATCAAAATATTCTAAGAATAGAATAATCAGCAACGTTACCTGACCACATTTCTTCAGGAGTCTAACATCCAATCGCGGTCGATGGGAATCTATTCTTCAGGTAGCTCATCGTACTAAGCGCATTCACCAGGAATCTCCTAGCCATACCAACACTAGAGAACATTTTATGAGTCGTCTCTAGCAATGTTTTGCTCATTAATTCCGCAACATGTTGTGGTTCACTGGCACTAATGCTGGGACGTCCCAGAACGTCACGTGCGATACGTGTCTTTACCAAATTTTTTTTTTATAATTATTAAAACATGCGGAATCATAATAAAGCATTCACACCATTCCCAAACATGTATACTAAAATACATATGCATCTTTTTATAAATATTAACATTAATTTTACAATACAACATTCGCCAAAAAATAAAATACATCATTACTGGGAAAGGTCAGAGTCGCCTAACTTCAGCACTTAACTACTTTGCCCAAAAGCTTGCCTGTACACTGACGGACCAACAACTACGGGTCGACGACTTCACCCGACGACATGCCATCGTCGCCAAACCCAGGAGGGCCATCGAAGCCTCTAAGTGGTCCAACTAACTCGCCCTCGATATTCACATATCAAGCTACACAACTATGGATTATATATTCTGGTAATCCCACGTCGACCCATAAAACAGTCGTACACCTAGTATAGACCACCGGTGATCCAGGTACAACAACGTCTTCATAATTATAATAAAAAAACATAGGAGCTCCAAAACGCGGCGGCGGTGAGGGATCCATCCTACATATCTGAAAAATAAAGAGTGAGCCGAGGCCCAGTAATTGAAATCTCTAAATCTAAGATAGAAGATTCACTCACCACTCAACCTGGTATCAACAATAATTATGAGTCCAAGACAGTACAAGATACATGACTAATGATATTACTCTTCCAATCATGACATGTCAGTGAAACAACAATAATGCTGCATAAAATCAATCATTCATGTGAAAATGGATGGCATATTCTATATCATATATATCACATAATATCTCATCGATTCATATTTGTCACTGGCCAGGACTATCTCGATTCACGAGGCATCTCGACTAACGAGGCATCGTCACCATCAAATCATGAGGGACGGAATCATTCATACCCTTTGCCATGCCTCAGCCCATTCATCACGGGTGTCATCTTCATTAGTGAGGATAAATACACCACTGTACATCCGCGTGATTATGGTCGTTTCTGAATATCATACCATGGCAAAGCCATGTCATACCATGACTACAAGAGCCATGTTATCATAGGATTCATATCATCTCAACCTTGTAGAGAACCGTTTCATACGATAGAATATCTGGCTAACTCCAAAGTCTTATCCATAACTCATACAAGGAAATTCGTTCGACGGCGAATAGGCTGTGGCAAAGGTCTTACTCACTTAACATCAAAGACATACATAATTAATTGTAACGTAAAACATATCACGTATTTTCATAATTACAAACGCAAACGACAATATGTCAATCTATTGTCATTTTACATAATATACAAGACAATCAATTAATTATGCACCTTTCAACATGAGAACTTTTCTTTTCTTTTCTTTTTTTTACCAAGTCAATATCAATTTAGAAGGGCTCTTTTGCAAGTTGTATAACATTTATTACTCCATAATTTAGTATCTCATCTAATATTTATTTATTTATTAATTATTTTAAATCCCCTTGATCAAGCGCACTTTTACCACATATAAAACCGCTCATTCCTATGATTCCGAATTCTTGAAATTAGAAAATTATCCTAGTAAAATTTCTCACTTTATAATTTTACCCCTTAGTTTTCGAATTTCAACCAACAAAGTCATAATAATTAAATTAAAAACTAAATGATAATATTTTTATTCTTTAAAACACACAAACATTTTAATTACACTGTAGACACCACATAATTTACAAAATTTTTAAAACTGCCCACTTTTAATTAATTATTACAATTTGCTCCAATTTTGCATAGTTAAACATATGACC